GTTTCAATTTAACATTGATCAAATATTTGACCCATTTGCATGTTAGTTATTTCTAATTTTCCGATGACTTCTTTAACGTTGACCCAAAATTGGTCTTCGAGAGTCTACAACTTTACCAAACTTTATCCGATTCCAAAGTGGCATACCTCTAAAAGACTTGTGGTGCGATTCTCTAAAAATCTGCATTTAAAATTTTTAATTAAACGTTGATCAAATATTTGACCCATTTGCATGTTAGTTATTTCTAATTTTCCGATGACTTCTTTAACGTTGACCCAAAATTGGTCTTCGAGAGTCTACAACTTTACCAAACTTTATCCGATTCCAAAGTGGCATACCTCTAAAGACTTGTGGTTCGATTCTCTAAAAATCTGCACTCAAAATTTTTAATTTAACGTTGATCGAGTTTTTGACCCTTTTCATGTTAGTTATTTCTAATTTTCCAATGCCTTGTTTAAAGTTGACCCAAAATTGGACTTCGAGAGTCCACAACTTTACCAAAATTTATCCAATTCCAAAGTGGCATACCTCTAAAGACTTGTGATTCGATTCTCTAAAAATCTGCATTCAAAAGTTTCAATTTAACATTGATCAAATATTTGACCCATTTTCATGTTAGTTATTTCTAATTTTCCGATGACTTCTTTAACGTTGACCCAAAATTGGTCTTCGAGAGTCTACAACATTACCAAACTTTATCCGATTCCAAAGTGGCATACCTCCAAAGACTTGTGGTTCGATTCTCTAAAAATCCGCATTCAAAATTTTTAATTTAACGTTAATCAAATTTTTGACCCATTTTCATGTTAATTATTTCTAATTTTCCGCTGACTTGTTTAACGTAGACCCAAAATTGGTCTTCCAGAGTCTATAACTTTACCAAACTTTATCCGATTCCAAAGTTGCTTACCTCTAAAGACTTGTGGTGCGATTCTCTAAAAATCTGCATTCAAAATTTTTAATTTAACGTTGATCGAATTTTTGACCCTTTTCATGTCAGTTATTTCTAACTTTCCGATGACTTGTTTAACGTTGACCCAAAATTGGTCTTCCAGAGTCTATAACTTTACCAAACTTTATCCGATTCCAAAGTGGCGTACCTCTAAAGACTTGTGGTTCGATTCTCTAAAAATCTGCATTCAAAATTTTTAATTTAACGTTGATCAAATTTTTGACCCATTTTCATGTTAGTTATTTCTAATTTTCCGATGACTTGTTTAACGTTGACCCAAAATTGATCTTCGAGAGTCTACAACTTTATCCGATTCCAAAGTGGCATACCTCTAAAGACTTGTGGTTCGTTTTTCTAAAAATCTGCATTTTCATTTTCACATTGATTATTTTTTAAAGTTTGACTTCCAGAGTCCATAACTTTACCAAATTTAAGCAGATTTAAAAGTGTTAAAACTAACCGAGAATTAGTAATTAAGTTGTCAAAAGTTGATTGATCTGGCACTCTGGAAGACAGACAACCGAATTAATAGGTGAACAGTGAGTTATGATGCTTTAGGAGCCAAGCTACTGAAGTAGGTTGCCCTATCGCAGCTCTTTCCAAGTCAATGCACCCTAAATTAAGCTTATTAAGCAGCAAGGGGAGAAAAACTTTTTGCGCTGCGTTGGCAGCAATTAAAAAACCGCTACACCTGCGTTGCCAATTAATAGTTTTAGCTTGTTCCTTTTTCAAAATCATTTGGCAACTAAAACAATAGAAGGGGATGTGAGGTTTCAGGAAGTGCAGCAGGGCAGAAACGCTTTTTCTGGCGAGCGAACGAATTGCAAGGAAAAAGCAAAAGAAATCACAAGAAATATCGGGAGCAGAGCCAGTGTTTGTCTGTTGAAACTTTCTACCTCTGACTTGTATCTGTGAGGAAGCCTGCACTGAGAAAAATATTGTGGAAAATTTAAAAGATTAGGCAGACTATTTATCGATATTAAAAAAAGCTTAACAAAGGAAAAGGAAAATTGTAATTAATTTCCCGTAAGCTCTGCGGGGAACTTCTATGTAAATATGAATAATAATTATTTTTGGTAAAATATTTTTGTTTAAATGGGACATTTTCCACCATGTGTGTGTATAGAAGCAGCAACACCATCTCCATCCGCATCTTCAGCTGAGGCAATATCCTTATCTGCATTGAGGCAAAATTCTGTGCTAGTCCTGGCTCCCTGTTTCCTGGCTGCGTCTTCCAATTGTTGTTGGCAACTCGGGAGACAACTCAAACAGCCGAAGAAAGACTTCAGACTGCGGCTGCCTAAATGCCCGCCATTTATTTGTGAATGGCACTCGACAGACTCCAGGGCTAAGAAGACAAGAGGACGCCGTCATTCTGCGCCATTTCAAAGCACTAAACGTGCTGCTGTATGGCAAACAAGTTGGAAAAGTTTTCCACAAAGCCTCCAGCAAGCTCCCTATACATTAAGGGCTGCCGGCCACAGCCGCAAACTATTTTCATAAACTTCAACGAGTGGGCAACTAATAATGCAAACATTTAAAGGCTCTAGAGCAAGTACAGCATCAATCTATTACAGTCTTGTCAACTAACAAAATTACTTTATAATGAAGAGGATAGGATGCGCCCCTGTTTTATATTGGGTACTACATTAATTGAAAATTCATAAATCTACTTCAACGTTTGTGATAACTAAAAAAAATCATTGAAAACAGCAGTGTGTATAATACTAAAAGTATTATAATTTTATTGATGTTTGCAGCAAAGCTAACTTCTAAAAATTTTCGATTCAAAATTATTTAATTAAGGAAAATCAAACGCTCTATCATTGTTTATTAGTCAGATTTTCAATTTAATTTCAAAAACAGCAAATGCACATTTACTGCCACTTCACATCACTCTTTCATCGTTGCGCATAAATCAAAATAATTTACTGCCTCGCCGGCAGCCTGAATTTATTGAAATTATGCCAAAAAAAGTTCTGCAGATGCAACTGGATGCTGCTCGATTGCAGCGCGCAAACGATCCCATTTAATGGTTTCGATTTCAGCCAGGCCAGTCCTCCAATTTGTAATGCAATATGCTGATTTCTGCCACCAGCACGCCTGCAATTCCCTTGTTGCCTGTTTGGCTGCCAGTCAACACTCGTGTGCCAATAGAAATGCCAACGCGTCGACTCACTTGACCAACTTTGCAGCTGTTTGACGCTCTTCAAGTGCCAGAAATAGCGGAAGCCTGCCACTATTGGCAAAAAAGTTTGACATTCCGCCCGGCAGCGTCTTATTTCAATTAAAAATTCTTTAACAAATCAATTTACTGCGCCTAGCGCAAAACTGATTAAAGTAACGGCAGCCATAAAAGAAATGCAATTTTAAGAGTGGCGACCGGCTGCGGCGCACTCCGAATTCCCTTTTCAAGCCTCCGGGGGCTCAGAGGTTTGGCGGAAAATCTCTGCTTTCCCGGGCTTGATAAAGGCTTACGGCGCCACCAGAGGAAGTTGAATTCCTCGCCAGCCCCCCGGGGCGATTAAAATGGCAGCTTCGGTGCGTCGGTACAGCGGGTAAATTAATTTATTTGTTAAACTTTGAAATGTCAGGGAGTCAAAGTCAAAGTTTGCAGCGCGGGAAAAGAAAAATAATCAACTAAAACTAAAACAAACAGCCGGCAGAGTGTGTGAAGGGCGTGGCTGCGGTCCAAAGGCGTCGGCTACAGCATCTCCAAGGACTTTATCATAAAGTTTATCCTGGCTGGGAAAGTTCCTGCAAGATGGCTAGTGATGGCAAACATTCAAAATTATAAAGAGGGGAAACAGCCCTTTACAAAGTTGTTAGATATCTTGAGATGATATTGTTTTTATCCTGAATAGTATTTATAACACAAGGAAATCAGTATAGATTTTACAATTTAAAATTCGTTAAAGAAAACGCCTTTTCTAAACTTCTTCTAAAATGAACTTATTTATTTTATTAAATATAGTAAACTAAATAGCTTTCAATTTGAAAAAGTTACTTAGAATAGTCAGGAATAGTCCCTCGATTTTCTAAAATGAATCTTCTGTTTCTTTCCCCATGCTTATCCAGGCAATATGAACTGGACCACCTTGCACTGTTAGGTGCCTAATGAACGGGCAAGCCACGGAGGATTAAGGTGGCGGAATGGCCAGGTGGGAGTAGTCGAGCAAACACTCTTATCCATTCCACTGAGCACGAGTCGCAATCAAATTAAGTGCTGTCGGCCAGTAGATTAAACCCCTTTGTTCGGCCCAATTACTCGGTATTCAATCGGGAGTTCATTTCAAAAATTGCATTAAACAGTGCGGTAACTTTGATTAAAGTCCGATAGACGTCGCACGTGTGGCTTGTAATTGAATTTGTCTCCGAGTGTGTATCGCTTGCATTAAAGTGTGGGGCAACATATTTCGCACTTTGTGTGCAAACAGCGCCGCCTAAAAGGTGAGCCGCCCCCAAAAAAGTGTCATTCAACCCGCACGTCCTCACTTCGTCTGTGGCAACGGCAGCGGCATATAAATCAGATTTTGCAATTAAGCCTTCATTGAAATTCAAGCGGAAAATGTAAATTTATTATGGTAGCCGCGGAAATGATGAGGGAATGGCGGTGTTCCCCCAATTCACTAACTGATTAATCTGGTTTTTCCTACTAATAGCAGTTCAAAAGGCGAATTTGTCCCGAAAAGACAACGATAGAATATAGTATATGATCCCTCTTTTCAATTCTAGCCTAACGTTCAGCAGCTTAGATACTAACTTTTCAATATAAATAAAACTTAAAATAGGCATTGTCTGCGAGACATTATATATGTTTAAAGCACATTAATAAAATTATACTTGAGTGATGAAAAGTCAATCCTGAGAGATTGTGAATGCAAGCAAATCAGCAAGGCCATAAGTATTTGTAGTTTAAATCCACGCCCATTTAAATTTTGGTTAACTATATCCTTAAGAGAAAGTCTTTTATTAATGGAATTTATTTAATTGTAGAGGCTATCACTTGCTAACTCCCGCCCAAAATCGTTTCTAATCAATCACTTACCTTTCTACGTCCACAACAAAGCATTCTTCGCACACGCGAATTTCCAGTAGCTGCTTTCAATCGAGTAAACTTCTTCTTCCACTGCATTTATTAGTGGGGATCCGATTGGGAATATCTCCCGTCGTTCCTGTCCTGTCTTTTCCTCTCGCCTTGGGTGGGGTTTCGTTCGAAGGCAACTTCTGTTAATTGCCGTATTTGTTTGCTCGTCCAACTAAAGTTGGTGGCAATGGCATTTGGTCAATGCTGAACACGTTTGTTGGTTCCTTACAAAAATGCGATATAAAAATGCAAGTTCGGTTTATTCGTTGTGAGTTGTTAGTTCCTGCAAAATGTAGAGACAGTAATGAGTTATAAAATGAGCGCACGGCCATAAGCAAGTATTTACTGTCACAAGATTGTCAACAAGCTGGCACACATACTCGCCCGACACGACAAGGCACAGTGGGACGCATAAAATCCATAAATAAACTATTACAAATGTATATATGTGCATTTGTTTTGCATTTAATATAATTATAGATTTATACCTACTGTATTACTGAGAAATCAAATTAAAATTCATCTCCTAGGGGTTTAAATATATTTGTTATAGTGTTTTTAACATTAACATTAACAGTGCACTGTGCTTGGTTGTGTGTTTGAGAGTGTATCTGTTCGTGTGTAACTTAATGAAGCTTTACACTTCGAGGGCCTGGAGCCTGACATGTGTCATATGCATTTGCTTGACAAGGCATTCAAGCACTTGGACAGTTTTACCCCTACCACCCGACTTCTCCCCCTTCTCACACTCACACAGAGAGCACTTCTGTATTATGCATATATCGAGTAACTGTCTGCCTCTGATTTTATAGCGCTGATAATTCAATGTTTGCCCTTTTCCTTGGCTTTCGTCCTCTGACCATTGGCAAATAATATGTTGTTCGCTAAGCACAGATATAGGTAGAGATGGGAATACAGAAAGAAATTAAAAATTATGGAGAGCAAAGGCACCTAGAAAGTATGCTACAATTTCTAGCAGTTGTCGCTATAAGATTTTTATTTTAAACAGGACAAAGGTTTTTGTCACCTGTTTTTCAATCTTATTAATGTTTAAAAAAACAATTCTAACAATTAATATTAAACAAAATTATAAATTAGCTAATTATAAACCATTTATATAAGTTATTTTGTTACATCTTCTTCAGTTTTTGTTTATAAAACATTAGGAATTAATTGTAATGTGCATATATTATTATTTATTATTTTTAAATGCTCGCACACTGAAATCTTCTTTATTAATTAAAATATCACCAAGATTCGGCCATTTTTTGTAAAAATTTTAATGTTTAAAATGTGACTATCATTTAACCAAGGACACATTTCGCATATTAAGGATTTCTCAGCAGATGTGGGACACTACTAACTCTTTTTCCCCTTGGCAGCTTGACCAAACATGCAAACACTCGCAAAAGCTGTACTTTTATGGTAATAAAGAGGATTGGCAGCCAGCCTGACTGGTTTAAAGGCCAATTGTGTTGGCCTGGTTTTCGTAAGTAAGCTGAACTTGCTCTTTGCTAAGTTCTTGTAAAGAAAATTATTTCTTCAGAGTCGCGCAAGGCGTTGATAAATACTTTGAACCGATATGTATTAAATAATATTTATAAAAACATGTTTACACTTTTAAACTTATTCCTATTTAGTATACAAAAAAAGTATTTAAAGTGGCTTTCCTTGTTTCTGTAAATCAATAATAAATAAATGATAAAGGAGGAGTGTTAGTAGAGCACTGGAAGGCAAATCCATGTGCAGCCCTGATGCACAAGCATAACTATTAAGCCCACATACTATTTGGTATGTAAGTTATAAAAATTAAAAATCAAGACACAAAGGTTTAAGGAGAGTGGCCAGCACATGGACATCTCTCCGAACACCCTCAACAAAAACTGTTCGTCATTATCGTCGGGTTGATCATTGTCATCGCCATTAGAGGCACGTAGTGGCGCCTTGGTTGGCACTTTGCCCACAACTCCAACTGAGATTTTGTTGCCATAAAACAATTGTGACTGTCCTTTGCGGAGTTTCCTTGTACCGAACTCCCCTTGCATCCCTCAGTAATTGCAATGGAAAATGGAACAATCATGCATAGGGCATTCAAATGTACAAAGAATAAAATGGAACCATGTTCTTATAGATATGTGAGGGTCCAGCTGCATTACTAGCAACTGATTTCCTAGCTATCTTCTATGTTTGTTTCAGTGATGCCAGAATCCTTATTTAAAAAAAAATAATCTAACTTTTACAATCTTAGAAAAAAATGCATTGTAAAGAAGTGAAGGGATACAAGTATTTGACCCAAATGTGATCACTTATTAATAAGTTTATTTCGGTACTGAACAATATTGTCCTAATACTAGGATTTCAACTGCTTAAAAGGAGTGAAGTTGTCTTATCCAACTGATCGATATAAAATTAGACAACATCAGGAAAAGTTTATCAGAATGGGATATTTCTGAAAAAGTACTTACAAATATACATTTAAATAACAACTATAGTAAGCTATTGATAATCGACTTTTTAACTTCTTATTTTCAAATGTAATCAAACCTGCTTTTAAGTAAATAAAGGAACTCGTTATTGCCATCACAATGACAAGATTCAATTGCGGACCGCGAAATACATCGAACTGGTTAAAAAAAACCAAACTGGCATCCCTGCTGAGAGTTCTTGTGTGCAACAGAAAAATTTCTATTCATAATTCATTCGCAGCGGGTGCACTGCATCAGTCGTGTGAGGGATTTTGAAAAGCAGGAGGACCTGGAACATGCAGATACAAGATACTTTGTGTCACAACTGCAGCAGCGACAGAGTACAGCAATCAGCCAGAAGAAATGCTGGCAGGGTGTTCACTAGCAGCAGCAAAACCATTGCCAGCCGCCAGTCCTCTGGATTGTTGTCTAGGTACGCATAATATGTATTATAATGACATCATAAATTCAGCCCGCTTTGTGCTATGTGCATAAATGAGTGACAAAGATTTCCTTCCCGCCATTCAAGCTGCAAAAATGGCAAATCATTTATTTAATAATAAAAAACAGAGACTATTTGCAGTAAGCATGAAAAGCATTACAGAATCGGCACCGCTCAGCGAAGAGGTCTACCCTTATTTCTTGAGAACTCAGTCAACGGCCAATAACGTAGTAAATAGTAAATAAGTAAAAAGTAACATTATTACGAGATTTGATGTTATTTAAACAAATCAATATAGAATTTCGTTTGTTAATTGATGTGCTTTTCTTTTCCTAGTGCATACTGCTCGCCATTTGGGCAATGCAACAATGGGGATATCAATCCACTTTAAATGGCATGACAGTCGTCGATTGCGTTTTTTTAATCCTAATCCCAGCGCATAATTTGGTATTCCAATAGCTGCGTTCAAGTTTATCCACCACTCCCTCCTTTCCCCCTTTCATTCGCCAACACAAGTAAATGCATGTAGCACCAGTCTAAAGGAATATCCACCAAAACAGAGACCCACCACCAACGACTGTCGCACCCTCATCCTCACCTATCACACCCTCTGGACTTCTGCCGTACGTTCATGCGACTGCACACACACTGGGCTGAAAAACGTTTTCTCCATCCAGGAAAATTTTTTTAATTTAGCTTGACTAGTTCCTTTATATTTATAAATTGTGTATCGTTTTATTTGAACACCGTTTACATAAACAAGAACACGAAGTCTGATTTAATACCTTTACAGAAAATATTTATTTTCATATTAAGAAAACTTTATTTTCAGTGCAGTCGCCCCATAGTGCTACTATTGCCATTTTCCATCCAAGAGGTGGTGCTGCTTTGTCACCAGGCAACTGTGCAACATGCCACATGCAACACGAAACTAGCAGCTAGAAACTTTAAACTTGCAACTCACTTGGACGCTAGACAAAAACCCCGTTGAAATGCCAAAAAAATATGCTCGAAACCATAGAAACTGGCAAAGCTGTGGGAAAACCCAGGGTTTTATCTAATTAGTGAGTGCAGATTCAAAAGGATGGAATTATGGTTGCACAGCATGGGATGTTGCGGATGAAGCAACCACTGCACACATTGCATTAAAGCTTAGATACCTACCATATAGGCGGGTCAAAAAAAAAAAAATTAAAGAAATAAATCAAATATTTTATTATTTGAAAAACTCGGCTAAAACTGTTTAAAATACCATTTGCATTACCTGAATTGAGGCAACATTTTTAATCGTGAGCCAAATATTCTAAGTTGTCAATATAGAACAGAAACCATTATAAATGCTATATACTATAATTTTTTTCCGCACTCAATGTTTTTTAAAAATGCAATAAACGATAAATAAAGTCCCGAATGGCAGCTTAAATGGTTTCTATTGAAAATCACATTTATGGCCAACGTAAAGCTTCCACCAGCTATCTTTTGTGTGCAACGGACATTTTTACAATTCTGCATAAAATAATGATAGTTTTTATGGTTTTGTTTGAGTTTGTCTGAGTTTGCTTTTATTTTTCGTAATATTTTTATGTTTTGGGACTCCACACGAATATTTCTCTGTTTGCTTGCAAAATTGGAGCAAAGCTCTTAACTCTGAGGGTAGTTTGGTAGACTCCAGGGGCGGTTTGGCGGGGGAAAAGAAACAGCGGCTTTGAGTGAAATAAAAAACGAAGGAAAAACATTTATGATTGTTTATGTCGCGGTTAATGTTTTGCTTTCTGGACTTCTCCCCCTTTTCGGCTTTACTTTTGTTGTTTTCTGCTTGTTGGTTTCTTAGATGTTTCGACGAAGCTGTAACCGCAAGATATTAAATTTGTTGTGTTTTTATATTTTTTTGATGAATTGCATTTTTTGATTAGAGGGCTGGAATACCATTCTTGATTAAAAACAAAATTTAAGAAATAAACTTATTTTGAGGTAAAATATTTGGTATTTTAAGACTTTTGTTTTTTAATAAAAGACTGTTTCTTTTTTCAGTTAAGCAAACTTAAAATTTAACTTAAAACACTCTTGATACCTAATGAACCAAATTTTTTAAACTCAATAGTTTTGAACCTTAACCCATATTTTTTAATGGCAAAACATTTTGTGCCACATTCCCCATTAGACTGGAGTTGACAGCGACAAGGACATTTCTATCGATCGGCTGGCCGCTGTTCAATTAGCCAGTCAATTAACTGAAAACTGTCCTCTTTATCGTCGGCTGTCATTTCGATGAACACGGCACACTCAATGAATAGTTTTCCCTGGTTTTTCTCACCTGCACTTTGGAACTATGATGCCTCCTGACGCCTGACGCTTGACGTTTTCCTTCTAATCCGTGCCAACGGCTGCTGCCCAAGTTATGAGAACATGAGATCACAAATTGCAAAGGACAACCACGAGGACGAAGAGGGTGAGGAGCAGGGGGCGGCGAATGAGGAGGAGGGGGAGTGGGCCAGTTGCAGTCACCGGTCGTAAATGTGTGCCGTGTTGTAAAGAGGATGCACTTGCTCTCTCCCGTTCTCTCTGGTCTCTCCTTAAATAACTCTCTCTCACTGTCTCTCGATTGCTCTGCCTTTTATTTCAGCTTCGATTTGTTTTAATTTCCGCTGAAGCTGCTTTTACTTCCGGGGCAGTGGAATTGCAAAAATGCAAATTGCAAATAGCTACGTGGGTGTTTTTGTTGTTTGAGACAAATCGCCGATTCGGTGGTCATTGGATTGAAATTCGAAGTGGCAGTATATTCCTGCATCCTCTTCTTGCTACTTTATTCATAATCCTTTCGTTGCCTTTCGTTTCAAAGATTCTCCGCTTTCACCGCTTTTTCTGCTGTTTTTTTGCTGCGGCATTTTTTGCGTAACTTGTGAGTTAATTTCAGCATGTTTGATGTGTTCCCGGAAAAACTACAACTTATCTTTTTTGCCGTTTAATTGATTTCTGCGCGAGTGTGTGTGTAGGAGCGCGTGAGTGTAAGTGCGCGGCGGGCGGGTGTGTGTGGGTGTGCGGGGGAGCCAGCTGCGGAATGCGTCCGTGTGGCAGCGCGAAGCTTTCACAACTATGCGAATTTCCTGCGTACGAATTTCAGTATAATAAAATATCCTGTTCCGTTTTTAAAGAGACAGAGCGGGAGAGCGCAATTTATACAGCGCATGCGCCGCGAATTTGGAGCAACTCATTGCTGAAGGCGATAACACCGATACGCGTACAACACCAATACGAGCACCCACCACCGCGATGGCGCTCCCTCCCTCTCACTCACACTCACTCCGCAACTCCTTGTCACTTTTTTCACTTTGCTGCGGCGCTTTTCCTGGCTTTTTCCTGCTGTTTATTGGCACTTTCGGTTTTTTTTTCGTTGGCTTTCTTCTTTTGGACACCTAAAACACGAAGGTTTTTATGTTTTAGCACTGTATTTACTAGAATAACTGCCAAATGTTCGCTGATCGGAGGAAATAAAACACTAGCAGAAAGCGACGAGAGCTAAATGCAGCGTGCAAGAGCGAGATTGCACGACTGTCAGCTTTCACCATTGCACATAGAGGATGATTAGGTGGAGTTTGGAGAGAGGGGAAAGCAGAGCGCAAGCGCCGAAAACATCCCGTTACGTGGCTTTAAGACAGTATATACTGAATTTGGATTTAAATGTTTAAAAGATTCTTAACGGGTGAATTTTGTAACACTCTAAACTACAAAAATGCTGGGTTTGCCTTTTACATTCCTCCAGATGGGCTTTTTCGGCACAAACTAAATTAATGTATTTTAAAATTTTGTTTCGTAAACGGTTTCTTTTTTTTCTACAAAATTGAAAACTAATAAATATTTCTTAAATTTAACACAAAACAAATTCTTGTATGTATTATGGTACGGGTCTTCCGTTTTTTGAATTACCCGCCTATAAGAAAACCAGTTGGCATGTCTATTATCGATAGCAATAAGTATCGTATTATCATAATAAGTACTGAATGTGCGAGTGCAATATTTGGGTCAACTTAAAACTTAAAACACAATGTTTTTGCATAACACAAAACTGTGCAGACTGGCCGGTGAGTTCTGATGAGTGGATTTTAATTGTCCCAGATAACTGTCTTATTTCCCATTCAACAGGGAACATGGCGACCTGTGTACGCCACCTGAGCGGCCAGAAACCTAAGACTGCTATTTTAATGCTCAACATGGGTGGTCCTACTCATACGGACCAGGTGCACGACTACCTCCTCCGCATCATGACTGATCGGGACATGATCCAGCTGCCAGTGCAGAGTCGTCTGGGTCCGTGGATCGCTCAGCGCAGGACGCCCGAGGTGCAAAAGAAGTACAAGGAGATCGGCGGCGGATCCCCCATCCTCAAGTGGACCGAGCTCCAGGGCCAGCTCATGTGTGAGAAGCTGGACAGGATCTCTCCGGAGACGGGGCCGCACAAGCACTACGTGGGCTTCCGCTACGTCAATCCGCTCACTGAAAACACGCTAGCCGAGATCGAAAAGTGAGTCTGGAGCCCTCTTTTGATGATGTAAACATAGCAAAGGTCTTGAAATAGATTTGTATTAATATGATCCAAATAGGGATAGCTTAATGATAGGATAGCAGTCAGCGGAGATATCTTGTCTTGTATAAAAAAGTACAAGTTAGTTACCAATCCATAACTACCAGAGTGATATATAGATTATTATAGATTACATTATATTCGAATTAAATTATTGATAATAATAACCCTGCTTTAGAGTTAATTAACTTTTGCTCCTCTAAAGCAAGGTTATTGTTATTATTATTTTCTATCAAATCGAATATTTAGTTTATATAAAAAGTTCTTTAGGCGATTAAGCATGTTTTGGATATACTAGTTTTCGTATTGCGCGACTTCTAGTGAGTTTAAAATACCTTCTATGCACAACTGTTTTTATAGTAATATCATTAGATAGTTTCATTTTTTATAGTGCAAATATGAGGTTTATTCAATCGAACACAAGTTGCTATTTTAAAATTCAACCACCCCAAAATTTCATTGAATTCTTTAATTTTGTAACTCTTTTATTATGGTTTTTTTAATTTAAACTCTTGACAACCACCATACCAATTGCAGCGACAAGCCAGACCGCATCGTGCTTTTCTCGCAGTATCCACAGTACAGTTGCGCCACCTCGGGATCCAGTTTTAACTCCATCTTCACTCACTACCGCAGCAAGTGAGTAACAAATCCCTTTTGAAATAATCTACTGGTAATAGCGAGCTTCTGCCTACAGTAACCTGCCCTCGGACATCAAGTGGAGCATCATCGACCGGTGGGGCACCCATCCACTCCTGATCAAGACCTTCGCTCAGCGAATTCGCGATGAACTGGCCAAGTTTGTGGAGACAAAGCGTAACGATGTGGTTATCCTCTTCACTGCCCATTCCCTTCCACTGAAGGCCGTGAGCCGTGGCGACGCATATCCTTCGGAAATTGGAGCCAGTGTGCACATGGTGATGCAGGAACTGGGTCAGACAAATCCCTACAGTCTGGCCTGGCAATCGAAAGTGGGCCCGCTGCCTTGGCTGGCACCAGCCACCGACGATGCCATTAAAGTAGGGTTGCATTTCCGAAATTCGGTTTGGATCAAGCTATAATTTGAATCAATCTTCGCAGGGCTATGTTAAACAAGGCCTGAAGAACTTCATCCTGGTGCCCATCGCCTTTGTTAACGAGCATATCGAGACGCTACACGAGCTGGATATCGAGTACTGCGACGAGTTGGCGAAAGAGGTGGGCGTGGAGGAGATCCGCCGGGCGGCCGCCCCCAACGACCACCCGCTGTTCATTGATGCCCTGAGCAACATTGTTGCGGATCACCTAAAGTCCCAGCAATCAGTCAACCCCAAGTTCCTGATGCGTTGCCCCATGTGCACCAATCCAAAGTGCAGGGAAAGTAAGAGCTGGTACCGCCAGCTGTGTACAAACTAGGAAACCGAGGCACTTCGCGAGATCAGGATGCACTGCATGACGGGCATTCCAAGTGCTCCAGCTGGGAGCCAACATTTATGCATTCATCTGGGTTTATGGGGGATTGGATTTCAAACACTGGCTTTCATTACTATTCGCTGGCAATAAAGCAAATTAAAGACACTGCTAAACAGTTGAAATAACAGTTGTTGTTGCAGCTTTAGTTTAGTTTAAACGGAAAATCATCTAAGAACTCCATAGGTCAGAATATGATATTATTGTTAAATTTGTATAGCTTGTTGATGACATTATTCTTTTTCCCTAGGTCGCATGAAAATGTTAAAAAAAAATGGAAAGTCATTATACCCTTGCAGAGGGTATTATAATTTTGGTCAGAAGTTTGTAACGCAGTGAAGGAGACGTTTCCGACCCCATAAAGTATATATTCTTGATCAGGATCAATAGGGGAGTCGATATAGCCATGCCCGTCAGTCCGTCCGTCCGCCGTCTGTCCGTCTGTTTCAATACCGTTTGCGAGCTCAGTTTAAAATCTAGCTATCTGAAACTTTCCCAGTCGTCCTAAAACAAGTGTACGCAGATCAAGTTTGAAAACTTGCAAGAATGGAAGATATTTTGCACAGAGTAAAAGCTATTGACATAAATCTTTCCAAATCTTATTTTTTATCCATACCCTGATCAGGGTTAAAGCGCCTGGCGATCGGACGTCCATATTCTATAGCTCCCATAGGTACAATAGGGTGAAATCGGTTACAATTTAATGATTTTCAGGATATTTCGCGCAGTATATAAGCTATTGACATGAATCGTTCCAACTCATATTTTTTTACGCATACCTTGATCCAGGTAAAAGCGCGTACCGATCGGACGTCTATATCTTATAGCTCCCATAGAAACAATAGGGTGAAATCGGTCCAAATTTGATGACTATCAGAATATTTCGCGCAGTGTGTAAGCTACTGACATAAATTTTTCCAAGTCTTATTATCTTGATTAGGGTAAAAGCGCTTGCCGATCAGACGTCTATATCTTATAGCTTCCGTAGGAAAAATTGTTAAAGGCTGCGAAAGTATCCCTTTTTTTCTATTTTTATATGACATTTTTGCAGTATAAAAGCAATTAACATGAAACGATGCAAATCTAGTTTACTTATGTATACCTTATTCCTTTCGCTACTTTTTCAGTTTTGGCAATTTCGGCAAAGTCTGCAAGGGTATTAAAACTTCGGCTTGCCGAAGTTAACTTCCGTCCTCGTTATGACTTGAAATACATAGATTGATGGATGGGTAACAGGAAATTTAATTTATTTGAAAGTATTGCATTCTGTGTTTTATAGACTTGCATACCCTAGAGTATTAACGTATCACACATGACCTTATTTATATATTTTATATTTTTAGATATCTTTGGCTACCCGGAAATTTAAATTTTTGAGGAGTAGCCAATGGTTTTGTCATTTTAAAATAAAATTGTTAATACAAGAGAAACATAAAAATCCCACATTGTAATTTGCAATATTTTGTGTGAGGGCATAACAAATATACTTCGTTAAAAACGAGTAATGCATAAGTAATCAGTACGATAGCCATAACAAAACAGCAACGCTCTATTTTAAGAGAATTTATATTTTTGAACTTTCTCTTAGTTTGACTCTCTGTGTCGCACGTGCGGGATGTTTTGGTATTTTTTTTTATCGGTACAACAGCTGTTCGACTGTCAGTTTTATTCTCGTCTTCGATGCTTATTAAATGATTGAGTTTTGATTGTTCAAATGGCCCACGAAATTTGCCAAAGCTTGACGTGCTCAGCCGTCTCCGCCTCCTGGAAACTCCTGCATTTCGTATCCTGCGGCACAGTCGACAGAAATTCACAGAATATTGCATAAGAAACCTCATTTAATCAACGAAACTGAAACTTGTAGGGCCACCAAATTGGAACCTCGACTTTGTATTTATTCGCGGCTCTCACGGCAATTAACCGGCCAATCGCCGTCGATTCCCCACATTTCGCCAATTGAGCCATTGATTTTCAATAACTAACAAACCCGAAACCAAACGACTTTGCCTGCGCATCCCATCGTACAGCTACAGTGGCCTGGATCGAGGAATCTAATCGCCGCAGGGATCATAAATTAATTCGAAGAGTACACTCCGAGTCCGAATATGAGCAAGAACCATAAAACACGAGGAGCTGGTGGCCCCACGAATCCGGCGGGGCCAGTCTACGGCGTGATCTCGACGTTGGACGACGCCGCTCCGAATCCCGCGGATTTCGCTAGGTAAGCACTCCCAAACTCATTTTATGTTCAGTCTGCTTGTTTTGCTTCCCATTTTGTGAAATGAAGAGAGAAAACCAGTTTAGAACTGGGTTTAAAGGCTGCCGACGGGCTTTCTTTCCATCTCTTTCTCCAGTTTTGGCTGGCATTATGTTTAACGATCACATCGTGACGCTACAGCTTTAACCGCACTGTGTCATATCGATAATAATTTTAGGAAACTACCACAACCAATAAATCAATTAAACTTAAATTTTGGAACTTTTTACCGATAAACAACACAAAATCAAGTCATATATTTCATTTAAATTATAAACTAATGGAATTAATTAATTAATTTTGTACGTAGATTTTCAATATATTTATTTGTTACCTTGACGTAATTGCTCTGGTAAATTTCCAAAAGAAGCATCAAAGCTAGTACTATTACATCGTTAGGAAATCCAAGCTTCCAAAAATAGTAAAAACTATCAAAACAAATTAGTTTTGCCCTTATCTACTGAAAATTATTGCAATTCATACGTGCCATCTAAGAGTTATTAATGTTCCGATCTTCACTTTTCGCAAGAAGTTTTAGACGTAGTTTAAAGTTTACATAAATGCATTTATTTGTTATTATGATGAATTTCTTGTCTCTACTCAATATACGATGCGGGGTTAAGTGGATGCCAATTCCTATTGCGATCCTTATCGACTTTAGCCAGTTACGTGCAGACAACGGCACTCCATTCGGCTGGTCAAAAATTAATTGAATTAGCAGATTAGATGAGGATCGTATATGACCACCGGCATACCACTCAATATCACTTGAAAATGAGATAAGCACAGAGATATATCCAGTCAATTCTCACGTTTTCATAATAAGATATTAATGTGGGAAATTTTCAAAGTATTTTTTATCTATATTTAGATAAATATAGATAAAAAATACTTTGAAAAATATAGATAAAAAATACTTTGAAAATTTTTTTCTTATACTAATGGAACAAATTTTACTAATCAAATATAATTTCATTGAAACACAGCTGGGAAATAATTTGTCCATAAGGACATATCTATATTATTTCAAACTGTGAAAATTTAAATTTTTTCGAGTTCAAAGTTTTGAAAATATAGAGTAAGTGCTCTTCTAAGAGATTAACAATATTAAATTGATAATAAAAAAAAATGTATGTATGTAATTTTCCGAATATTTCTGAATTATAAATCTATATTCAGACATTAAACCCATGTTTATTTAAGGTAGCTCTCATTTTTCCGTGTGAAACCCAAGTGTTAAACCACAGAACCAATTTAATCGTATTTACCCAGTTATCTGTCCAAAAGACAACCCTAATGAACTGTAAATACCATATGCTTGATAATGAGTTTTTAAGGCTTATCTGAACCTATAGCGAAATTAACACTGAAAACGCGTCTGACTGGTGACCATAAACATAGGCAAATAATAGTCAACAATGTTGCAAGGCCAAAAAAGGTTTTTTATAAATTAGCGCCATATAAAAGAATTTAGATCGGATTTAAAATGCAAATTAGGTTTACTATTAAACAAAATATATTATTATTATAAGTTCAGATTTATTAGTAGAACTTATTGGTAGAAAAAAGGACATTAAAAAGTAATCGAATAATCTAATCTAACTTAGAAAAGGTAACTGATTTTTGAATTATGAAAAAATGATTATCAATTGAACATATTAGGACCTGCTTCGATTTAATGATTTACATATATTAATTATTATTTATCTAATCTTATCTATCTACCTACAGATTCCCTTCGCCTGAGGTCAAGAAAGGTGAACTGAGTTTGTTCCTTAGCTGGGACAGCCCCAAAAAGAATATGGAGATAAGCTCGAAACTGAGTAACCGCAGCTGGATCGTCGACATGCTGGCTGTTTTCTTCGGCATCGGTACCTGGCTTGGCGTCAATGGCACCTTCATCCAACTGCCTTTGCTGGTGAACGAGGCACCGGAAGGTTGGAGTCTGCCCTCCTATCTCAGCGTGATGGTGCAGATTGGCAATCTAGGCCCCCTGCTATACACGGCCATCCAGAAGTATTCCCCCAAGAAGCTAAACGACGGCTGGACTATCCACGGAGTGCTCCTGGTGGGTGCGATCTCTTGCCTGTTGACGGCTTTCTTCTACAACCGAACTGCTTTAGTCGCTGGCACGGATCACAGTCTGGCCCTTTTTGTGTTAACCTGTTTCACGGCACTAAATGCCTGCACCAGCTCAGTGCTCTTTATGCCCTACATGGGTCGCTTCAAGGAGCAGTACATGGTCACCTACTTCATTGGCGAAGGACTGAGCGGTCTGCTGCCCAGCGTGACCGCTTTGATCCAAGGAATCGGAGAGAGCGGCAACTGTGTCCTAGTCAATGTAACCGAAACTGGACAGGAGATCTACGAACTGCAGAAGACACCGCCTCGATTCGACACCCGTGTCTTCTTCCTCATCCTCTTCGCGCTCATGGTGTTTGCCTATGTGGGGTACGCTCTCCTGAACTCCCTTCCACTGGCCAGGAGGGAGTACGCCCAGGTGACTGTTAGCGAGGGCAACAAGTACGTTTACGGAGAGGCGGATAGTCAGCCAAAAACGGAAAAGATCACCAAGGGTCAGTACACCTACCTGCTCCTGCTGATTGGAGTCATCTCTCTGTTCAGCAACGGAATGTTTGGCAGCATCCAGTCCTACTCCAGTGCCCCCTACGGATCCCAGGCATATCACCTGGCGGCCACACTCAGTGTGATTGCCAATCCGGTGGCCTGTTTCATGGCCATGTTTCTGCATTTCACATCGCTGCGGATCATCACCGTGCTCTCTATCCTGGCGGGTCTGCTGACAAGCTACGTTTTTACAACGGCCGCCTTGAGCCCCTTGCCGCCACTTCACGATCAGACCACGGGAGCCGTGCTGGTGGTCACTGCCTGGACCTTGCTGGTGGGGATCGTAAGCTACACTAAGCTGGGAATCACCACCGTGATGCGAGCACAGGGCGGGCAGTCGCTGGTCTGGGTGGGGGCTATCACGCAGCTGGGGTCTGCAATCGGAGCGGTGGCCATCTTCTTCGCCATCAACTACTCGGATCTGTTCCAGGCCGCGGAGACAGGCTGCTGACCCGCTTGGGAGTTCAACAGAACCAGAATATTCAGGAATGCATCGCGATTTTGTAGATGATTTTACTGTAGTTTAGTGTGATATTTTCGTATTTGTATTTCCACCTCAATGGTCACAATGAAGACAATACCTAATTACCTGAACGGCGTTTCGATGTTTTAAACATTCAAAGGTAATATCAATAACACTCGAACGGAGTTCCTAATTTGTAGGACAATACGGAATGCTTATTGTTCCAAAATAATAAAGCCTTTATACAACTTTAAAACATTATCAGAGCTAAATTACAATTCATCCTCCTTTTATTTTACCTATTTTAATTTAAATTTAGTTATTTAAATATATAACAATGATTGAAATTGGTTACACATATATAAACAAAATTAAATTTTGCTTTAAATTATAAATGCTTTATTTAATGCATTTTAGTGTCGATAATTTATAACCAATTTGCGCCGTTTGATTTTGGCTACATTCATCTACACCATTCTTATACCAACTAAGCCTATACTTGGGGATGTAGTCCACGATGAATCTTGCTTTTATAAGTTTTCTTCCTAATCGTCCTTAATATCCATAAATCGTTATATAATTTGAATGTTAATGTAGTTATTGAATATGGTACTTCAAAACGATTACAATTTTGATCCCAGATTTTTCCCGTGCCTATTTTTTAGTTGGGTTCCTTTATCAGCCAAATCTTTTAAGGGACAACCTCCATTTCAAGTTCGGTGCTTGACTTATCCGCCTGTTCCACCTCGCTGTCAATGTCGCCCTCGTATCCTGAATTGGTTTTTGAGGCGACAGGAAGGGGTTTGTGTCCTCCAGCTTCAGCGGACTCGTCAAAACTGCAGCAGCTGCAGAAACAATCGGTAAAGTGGCGGCAGGTGTCGCCCAACTTTTCGGGTGTACCCTCCAAGACCTTGTTGAATGCCTCAATCTTTTCACGAAGACTGCGATTGGCACTAGGACACCTGATCAACTGGCTGGCTTGCGGAGAAGGTCGAGGAGATTCATTGCTAATCTTCTCCAGAAAGCCGAGCACCTTCTCCAGTGATTCGCGAGCACGTTTAAAGTTCAGTAGGCTGTCCCGCAATATTTGACTCTCATTGAGGTGCTCGAATTCAACTAAAAGACCATGAATCTCGGTCAGATTCGAGGGCAAACTTATACCCGCCACGGAAGAAATCTGCGAAGCGTTCGCCGCATTGACGCTCTCGAAACCCAAGATCAGGCGCCGGATTTTGGTGGCCTGGGCTTGGTGGCCACTCCTCGCTAACTGCATCATGTTGTTTACGTCGCCCACCTCCTTGAGCAGCTGCACCGACGACTGGACGACCTCCTGGTGCTGCCGGATGCCCTCTCTTAGGCGATCACGAAGGTTTTGAAGGTAGGCGCTGATTCGACGCACCTGCTCCTTCTCATCCACATTCTCTATAAAAACTAAATGTTGGCAAGTGAATATGTGAGATTGACTTATCATATACAGGAGCGAGTTTTGGTGGATTTCCATTCAAACAGCTTACCAGGCATCTCATTCTCGATCCCTGATTTGGCATTTTCGTTGGCCATTGCAATTCGCCTACAAAAATAGAGCAGCTGAAAAAAAAAAAATTTCAATAAAAATTTAAGAAAATCTGATGACAAATTTCTGATTCAAAACGACACTGTCTGGTGAATTTATAAAATTTTGATATTTAAACCTCTAAGGTAAAATGATTAAAACAAATTGTATTACATTGAAAGGTAACCCAAAAGTAAACATTTAGTGCCAAGAACTTGACTCATCCCCATTTAAATTTGTAATACCTAACCGTTTTTATTTAATTTTTCTAATATCTGCAAAACCTTTTTTATGTTGATGCCACATTTTTATGGTGATTGTTTTAAATTTAAAATTTAGGCTTATAATTTTGTGTCGTTTTTTTAAATGGTCGGTTATGGGGCACTTTGTAGGCACTCTAGTCATATCAAAAGTGACTGGAAAGAGAAAAAAATAAATCAGTTCTCTTGACTCCCTATTTCCCCCCGCCCCCTTCCCCACTTATGCACGGAGAAGCGTAGTTTTGGAGCACCTTGGTCCCACTGTAACTGGCTGGGCGAACAGCTGTTCGGTGGTTTCTCGGTTTGTATACTTTCTGTTTTAGTTTTGATTAGGGAGCGATGCGATGCGATGATTAAACCCGTTGAAACGAGTCGTCGCAGTTCTCTAAAAAAAACTTTTGTGTTCGCTTTCCCGGCTGTAATTTACCAACAGCAACTATATTTTTCAGTGAGCTTTTCTGGCCATTAAAAGAACGCAATTGAGTGATTGTTTTGATGTGAAAAATGTGTACTGCGGTTCCAGTCCGAAGCCACAATTTTCCCGACTAAAAAAAGAACGGCACCACCGGAGTGTGAGAGCGAAATGCGTGTACCGCTGGCCCACTGGGTCCACAACTGAATCCGAATCCGAGTCCCAGACGCTGTGACTACAATCTCTCGACTTCCGAGCTAATAATCCCTTTGGCAGGCCCGTAAAATGAGTCTGTGGCGGAACCTGCGCTCCTTGGAGACCCGTAATCTGGACCTGGCCCTCAGCCAGCGGGAGAACCAGTTGGTACACGGCAACCTTCCCTCGGCAATTTTCCGAGAGCGCCTTACTGCGGCTGAGAATCTCTACCAGCGCAATCTTACCGGCCACTACGGTTGTGTAAATGCCCTGGAGTTCAGTCAGGGTGGTCAGTTCCTGGCCTCAGGTGAGTGCAACTACCTGTTGATGGGTCGAGGGATGGGTTTAGGATTACGTTTCCGGCTAATTCTTTATCCCTATCCTTAAATCGCACAGGAGGCGACGACAAGAGAGTTTTGCTGTGGAATATTGACCGCGAGGTGGTGTCCCGACTGGGAAAACCCCGGTCCATGAACGAGACACATGCCAGCAACATCTTCTGTCTGGGATTCGACACCCACAACACCTGCATCTTTTCCGGAGGAAACGATGATTTGGTTATCCAACATGATCTGGAAACGTGAGTCAGGATTTGTAATATAATTTTTTTTTTAATTTCATAATTTGGCTTCTAGAATTTCCCAACAATTCAGATAAATGTTGTGTTAAAAATACGCTTTGTTGAATTCCTTATATAAATATAATTAAATTAGTCTTAATAAATAAATTAAACATTTTTCAAAACGTTAAATTTTTGGACAGTATATAGCCCCTTAAAATCTGACCGAAACCATAACTTTCTGATTTTTTTTTAAGTGGAAAAATCCTCAACTACTTTTCGCACGATGGTCCCGTCTATGGCTTGAGCTTGGACAAAACCAGTGGGCATCTCTTGAGCGTGGCCACGGAGCATGGCGAGATCCTAGTCTACGACCTGAGGGCAGGAAAGTCCGAACCGCTTGCCCTGGCCAAATTTAAGACGCCCTTCAACGCCGTGGAGTTTCATCCGCTGAACGGCAACTTCCTGGCCACCGCCAACGCCAAAAGGGGAGCCATGCTCTGGGATTTGAGGCACCACCAGCAGTGAGCTCAGAACAACAATTGCAAGGCGCTTAACTCAGCCATTTATCCCAACCCAGGGCCCTCTGCCAGTACAACTACATCCCGGAGTCGCCGAGCTGCATGAGCGTGCGCTTCAATTGCAATGGCACTCTGCTGCTCACCCTGCACCGCCGGCTGCCACCGATCCTTTACAGCCCTGGGTCCCCGGAGCCGGTGGCCACCTTCTACAACGAAGAGTACTTCAACTCGTGCACCATGAAGAGCTGCACGTTTGCAGGGCCGCAGGACGAGCTAGTGGTCTCCGGCTCGGACAACTTTAACATGTTCATCTGGCGGCTCGATGGAGTGGACTGTCAGTTACCTGGTGTGATTTTGCTAAATATTCCTACCTAACGTTGTCTTCTTATTAGTGGAGAAGAAGAACCAGTGGATGGAGACCCCCCCAGTGATCCTCACCGGACACCGTTCCATAGTCAACCAAGTGCGCTACAACCGGCAGCGCTGTTTGCTCGCCTCCTCCGGCGTGGAAAAGATCATTAAAGTAAGTGGAGAAGGCCTTTATGCTCCCAATAATCCTACGCATCCTCCCTTCAGCTGTGGAGCCCCTTTGCCCAGCAGGGCTGGGAGGGATCCCTGACCCAAGCCGAAGCCCTTCCCTATTGCACCCGCACGCTGCACCGCGAGTCCTCGGACCATGTGTCCCAATACTTCAGTGCCCGCAACACAGAAGAGGACCAGGTAATGCTGGCCTTCTTCGACACGCTGGTGCAGCGCGAGCTCGAGTCCTGGAGCACCGTGGAGAACCAGAGCAACTACAGCAGCAGCTCGGACACCTCCAGTAGCGAGGCCAGCTCAGTCACGGAGGAGCCGGGCGACGAGGAGCGCGACCACGAGCAGGACCAACAACTCGATCAGTCCCACGACGAGGACAATGAGCCTGACATTGACACGCCCAACGTCAGCGAACTGAGCTGGCAGACTCATCCAAACCGCATCTTCTACCTGATCGCCAAGAAGCGGCGTGCCCTGCTCCAGTTGGCGGTGCGGGGCACCACGGGACAGCCGCGGAGCGTTGACCAGTTGCTCCAGCGGCTTCTCGGCGAGCAAAAGCAGGTGGCCACGCAAGCGCGGATCAGCGACTGGCTGGAAGAGACGCACCGCCTGTTTGGGGACGACGAGCTGCCCACTACATCGGCGGAGGCAGCGGCCCGGGAACAGAGACGCCGCGCCTGCGATCAGCTCAGCAGGAGTCCTCGGCGGGCACAAGAATTAAAAAGTGAGTTTGGCTGTACGTAGGGTACACAGAAACTAAAGAAACAACAGAATCCTGTATTCAACACCTTTAAAAATAATTTAATACATTCGCTTGCGCTTTAAAAAGACCTCGGCCATGCACACAGCGGCCGATAGTAGACATCCGATAGTGAGGGCGTAGAACGCCAGTTGGACGTCGGAAATAGTGAGCACTTTCCACCGCCCGACGTCCAACTGGGCCAAGTACTCTGGAAACCGTTGGATGCTCCACTTGGCGCGCTCTTTCGCCTCGCCCGTCCACAAGCCCACGATTCCTCCGGCCACCAGGCGGAGTACGATCCGGTTCACCTCCTCCAAATACGGCGATGGGCGTGGCAGGACATAGGCGATGTGATAGTTTTTAGGGCACTCGGGGATCTTGTGCACTTTCTTGGTCATCACGTATCGAATGTCACTCAGCTGCAAACTGGCAAAACGGGTTACGCCCGCAAAACCTCCTCTCTTGGAAACCATCTCAATGAGTCGCTCCTCGCCCTCGGCTACCAGCATCATCTTGGCATCCAGCCGACGATAGACCTCCGAATCGTGGCCATAAAAGAGGTCGTCCTTGAAGGCAAGATGCTTAATGTAAATGGGACGGCCGGACTCATCCAGTTCCCTTAAGGTATTGACATCCCGATAGTAAAGAGGTCGTATGTAAACTGTGGCCAGGCTGGACTCCAGCAGCGCTCCGAAAATCACGCTCACCAGGCATAGGGAAGCCACAAAGATGCGTTCCGAGTGGAATGGGGGAAAGCTACCCACATTCACCCGCACCCAAACGACCCAAGTGTCGATAAAAATGCGACGAGCTGCTCCAAAATTACTGATCTCCGTAGTAAGTGACCCATCTGGTATGCGTTCGATGCGCAGTCCCAGATTTAGAGCCCTCAGAATAAGCCAGACAAGGGACCCAACGAGACCCACCATCAGGAAGCACAGCCACACATCTGTATGCACAGCAAAAAGGGGAAGGATAGACTGCGGAATCCTTTGCGCCTTTTGCACGTACAGGCAGAGTTCGTCCATGTAGACGGCTGCGCTAAACTGGATGTGGGTGGTCAGGTAGTCCTTCACGAAGAATCCCGCGAAGATTATGTCCACTTCGCCACGGTGGGCGCGACCCACACCACCACTATACGATCCATCCGCCAGGCGACCTCCAAAGAATTCATCATCCGGCCAGAGATATTGGGGCGTAAAGTTCAATTGCCTGGCCACGATTTTGGCCAACTTGGCATCGGCCCCAGCTACGTTCAGAACCTTGTTGTTTTCGCCATCCCCTCTTACACTGGAGTAAACCGAATCGAAGATGTATATTCTCAAAGGATAACCCTCAAGATTATTGTAGATTCGTCCATAAGCTTCGGGATCTTGAACCACTACTAAGCTCTGTTTGAAGGGATTGTAGAGGAGTATGCGATCTAAGCTCATCTGAACATAGTAAATTCGACTGTGTCCATGCTGGAGCCATGCTTTCGCCATGAAATCCACTAAAATTGCATCATCCTCAGGCTTATATTTCTCCAAAGCCAGTATGTAAAAGCCATCTGTGTTGTCCAAACTAATCAGGATATCCTGCATTTGCTGAACATTTCCAAACAGATAGAAATTATGTCGAGTAGTTTTTAGATCCGATGGAAATTCCTTCCGATTCAGACTAATTTTAAGCGCATTCTCTCTGAGCTTCATCAAAAACTGGACCAGATTGTTGTCTCCTTTCGCAGAATTTCTTAGATGAAGTTCAAGGCAACCCTCAAGCTGGCCTAAAATAGAGGCCAGAACCAGCTTGTAGTCCGTGTTATTGGCCTGACCAAAGGTGCCTCCCACTAGAGCCAGCATAATTAGCTGCAGCGTCGTCGCCATATCAGGAGTTACTGAACCTTTGACTGAGATTGTAGAGCTAACAATAGGACAAGTTCAAGATACGGGGTATGCCCGTTGCCCTAGTGTTTGCTAAGTGTCAGAACTACTGACACCTGAGGGCGGACTGCTACCAACAATTATTGGCAAGTGCCTGGGGTCTGTTGACACTACTTGGATTGACCCCATGACTTGCCCATTTATGCTTGAAAAGCTTATATGCTGTATTTACAAGTTACTAATTTGAATACTTTTTAATTCACACATCATCAAAAGAGAGCGATAAAAAACTTTTAATTACTTGATGTATCTACTTTGTCCTAAAACTAATCCCATCCAATATTTTCCAGTTGAAACTTTTCAATCCAGCATCGATCCAAGGGAACGCAAGCGAAAGGTAAAGCGTAAGCGATTTTTGGTCGCCAAGCACAGGAGAACGTCTCGTCGACTACGTCCCACTGAAATGGACAACCATAGTATCGGCTCAAATGATACCGAATATCTGGAGGGACACAACGACACCGACGAGGAGGAGTCGTCGCCAGGGGACAATCACAACAATAATGCCAATGCAAGTGAAGTTCAATCAGATGAGCACGAGGACAGCTCCTTCTCCACATCCATGACCTCCATGGAGGCGCAATTGTCCCAAGCTCCCAGTACCTCCAGTTCGTTTCCTTTTCTTCCCGAACTGGAGGCCAACAACAACAGCCAGCTGACATCCAATCACAATCACAAGACAGTCAATGTCAACGGTCTAGTTCCGGATATTTCTAATACGGAGTCAACAGCATCCACATCTTCATCCATATAAGTGGAACCCATATTGGAGCTAAAAGTCCAACTATTTAAAACATCCTCTTAGGCTTAAATTTGTTTTTATACAAAAAATCACCCATCCACGTTAATTTGGATCTCCGCTGAAACACAAATATTCGCTTTAGCATAACTTAAAGAAAGTATAAAACACTACGTGTCCATACTTTTTAAATTTGTTTGAACGAAACGGTGAATTTATGATGTTCATATAAAGCGAACTATTTTTTTTTTTTTTTGGCAAATATATAAAGTTAGCTAAAACTGGCATTTAGCAACTTAAAAATTAGTCAAAACTTAATTCTTCAAAGTTTAAAAGTAAAAACAGAAAAATCAATTCAAAACTAACAGTGCGATTTTTTCGGTCGCCATTTTTTCACAGCGAAATTGCTCAGAATTTCAGATGACTTTTTTTGTATGTAGTCTTTCTTCATTCCCAGGATGTTTTAAGTCATTTGTTTTTTTTGTTTTGAAAATAAAGTTTTTCCTATAAATTTGATTGTATTCTTTCAATTCATTTATTGATTGTGGAATTTTCGTAATGGCTTCAATAATTTATAAATACATTATGTTTCATAAACCAACAGATAAGAATTTTCTTGCTTGTGCGTTGAACTTTGAACTGGTATGCACGTAAATGCGAAGATTAAAAAAAGGGAACATCTTTAAGTATACTCAAGTCTGAGAATGGTTGAGCTTGAATCTAGATTGGTTTCAACTACGGCTAGGAGTAGGCTAATTAATTTACACGATAGCTGGCGGAGATCAGCGTTCGCCTCAGTAGGCTTCGATTTTTTCGTTCATGTCGCTTGGCCTGAACGGCAGCTCCATGTCCTTGCAGCGCTCAATCACGAATTGCTCTAGTTGACAGCCAGCGCTGGAAGAGGTTCAATATATAGGATATAATCAAGTCCAACCATTCGCTATCCTGATCTACTCACTCGTATATTTCGTTGCCCTCAACGTTGTACAAATCGCAGTTCCTGAACACCAACTGGATGTCGCTTAGCAGCTCCTCGTTCAGCTGATAAGCGCCCATGTTCAGTTTGGACTTGATCTTGGCCAGATCCATTGGTGACTTAATGATCTGATGATAGTCCGGCACCTCCGATGTCAGCACAGGTCGTAGAAACGGCCAAGAGGCCTTGTGCTTCATGATCTGTTCTAGCAGATCATACAAGGCAGAGCTGTTCAACGGCAGGTTCTCGTTCGTCCTTCGACCGCCCCTCCGATGGTTATTGTTATTGGTGCTGCTGTTGTTGTTGTTTTTGTTATTTCCGTTGCTCTGCGGGGCGGACTTATCGATGGGCAAGCGCAAAGAGTGGCGAGAGGAGCGGGAGCGCTTGGCTTGTGGTTCATCCTCATCGTGGTCGTCGTCCCCATTCACTGGGGCAAAAAGAAAAACAGGGAAAGTAAGTAAAGTAAATAGATATCTTATTTGTAAGCTCACTGTTGCTGTGTCGGCGCCTATGTCGCTGTGGCTCTGGCTTGCACTTTATGCACACAAATTCCGTGCGTGGCGGGCGCTTGAGATTGACGCACTCCAGATGATAGGTTAAAAGGCAGACTACGCATCTAATATCGCTGCCTTCGTAGAAACACTTGTTACAGACCTTCTCATCATGGCTGTGGAAAGAAAAATAATTTAATTTCCAATCTATCCACTTAAAGGTAGTTTTAACTTACGACTTCTCTTCGTCTGTTGAGGAAGCTTCATCGCTTTCGGTCTCTTTCTCGGCAGCCTCTTCAATCTTTTTAAATCTAAGTCGCTTGCCCGTGGGTCTTGGGCGCGGTCTTCTCGAAGGTCGCCCGTTGATCTTCACAGAGGAGCGGGTGGTGGACTCCGCGCTTTCGTCATCCGTCTGTGCTTCGTACTCGTTATCCTCATCCGACTTATCGTCATCCTCATCCTCATCTTCAACCTCATCCTCTTCCTCATCTTCATCCTCATCCGCTTCCTCCTCATCTTTCTCCTCCTCTTCTTCTTCTTCCGTAGGCTCATCCTCTGCTTCTACAATAAACTTGCGTTTCTTTTTTGAGGCCTGCTTTTTATCCTTTTCGTTTTGGGCGCTACTAAGACCCAGGCTCTTCACGCAGTCATTGCAATACCAGTTACCCTGAGGCACGGACCTCAGCTTGGGCTTCAGGCAAAACATGTGGGTGCCAGCGTTGCACTCGTCACACAGCAGCATCTTCTCCGGATCGCTGCCTCGCCGGCAGACCTTGCATAAGGACTTGTTGGTGGACCGCCTCCACTGGATGAGGTCGTGCAGGATGTTGAGGTGAAGAAACACCTGGGCAAAGCTCGTGCTCTCCATTAGCGACACCTCCCATTGGTGCAGACGCGAGTCGCAGGCGAGCCTCAGTGCCTCCTGCTTGGGGTCCCACTTCTTCATGCCGTAGGGTTCTTTAAGGAAGCGCTTTCCAATGGCCTGCTCCACTTGGAGGAGAGCCGAGGCCAGGTTGCGCACCGCGATTGGAATGGAGACGGCGTAAGTAGGTTGATCCTCCTCATCGTCACTGTCTGGGGAGGACTCTGTCTCCGTAGGAGCGGCCAAATACAAGCCGGGATCGCGGTATGGCTTCTTGGCAAATTTACCCCACAGAGCCACATCATCTTCCTCGTGAGTGCCAAGCGATTCGTTGTCAGAACCATTGGCTGCTTCTTCTTCTAGTTTGCCACCTGGACCCCACTGCAACTTGCCCTGCGCGTCGTACCTGCCTGCGAGCAGATCGTTACGCCACTTTTCCATATCCTTGACTTTTAGGCGGCCAAGATCGCCTGTGAAAATATCACTTTCGAATTGAATAATGCGCTCCACCAAATGTAATCGCATTACTTCGTTCAAATCAGACCCGTTTGGCAGTCCAAAGTTGGCGTCCCCGTACTTGCGTTGGGTTTCAGATTCCATCGTTGCCAGGAACTTTTTGCGCAATGATTCGTTTTCCAGGGTAAGCACCTCGACTGGGCAGGACTTTACGTGCTGTTCGATGAGGGGTCGCAGAACGGAAAGTTCTTGAAGTAAATTGTATTCACGAAGTCCATTGGGATTCAGTGCGCTAATTAGCTCCTCGATCTCCTCGGGTTTGTAAATGTAAGACCATCGTTGGCGTTGCCCGTTTCTGGGATCGTGCACAATACAATTTCGCTTATCACCGCTGCACATCATCAACTCGAACTGAGTGGGAGCCTCCGGAGGATCCGACTCCACTTCCATGGGTTCGGCACTGCCGTTGAGATGATGCTCTTGGTTCTCCTTGTTCTCAAGCGAATGCTTAACCCTTTTCCTGGTCTTCTTATCATCGTCTCCATAGAGTTTGAGAAGGTATAACCTCAAGTCCTTGCGAATCCTAGGCAACGTAGCTTGCTGGCGAATCTCCAGTTGCGACTTGTTTGCAGGCGGATGCTTCAAACAAGTGTCCTGGCTGTCCGGCGAGTGTTCAACAAATATTCCCGACATGGACTCCAAAACGTAGTACTTTCTATAGCATCTATCCATGCCGAGGTATACCAAGAAATTAAACAACTGCGAATGAAGCTTGAGCATCTGCCGCTCGTGCTTGCGATGTTGCTGATCCGATTGGGCGAGAAGCTCCGCAATGCTCTTGTTTAACTTCTCAGCCATTGCTTCCCTTTTTTCTGGCTCAGCGGCACTGACCTCGAGTTGGTGCGATTGGGTAAGTTTTTTCCTATTGATCTCCACGGCGGCCAGTCGTTTATTTTCCCCGATGACTAATGCTCGCAGTTCCTGTTTGGCCTTTGCTGTCTGCTCCATGCGTTCCTCAATCACATTAATGGTGCCAGAGTACGTGAGAATCTGAGACATCAGGCAGCGGATCAAGTGCATTATGTCCCTGAACTTAAGCTGATATACGGAATGGTTTTTAAGAGTGCGCAGAATGTCTGAGTGCTGTAGGCGCAGCTCCAAGCCGGGATCTTCTTTCGAGGAGTAGCCGTTCCGGTACATCACTCTCCATCGCTCCGTCTTCTCACTTACGATAGCTCCGGATCCGAGAAGATGCAGGCGCAGCACTTCACTTAGAGTCAGTGCATCCAGAGGCAATTGGTTAACCTAGTAGAAAGGGAAAATGTTGATTAGTTGTTGTAAATTAGGATATACAAATATCGGGATATTTTACCTTAAAGGAAAAGTGCCTCTTGGCGTACAAGTGGCTTTTGGCGGCCTGCGCCATACTCCAATAGGGCTCGTTTGTTTGGGCCGCCCGATCCAGGTAGGTCACCGCACACTCCTCCTCCTCCTCCTTCTGCAAATCGAAAACCGTACCAAGGAGCACGAGGAGAATATCTGACAGTGGACCCGCAATCTCACGGGCACTCAGCGCTCGGGTCATCTCGTAGAAGCTCAGGTTCTGGCGGAACACTTCGATGCCAGACAGCAGTCCTGCGTACGTGTGCATAAACTCGCGCAGCGTGAAGGCATCGCCCAGCATTCGCTCAGGCAGCAGGGTGACAACTTGTCTGTAGCGTGGCAGCACTTTCTGGTCGTTTCGCTCCAGATCGTCGGTCTTCTGGAGCAGCAAATTGCATTCGTTCTCAACTCGCTCTGTCAACTGGGCCTTCTTCTCCGCCTTTTGCCTCTCAAGTTCAATAATTTTGGCCTCCTTTTCCAGCCTTACACGCTCCATTTCCTCCGCCAGAGATTTGGCATCGGATTTGGCCTTCGCCTTGGACTTAGCAGCCGTAGCCTCATCAGCCACAATGTATTTGTTCAGGGTGGATTGCTTCTTGGCATCCTTGGTATCGGGTTTTCTGATCTTAGCGGGTGAGTAGCGCGGCATCTTGCCAATGAAAATGGTGGAAAAGCTCACGCCGTGGTCCGTCACGTATTGCTTGTAAGCCTCTGGTTTGGGTCGCAGGAGTCCATCCACGCGAGACACATTGCTCTTGATGAACATATTCAGGTTTTCCAGGTTGAACTCCAATCGCGAGCGACGCAGTAGCTTGAAGGGCAGCTCAACCTCCGCAGCGGGATTTCCCTTGTTCGGGCGGAGTCTGTAGACCAGGCTGTCGGTCTCCTCAAAGACGCCATTTCCTGGTTCCGGCATACTTTTGTCCAACGTGATGCCTACCACCGTGTAGGAGGTGTTCTTTTTGGCCTGCACCGTAACCTCCTCGCCAATGAAGAAGCGCTTGCGCAGGAATTTGGCCACCATCATGTTCAGAGTGTTGACCGACGACTGGCGGGCGTGCTCCACCACCAGGAGCACGGGTGCCCGGAGGCTCTGTTTGAATTGCTCCATCTTCTTGCGCGCCGCCCGTTCGCTCTTCACCGCCTCCTCGTAAGTGAGGTTCTCCTTGCCGGTGGCCTCGCACTGCCACACTGTAGAGTTGATAGCCATCACGTGTCGGAAGTAGTGTCTAAAGAAATATAAACAGTTTAAATATTTACAATCATCATTGCAATCACCGTGTATGAAATTTAGAATACGACCGACCTGCCCACAATTGACGTCTGCCTTCTTCGCCTTCTGATTTTTCACTGACACGATTCTTTTCTTTTTTTTTTTTAATTTTTTCGTGATTCTTCTTTTGTCCTATTTTTTTCTCTGCAAAACAGACACTTGTGTACACAAGGACACGTTTGATCTGATCTTTAACCGGGCATGTCCCGTATAAAATACCCGGAACACATTCACATTCCGTTCTTCTTAAAACAAGGAATAATGTCCCAAAGCAAGTATGTAATTGTTTAACTATTTATTTAGCTCGTTAGCTCATTAATAAAATCATAAACAAGAGGCCCGTCCCAATAGTTAACAAATTACTTAAAAGTTTACAAATTTAAGATGTATTAAAATAAAACAATTTATAAAAAGAGTAAGTATAATTATTGCATACTCATTCATTACTATTGCAATATGTTTGCACCAGTACTAAATTTTAGCTTTTTCCAAATGACATAACTAATTAGTGAACCTAGTTTTCGATATTCTGACTTGGCTAAGATACAAATAATAAGTCATACAATATAGGTCATACAATATTTTAAACTGTACAATCAAGCTATACAAGGCGATGCAATTTAAAATTATGGAAGGCGCGCTTTGTCTAACACCGGGTGGCAACGCCGCGGCCAGCAGCTGTGTCTTCCCGCCACCGAACAGCGTTTTTTGTGCCTAGGCCCACGAGACTCGCACACCAACATGAACTTACACACACACACACGCTTTCGTTGTATACTCTAGAGCAGCGTCCTCCGCAAAGGGGCAGGGGAGGGACAGTAACATAAATGAAATGATGCACTTACTCATAGTCACGGAAAATGCGCTTGGTAATGTAGCAGCAGAAAACCAGGTCGTTGTCGTGGAATGTTTCGTTTTTGCCCTCCTCCTGATTCAGGTCAAATCCCTCCCGCTTGCAAATTGGCATTTTGTTGATTTGCTTTCTTAACTCTTAAATTTTCAATGGCAATCCTTGTAAACACACGCTTGGCACTTCGAAACTATAAACTCGCGGCGGGGCTGATACGTTTCACAACGCAAGGCGCCAAATTTTCACGACCTCTTTCGGCTCTTCCTATGTTTTAGGCTCGGTTTTTCGGGGGTAAGCGCGTTGCGATCCGGCGCAATTTTACTCGCTGTTCGGGAGTGACACTGTCCCTGCGCTTTCCAATATCTTTGTGGCTGGCTTCAGCGGCATCAGCTCTTTAAATCCGCCGATTTTTCAGCGCACCGAATATTTTCACGCGCCTTTGCCAATTTTTTACAAATAATGTTACCGTATTTCGCGAGCGCAAAAATGGCAAAAGACGCGGACGAGGAAACCCGATAGACCGATAGCCCTGTAAAACGATTTTTTAAATAACGGAATTTCAAAAATAACGCACAAACATGTAATGTTTTAAAACAATTCATTGAAAAACTATATGTAGACTAAGATAAATGCAATGGGTGTAAAGATTCTGATTGCTGAAGGTCGCTCAAAAATAATTAAACTTAATAGAATTATAAGATGATTTTCTGAGATATAAAAATACATATTATAAAATTACAATCTGGAGACTTAAAAATTGAACAACATTCTTGCATTTTAGATTGTTTATTCTTTTTACCTCTTTATATGTGCAAATTCTTTTCACCTCACCTAGGTACAAAAACAAGTACCTTTTTCAACACTGACTATAGCAGTGGTGTGTGTGTGTGTGAGGTGTGTGTGTTTCCAGCCGTGATAAGACGATCACCCATTTGCTCCGCGTAAAACATATTCTTAATAGTTTTGTTTCTTTTAATATTGTTAAAATGTACGCGAGACTGATCTGCAGATTGGGCGCGAACGCCAGGTGAGAATAGAGATCGACGTTGCCTATAATGTTCCTTGAAATCAAGAGGTTCTACTTCACCCACCGGACGATTACATAAACCTTGCCCATTTGTTTTTGTTTTCAACAGGTGCTTGGCCACAGAAGCCAGTCCAAAAGTGCGTCCCATCAGCAAGATCCTCATTTCGAACCGCGGGGAGATCGCGTGCCGCGTGATCCGGACAGCCCGCAAACTGGGAGTCCGCACAGTAGCCATCTTCTCCGATCCGGATGAGAAGAGCCTGCACACGCAGCTGGCGGACGAGGCCTACCGCGTGGGCGAGGCCGCTTCCTCCGCCTCGTATCTGCGTGGGGAACACATTTTGGACATAGCCAAGAGGTCGGGCGCCCAGGCCATCCACCCGGGCTACGGCTTCCTCTCCGAGTCCGTGGAGTTCGCCGAGCTGTGCCAGCGCGAGGGCGTCATCTTCATGGGCCCTCCCAGCTCCGCCATCCGGGACATGGGTATCAAGAGCACCAGCAAGGCTATCATGGCTGCTGCTGGAGTTCCCATCATTAATGGCTACCACGGGGAAGATCAATCGAATGAGTGTCTGCAGAGGGAAGCCCAGGCTATCGGCTTTCCCTTGATGATCAAGGCGGTAAGGGGCGGCGGAGGCAAGGGCATGAGGATCGCCGAAAAACCGGAAGACTTTCTCACCGCCCTGAACTCGGCGCGCAATGAGTCCCAAAAGTCGTTTGGCGACAGTTCCGTGCTGCTGGAGCGCTATGTCCGTTCGCCCCGCCACGTGGAGGTTCAGGTCTTTGCGGATCAGTATGGCGAAGCCGTCTACCTATGGGAGCGGGATTGCTCTGTGCAGCGACGTCACCAGAAGATCATTGAAGAGGCGCCAGCTGTAAGTCAATATATCATCAATTAGATTCAGTAACTAACATCAATTTGTATTCCCAAGCCTGGTTTGTCAGAGGAACTGCGTCGTGAGCTGGGAGAGGCCGCTGTACGTGCCGCCAAGGCTGTGGGCTACGTTGGAGCTGGCACAGTGGAGTTCATCCTGGACAAGGAGGACCTTTCGTTCCACTTTATGGAGATGAACACCCGCTTGCAGGTCGAGCATCCCATCTCGGAGATGATCACTGGGACAGACCTTGTTGAGTGGCAGATTCGCGTTGCCGCAGGAGAGCCTCTGCCGCTGAAGCAGGCGCAGATCACTCGGCGAGGTCACGCCTTCGAAGCGCGCATCTATGCGGAGAATCCTCGCGGGGGCTTCCTGCCCGGAGCAGGACCACTGCGCTATCTGTCCACTCCCCAGCCAAGTGCCGATGTGCGCGTCGAGACGGGAGTGCGTGAGGGGGATGAAGTGTCTGTCCACTATGACCCTATGATTGCCAAACTAGTCGTTTGGGGAGAGAATCGGGCGCAGGCACTCAACTCCTTGGTTGCACGATTAGGCGAGTATCATGTGAGTAGATGAAAGGAGTAAATAGCTCCTGAGATCTCTCGAATAAAAAACCGGTTTCAGATCTCAGGCCTGGACACGAACATTAACTTCCTCATTGATCTGGCTTCGCACCCGGAGTTCCAGTTGGCCAACGTACACACAGGCTTTATCGATGAGCATTTCGACACGCTCTTCCCGCCAATTGTCATCAGTCCGCAGCAAGTGAGCCAAGCGGCACTGGCACTGGTATTTACTGAGTTGCAAGCAGCCTTTGGCAACGGCAACAGCGGACAAGATCCTTTCGCTGTCACACCCAATGCCCGTCTTAATTACACCTTAATCCGGACCTTCAACTTGAAAGCCAATGAGAAAGGTAAGAGAATATTTTTTAATATCTTACAGTTTACTCTGTGGCTGTCAAATTCGCTGGCGAGGATATATTTCAATCTTTCAGTATATTTCAAAATTTAATCTTACAGTTTACTCTGTGGCTGTCAAGTTCGATGGCGAGGGTGTGCAAATACAAGTGGACAATGGCGATTGGCAGGTGGCCAAAGCGGAAAGAGTGCAGGATGGCGGTCGTCTAAAAATCCGTGCCAATATCGATAGCAATATCACCACTTATAATGCTAATATTGATGACCCCAGTGTCAGTTTGTTTTTGGAGGTATGTTTGTGTTTCCTTAATTAATCACAAAACTATTCAAGTTTGAATTATTTTAATTTTGCAGAATGGCAAGCTTGACTTTGAGCTGGTGCAGCCGAAATTCTTGAGTGCTCAGGTGGATCAACTGGGAGGAGGTGGCTCCCGCGTGGTGGCACCCATACCCGGTGTTTTGGAGAAGGTCCTGGTGAAGCCAGGAGACCAGGTCAAGAGGGGCGACAGTTTGGCCGTGCTTATTGGTATGCAAAAATCGTCCAAATGATCTATTTTTTAAAACACTTATTTTTTCAGCCATGAAAATGGAGCATATCCTGAAGGCCCCCAAAGATGCCACTATCAAGTCGATTGGAGGAGCCGAGGGCGAAAACGTGGCCAAGGGAGCGGCCGTGATTACATTTGTCGATGAGGAGGTTGCCAAGTAAAGGGAATGCTCCCCCAACAACGTGCCAGAGATTTTGTTGCATTTATCTACACCAATTAATTATCTAAGTATTTATGTCCGTTTACTTCAGAGATAACCAATTGCATTTATTAGAGTTAACTATGTCCATTTAATGGAGTTTCGTGTTATGTTGTCCCTTGGCATTAAAAATGTTCCAACCATCTAGAAGATGTTGTTTTAGTAGGTGAGTCAGACAGCCAACAATGGTTTTAAAAAAATGTTTTATTCGATTTCATTTTTGTTGAATTTTAATGGATGTATAAGATTTATTCAGTTTGTCAAACACACATTTCCTATGTGATTTATCTTTATGAATACATAATTTAAAATTGAGTTCGGTACAAAAAGTTGCGACCTTTGAGTTTGACTTTGAGTTTCTTGCTGACGGTGAACTAAAACGGAAACTGAGAGAAAGCATGACATTGCACTGTTTGCTTACATTTCGCATTTATTTCGCAACTTAAAACATAATAATTTAATAAATGTTTAACAAATTTCACTTAATATAAAACACTAATCATTTAAAATATATATACTTAGTATAACCATAATCAAGTTTTCTTTATGCTCGTGTTGCAGTAGTCCATTCTGCTCTTGAGTTTATACTGTTTTGTTTTGTTTTGATTTAGCATCCCATTTACTTGGTATACGCGGTTGAAATATGATAATGGAAACAGTTTCAGAGGCGAGTACTGAGTACTGAACATGCAATTTGGTTTCTTGCCCTAATTCTTACATTCAGCCGATTCGTTTCGATTAGTTTTCCCTAGTGTCGTATCTATATTTCCATCGTTTTGATTTTTTGTTTTTTTTTATTCGGTTAGTATTAGTTAATGTTGCTCGGCTTCAATACGTAATACATCATTTATATACTATATAAATACAATTATATGGTACTTCAAACGTGCAACTTAACGCTTCTTAGTAATTATGAGTGTGTTTCTTTGTTTGCGTTCGTTTGTCGTGTTGTGTTTTGTGTGGTGTTTGTTTAAGGTGTCTGTATAATGTGTATTTGTTAAGGTAATTATAAAGTTCGATAACTACTAAACACCTTTTCTGGTACATACCATCCTCCTCTTTCTCATATAGACTCTCTTTCCTTGACTGGCATCGCTCCAAGCATGTACTTCGTTAGTTAATATCTATGGATTCTGCTCTACTTCGCATATTAACACATTAAGTCTCGTTTTCGACGGCGGGAGCCCCACTAGTAAAACACCTGCTGTCCACACCGTTCTCATTGTCAGGCTGCTTTTGGTTCACTTAACGCTATGGATGCTCATCATAAGTTGTTGCTCTCGTAAGGTTGCGATTACATTTTATTGCAAATAACTTTTCGTATGTAGTTTCCTCTCGGTTTAAATTAAGTTCTTCTCCATCCTCGTCGGGAGCTCTCCCGATCCTGTTCCCGATCCCGATCCCGTTGCTGTGGCTTCTGCAGTGGCAGGTGTTAAAGGGGCTGCCGTTGTCGCTGACGACGTTGCGACATCCGTGGTGGCCGCCGTGGTCTCGACCGTCGCGTCCTCCTCGTCCTTACTTTCCCCTAGCTTTCTTCTCACCACCCTGCGACACTTCTGCGAATGGCCAATGGAAAAAGTTTGATTAGTGGGGGGTTGGCTCACGATTGTCAGTGCTATAGGTGGCTAAGTCAGCGTCTGCGTGCCAGCTAAGCAGTATTAGCCATCTTTCTTAGAGTGTTTTCAAAAAAGTCGAATACGAAGCTCATCAAAGGTGTTGGCTTATTTGCACGCCAGCTTAGGCTAAAAACTATCAGTAATGCCAGTTTTAACTTATTTTGGTATGTAATAATATTTTTATTTTAATAATAATAAAGACAACGAATGCTATTATTAATTTTTTAAGGCCAGGAACATACTAAATAGTTGAATTAAATTCCTAAATTTTCATTCCGTGGTGCTACAGAAATCTCTGTTAACCGACGATTAGGTCTTTTTGAGGAATTTATAATTTTCCAATATTTCTGAATAAAGAACTGAGTCATATTATTGATTGAAAATAATGTTTACCTAATTTAAGGTCCAATATTTGACTGGCATGTCTGATCTATATGGGATCCCTTTAATCGAGTATCTGTGGCTTAGGTGTTGTGTGAGGTGGGTGTGTGGGTGAGTGGATAAAGCTTGCAGTGGAAACTAAAAGAAAAGCCAAAGGGTAGACAGATACGGGGATGGCGAGTGCATCTCGTTTGTGCCGAGCCGTGAGAACAGAAGTTATGAACACAACAAACGCAAAACAAGGCGGGCGCTCGGGGCTCAAATTAAACAACAACTCGAACTAACTTGGCGGCAAATCAATTCAAGCGGCTTGAGGAACTCTTGCTAATATCACCACGTAGTTGCTGCTGCTGCTGCTGTTGTTGTTGTTGTTGTTGTTGTTGCTGCTTTAGCTTTAGTTGCTGCTCCGGCGGTAACTGATGATGGTGGAACAGCACCGGCGGCAGCTTGCCTCCCTTGGAGCGACTTCGCAAGCCCTGCGCATGTGGTTATAATTCGAGGACAACAGAGGAATAAAAAATTAAACGCAGCAAAGGAAACCGCGAGGTTTTCGTGTAAGATGATACAAATATTTAGATAACAGATAGAAGAAAACAGTAAGGAGGGCTATCTTCGGTGACCGAAGCGGGTGTACCGTTGCTAACCGATTTTCCTGTGGAAACTTTGAAATCAACATGGAAGTATCACAAACATTAATATCTTTAGTGATAATATAAATATGAAATATTTCATTCAGAGGTACTATTCAGATTCAATAAAATTTTTCCGTGAAGACATACAGACTGTATCCTCTGGAGACTAAATTAAATTCTAATTCTAAGATTCTTTAGTAGTTTGTCAATAAATATTGTCCAAAACTGAGAGCTAATTTCAAATTTATAAATACCACGTATTTAAGGTGACAGAAAGATACAGATTGGAGTTGGAGTGTAAAATGTGTTTATTGTGTGTACTGTTTTGCTGGGGGTCTGCTTGGCAGGCGACTCGAAGGAACCTTCGGGTACGGACACACTCAACAGAGGGACAACTGTCCTAGACCTCGTCCGCCCTAGTTACCTTTTTGGCCGTTATCTCCATTTGGTCCAGGCTACTTGACAGCCCGTTAATAGTCGTTTCGCCGGTGGTCTCCTGGGCGCTGCTCTCTGTCTCACTGTTGGCTCCACTGCCCGCCGTCGCCGTCGTGGCGAGTGTAGGTGCGGTTGTTCCGCTGGTTGAGCCAACGCCAGTCGAAGTGTACGCCCCGAATAGTTGACGCGACAGCCGGGGAATTGCGTTGCTATCCACACGTGCCGGCCAGGCGCCCGTTGACGGACTGCTCGTTGTGGGTGTCTTGTTATCCGTCGGCTGTTCCGTGCCTCCGGTGGTGCTTTCCTGCGCGGCCCCCGGCTGTGCCGCCTGTTCCGTCTTGTTCTCGTCCAGATTCGACTCCAAATCAGACTCGTTGTTCTCGTCCTGTTTCTGACAAAAATTCTCATTAGAAAAATGTTTCCCTAGTTTTATTGTAAATTGTTTAAGTACCGTTTTCTCGCTGACCTCGTCCGGACAGAGCTCGTAAGCCATGGTCCAAGTGTTTTTGGCCGACTGCGACCTCTCTAGCATGTAGCCGTTCGTGTTGTCGTTGCTCTGCGCTGGTGGCGACCACGAGTACGAATTGTACTGGCAACCAATGCCACGCTGTCGTTCCAGCTCGTCCTGTAGCCACTCGACGGCAACGCTCCAGTGCCGGCTGATGCCCGGGTTTGTGTTGAGCATCTGCAGCGCAATTGGCGACTTGTGGAACAGTTGCGTCAGGCACTTGATAATCTGGTACGCCCGCTTCTGGTAGTGCGTCTTTGCCCGTTGTATCGTATCCAGTAGGCCCTCGCGCTCCTCCGCCACTCCATTGAGGGCGTTGTGTATGCGGTGGTGCTGCCACGAGTCGTCGATTAGCAGGATGTTTAGTAGCAGATCCGTGTGGTGCCGCATGTCGTGGCAGTAGGCGAACCCACACTGCCACAGCAGCTCTGTAAGCACTGCGCGTGAGAAGTGCGGGTTTTCCCAGCTGCAGTACTGCAGTATCTTCAGGCCTTCGTCGCCTACATTTGTGTCCTCGATCACCTTCTTGATGTAGCTATAAAGGACAATGCAAATAAGCATTCGTAGGCATTCACAAATTATCATTATCAATAATTTTACAATGATGTTATGGTTAAACTATTCAAAGCAACTTACCCCGTGCGATTGAAGAGTAAATCCATGCACTCAGTGGACAGCGGCGTCAGCTCCTCGTGCGCCACCGTTGCATCCTTGAATGGATTAGGCAGTGGACGGCCGTTCTGGTTGGAGCTCTGGCACTTTTCGCTTACATCACTGCAGCGCACCAGGTGTGAGACCACCTGGTGAAGCTTGCTGAACTCCGGATACTGGTACTTTATGGCGGGACCGGGGCCATCGTCCAACGCCACTTGGATAAACTGCATCGGCACATTGAGCTGCAAGCGACAATGCTTTAGTTTAGAAAACAAAATAAATGCAAATACTACTCACCCTCAGCAGCTGCTGCTTTTCGCGTGTGCCCAGTCCCACGTACATACTAAACAGGCTAAAGTAGTGGGGCAGGTGTTTGCCGTAATCGGCTGCTTCGGATTTCAACAGGCGCAGCACGCTGATGAGCACCTGCTCGCACAGATTAGCGCCGTCGTGGCCAGCCAACGGTTCATCGTTAATAGCAAAGTGGCAGAAGAAAACCACCAGCTTGACGAAGACGGTACGCACCTCTGGCGATGGAGCCATTAGGATGTACTCGCCTAGGCGTGACGGCGGGGAGAGAAGCGCATGATTGGCGAACCACTTTCGAACCAGTGCCGATGAGCGTATGTGATGTGAGAGCGCGTCGTACCTGTCAATAAAGAGCTGTATAATTGAGATCCATCTCAAAACGTCGCAAGAAACTCACCAATCAATAACGGGCCCTCGCAGAGACTTCTTCGTGCGGAAGCCAGTGTGAAAAAGGAACTGCGAAGCCAATTGGACGCCCAACAGCGAAAGCTCCTCGGCGGCGGGAGTCTGAAAAACCAATTGATTAGTGGAACTAATTATATTTCTCCAGCACAAACTCACGATCTTATCGCTCCGAGCAGAGGGGATATTGCAGCTGACCAGCTTTTTGATGAAGTTAAAGAACTCCACGGAGAAAATGCTACGAGAGTGGAGAAACCGAATGTTCTGGTGCCTATAATCGGGAAATGTTCACAGTATTAAGCACGTCAAGAGTGAATAAGAAATACTCCCACTCACCGCACGCTGCGCTCGATGGGCTTAGGCAAGGGCAAAACCATGTTGCGGCTCTCGGTGAGAGACAACTGCTCCACACTAGGCTCATACTTTACGGGACTCTGGTCGCACCGGGTGTAGAATAACATGTAGGCGTTCCACCAGCGCTTTTGACGGCGGTACTGCATGCGCTTTAGGTTGTTGTCGTAGATCTCGCCCATGTAGTCCCCGCCAAAGCACTGCGCCTTCATCTCCTCATCCTCGTGCATTTTGCACTCGGTGACCTCACCGTCGTCAAACTTGTACCACTGGCACTTGCCGTTTGCCGGGTTTCTTTAATGGATTAACTCGGATTAGGCTTTTCAGCTACGCTTAATTGTTTGGGCACTCACTTGGAGAGTATGTAACTGAAGTAGTGGCCACCAGAGGCTTGCCCGCTGTGCACAACAATGCCGGTCAGTTCGTACTTTGTCGTCTCAACGTTTGTTTGACAATTATCACCCACCTCCACCACCTCGCCCTCTAGTTTAGCTAAGCCAGACACTTATCGCAGAAAGGGGAAAACAAATAAAATAATTTAGAAAAGGGAGTAAGTAAATTTGTTAACACTAATAATCAAATCTTTTCTAAACTCACCTGTGTAGGGCTCCATATCCAGGATACGCGGAAATTCAAAATAATCATTAAATTTAATCGCACAGACGCGCTCGTAGTCGTATTCAAAGCGCTTCAGTTGTATGGCTAACACGGGTGGCAGCTTCTTCACGCATAGCCGCTTAACGGTAACTACCTGTTGGCCACAAAGAATTCAGATTATTTGAATCAGTTTACACATGGTTATCCCAGAGAATACTTTACTTTTTTATCACATTTATCACAATGGTATGCATCGGCTCCCTCGAGCAGCTCCCCCTTGACATACTGCTCCAGAGATTCGGTTAATGAGCTATGATTCCTAATATCGACACTAAATACACTAAATGGTTCCTCTTTGGAGTAGCGATGGGGGCACTCTTGGCAGATTTTCTGATCGCTGAACGAACCGCCCAGCGTGGCGTTCATCAGCTGCGGCTGGCCAAGTGCCTTCAGTCCCTCGTCAAGGCTCTCAAACAGGGACATGAAGAACTCCACGGCATCCTGTTGCTCGCGGAGATTAACAGGTTCTCCTTGCAGCCTGTTTGAGCAATAAAATCAAATCAAATATCAAATATATAATATAAATTATGCTTTACTCACTTGAAATGCGTCCAGAGCCCACGGGGCACATAGAACTGCAGAGCACTGTGCCCCAGGTGGGCGAATATTGCCTGCACGTGTTTCAGGATCACGACGTGATAGTTCTTTCGCACATCCTGCGATCCGTCCTCGACACCGCCCGACGATGAGGAAAAGGTGACTAGCGCAGAGGCGGGTCCCGAAAAGAGGGCCGGTCCAAGACCGCCGCCAGTCAAATCGGAGTCGCCGCTAAAGTCCTCGCCGTCGGTGGTGGCCGCACCGTGGGCTCGCAGGATACCCACGCGCACCGCCGGTACCATGTAGAGCTGCTGCAGCACCGAGTTCATGTAGCACGTGGCCCCGGCGTTTTTCAGTCCGCAAAAACCTTTGGTTGGTCTGGCGCCCACCGGCGGCAGGTAATCCCATTCGCGCAACGGATCCGTATCTGTTCACAGGGAGAGGATTTTTATGTCTACTCTATAAGCATAAGTATTATTTAGCCCACGCACCTGTGCAGACGAAGTCGATGAGTGTATTGGTGAGTAGCTTCATATTAGGAACACAGAGCTGGCACAAGGCAATGAGGAGATCGCAGGCAGCGGCAATAGTGTGCGGACTGCGGCAGACTGGTGGCGGGACGGTGTCCTGTCGAAGACTGCCGTGCCGCCGTAAATGCAGGAATTCGCGAGAGGCTGTGAAGAGGAAGTCGTCGATCAGCTCGTGGATCAGCTCGTTGAGCTGCGCCTTTGAGTCAGCAGCGAGAAAAAACATTAGCTCCTTGGCCAAGCAGAGGTGGCCCTCGAGAAGTTCCTCGTGCACCTGAGTGTCGCCAGTGGAGCGGACATTCTCCCGTATGCGCTGGAGCCACTTGATTTCGTCGCCCAGCAATCCCTCGCTGATCTGCAGCGGCCAGTTGTAGATGCATCCATATGAAAGAGTGCGGCACAGCACCGAAAAGAACTCGGCGCAAGTCGCCTCGTACTGGGGAACTAGCGTCTTCAGTGCGCCCACCAGCAGGTTGACCATGTAGACGAACGGACGCCGATCGCCGGCGCAATAGGTGGAGGCCAAGAACAACTGTTCTGAGGCCACCTGGCGCACATGTCGAAGCGGGTTCCTCAGCACAATGGAGGTGATGAACTTGGGCCAGTTGGCATCACTACTCAACGCTTCGTTAGCACTCGGGTTCAGAATGAACGAGATGGTGAGCACTTCAAGGGCCTCCTTGCACATGCTAAAGTCCTGCCCATCCGGCACGATCACTTCGTCCTCAAAGTCGCCGTTGCTACTCCCCAGAGCCTGAAGGTTGCCGCAGGACGAAGCCCAAGCCAGCTGCACTACGGCCTTTATGGTGGAAATGTCAGGGCAGGACCACTGCAGCGTAGAGCTAAAGAGGGTGCGGCAGCGGTCGCCCTCCTGGCTGGCGGAGAGCATCTCGCGGGCCAGCATCACGGCCAGCTTCGCGGAGATTGCCCGCAGTGTGCCCTGCGAGCTGTTCGGCATCGTCGAAAAGTTCTGCTTCAGGATGTCTACCTGGGAGCGGGATCCGTTATCAAGATCGCAGATCATGGGCTCGTCGCCCACGCGAGACAGTACACTGCCCACAATGTAAAGGAACAGCTTTGCCAGTCTCAGCACGCACTGGAAGGACGCACGCTTCGTGTGCATATCAGCGCTGGGCAGGAAATTGTTTTTTGTCAACAGCTCCAGAACGAAGTGGGCGCAACCCGAGTGCATCCATGCAGACTGCACGAGCAGGGCTCCTTCGCCTAATGGATCCAACGCAGGAATCAGCAATCCGTGTAGCACGCTCAGGTTGTACAGTACCTGGGCGGGTGTCGGGTGCAAAAACATCTGCTCGGGCGTACAGTTTTCCTGAGAACAAGAGTTTACAAAGTGATTTATTAAGATTATTTTTTATAATATAACTTTTTCGTCCTACCTCATCAGATTCACTCGCCGGCTGCTCGGTGGAGTTCAGTTTCTCCTCTTCATCCTTCGCGCATTTTTCGGCCGTCAGAGGGACCGTAACGGCCGCCTTTGGGACCTTGCACATCATTTGAAGTTGGCGCATTGTCTGGCGGTCGCAGGGAAGCAGGTGCAGCAGTACCTTAGCGCTGTCCCGCAAACGACCGTGCTGCAGATCACTTCCCAACTGATAGAGCTTTAAAAAAAACTCGGTGTACTGGTAGTTTTGCGAGATGATCACGCCGGGCAGCGTGCTTTCCGATTCCACACGCTGCATATCGGGGCATGGACGAGGGGGAGAGCCGGTGCTCGAGTCGCTGGAGGAATCCGGACTGCTGGCCAGACCAGTGCCCACCGGCGTCAGCTTTGCTGTGAGGATCATCTTGTCGCGGATGGTGTACTGATAGAGCGGGTTTATCTCATCGGAGATTTCGATCATCTCGCCATTAGTGTAGAAGAGATCCACCTTAATGTTGGTCGTTGAAGTGCCTTTGATCCGCTTTAGAAGGCTGCGCTTAAAGGCGGCCATCGTTTCGTTGCTGTGTGTAACGATCTCCAGGTCGTCAATGGGTCTGCCTGGATTCTGGAACCGGATATACAGGCTGGTGTTCTTGCCGCGCGTAACTCGGCTGAGTGGCAGGTGGACGCGATCGCCGCTGAAGGAGCGGTCGCACTCTTTCACATATTCCTGCAGTACCTTGAGAATGCGGCACATCTTCTCCGCCTCGATAAATCGCATTTTCGAATCCTTAGACTCGTCGTTGGCATTGTCCGACTGATCAGGTGCATCCAACTCCTCTTGAAGCTGTGTCTTGCCCAGGATCACGATGTTTCCGTAGTGGGTGCGCAGGCGGGAACAGCACTCGCCGATAAACATTTCGTGGAACTCGGCAATGTTCTCCTGCAGTCGTGGGCCCAATGCCGTGGACACTTCCTTGAGCAGATCAATAGCCTTGCTGGCAATCTCCTCGCCACCTGTGGTGATCACCCGCCACAAGTAGTCCTTGCCTATTAGGTCCTCGTTGTCAAGTATGTAACCTCTGTGTATCGCCTTTAGCTTGTCCTCCTTGGAGTTGACCGCTTTGAAGAAGCGCTCGAAGCACTTGATTCCGCTCTCTGTAAGCAGGTGGGGATCTAGTTGCAGAATGTTGTTCTCGAAGAAGTCCTTGTTGATGCCGGGATCCAAGTCAGGCTCCTCGCCCATCAGCTTTCCAAACCACCGGAAGCACTCTTCACGATCAGCAGGAAAGACGGCGCTCACTGCCAAGCAGTGCCAGATCTGCTTTGCCTGATCTGCGCACAGCCACAGCTGACCGTCTTTAAGCAGGAACTTGAGGAACTCCAGTCGCTCTGCGATTTGCGCATGGTGCGGGAACCTTCCGTCAATTAGGATGGTGGCCGCTTCTAGGCCCGGTGTGTCGGTCACCATTTGGCGCACCTTTTCCATGTATGCAGTCAAGCTGTTTGTGACTAGAATGACTAAGGAATAATCATTCTGGAGCCGCTCAATCACCTGCTGTCGATTTGTGCCCGTTTGGGTGCGGGGTGCATGATTGGGCGTGGTGTCATATAGACAACAAATATCCCGTATTAAACGCAAGGCGGGCAGCACCCATCCATCGCCTGATTTCAGCTCGCCAACGCATTTGTCCAACCAAATGGTCTTTTGCGCGTCTCGCTCCTGAGAGCAGCTATAATCCAAGATTTTGACGTGTGCACCTAGCGCCTGGTCGAGCACTTCAGGCGGGACCTCTTGGCTGTGGGCCAGCGTCCAGAAAAGCTTTAGCACCTTTTGGGCCATCACACCATTCTTGTCGTCTTCAGCCAAACGGCGAATCAGCTCCAGAAGCCTCTCCCGCTGCCTCTTATTGGCCGTGGTCATGCTGGCCTGAAAGTAAAATAGATTAAATCAATATTGGTCAATCGAAAAAAAGGGTCACTACTAAAACAATTAATGTTTGATAATTAAAATACTACCCTAAGGAAGTCTTTAAAAAATGTATAACATTTAATATAGACTGATTGGACTATAAATACATTTAAACAAAAGCAGACTCACTTGAAATGCCTCGAAGAGGTGGTCCAGTTGCTCCGGCGTGAAATCCCAGGCCAGTTTGGCTAGCAAATCATGCACGTTTTTTACGATCGCCTCGTGCTTACCGGCCTGCGCTCTCCAAACCGCATCTAAATCGTCCAAAGTCAGCGCTTGCTCCTTAATAAGGAAACGGATGATCTTTTCCAGCTTTTCCACATACTGCGGTTGATGCAGCGAGTCCTTAAGCACAATGCCCAGGACGTCCGACGACTTGATCCACTGCGCCATGCGCTCCGCCGTCAGCCAGTCCATTTCGTCCTCGGGCATACAGTGGGGCAGGGGTTGGGATCGATGGGAATAATAGGCCACCGAGGAAAGCACCTTGTTGATTTCGTTGAGGGCGTTCATTTTACCATTGAAACTGGAGACCTGCAGCAGACGCAGGATCATCTTCAAACGAAACATCTCTAAGTCGCGGATCAGCTCCTCTTGTCCAGATAAACGACTGGCCAGGAAGCGGGCCGACTTCACAATTCCATTGATGTAATCATTGCGTCCCTCGGGCTTCACCTCCCGCTTTAGCTCCTCGTCCGTGAAGCTGTCCAAAAGGTCCAGCACCACGTTCCAGGTGGGCATAAAGTACTTGGCGATGGTGGCGGGCGTCAGCAACTCATAGCATTGACCAAATGGTCGCAGGAGACTGTGGATGAGGGCCAGGGTGAGGCGATTATCCTGGATACTTCCTTCCCCGCTGCCCTCGCCACCGACTCCTTTGCCGGTGGCCTTGTTTTGGTTGCGCTTCAGTAGCTCCAGTCCACTGTTAAACCTCTCCAGCAGATTGTCAAAACCTCCCAGTTGGCCGAAGCGGTTAATGAGATCCACCAGCCAACCGCGAGGATTCTTGGGCTCCGCTGGCGGCCGGGCGTACATCTTGTTGCTGTCCAACTGACCCCAAATGCAGTCCGGTGTGGCAAAGCACTCGGGCTGGCGTGCAGCGTTGAATGTGTTAAACTTGTTCTCTGGATCGAAGACGATGGCCAGCAAGTCCAGTAGATAGGGATTGTCGCGCTGCATGTGAATTGCGATCAGGTGCAGCAGTTTGCCGCACGAGACCAGGATGCAGTGGTGGATGTTGAACTTCCACGAGTTCACTGCCTCGTCGGTAAGGATCTTGGCGAACGAAGTGCTTAGCCCATTGCGATAAAACTCCACACATGGCTCGCAGTCGTGATCCACACCTTTAAATTAATTAAAGGTTAAGAATGGTAGTTCTGGGTAGCATTTTGACGCACTTACCGGCCTGGGTCAGCTCGATGGCAGCATTTAGAAGCACCTCCAGCTCCTGTTCAGGCAGCACGGGCACCACCCAGCGTGGATTCGATATCTTCTGGGAAAGCGATCTCAGTTTCGTGGTGGGAAACGAGGAAATAAGCTTCTCTGGAGGCCTGCAGAAAAAGAGGATAATTAGTTTAAATATAATTTAAAAGAAATAAAAAAAAAACAATTGTAATTTGTTTTACTATTTTAAAAATGATTTCCGGGTAGGTAAATTAATGCAAGTGCAATGAAATTATAGAAAACCACAGTACGTTCAGGATTCGCAGTACCATACGCAGACCGTAGATATTTGAATTTTTTGGTGCTTTTTCAGTGTCAGCTAATCATGATGGGCAAGGCGATAAGATAAGCCCTGCGCGGGTATTCTAAATGAGACAATAAAAGTCGCATACAGCAAATACATTAATACGAATGTAGATTCACTGCATCTACATGGGGAAAGGGAAGATAACATATATGGCCTTATTCTTAGCCACTATCACTTTTCTGCACACAAGCAAACTGGATATTTGCTGTCCGCTTGTAATGGAACTGTTTGTTCTGTTGAACTCCAACACCTTTGAATTAGAATAGCCAAATTCAGATTGAGCATATTTTAACAAATCTATTGCGGGTCTTGTTCAGGCCAAACCCTGGGCAAACAAAGAATGCAGGTGGAGAAGGAAACTGCGCAAAAGTAAACACACGAATGTCGAAGGTAGGGGTTTTTTTTGGGGTGGCGGTGTTTCTGGTGCTACTGGTGCTACACACGCCCCGAAAACAGCAGCCAGGTCTAATTAACTGCAATAAACTACGCACTAAAACCGGCTAATTGGGCGGAGTCATGGGTGCCACGCCCACTTACACTAGTGTGACGGTGCTGTCCACGCTGCCCGCCGTAGAGGAGCCGGCTACGTCATCGGAGTTTTGGCTGGCGACCACTGGCTGTTGCTCCTGGCTGCTATCCAGACTGCTGGATCCTCCTCCTGGCAGGCTAGAGGTGGTGACTGTTCCGGTGACTGATCCTGTGCCCGTTCCCGCACTCTGCGCCGGACTCGTTGTGGTGGTTGCTGTGGTGCGCGTGTCGAACGTCATGGTGGTGGTGGATCTGTCCAGCTAAGTCGTCCTGCGGAGCACCTGAAGCGGTCGAAGGTGCAGGAGCTCTGCTTCTCTGGGTGTCTGGCTAATCCTACTGCAGTCTGCACTGGGCGGCGTTTTTGGTTGATGACCTATGGCAGTTGTGAGTTATCCGGAGTGCTCCTTGTCTAGTTTGGGAGTTTCCTGCTTTCCGCTTTTTGTTTTTGAGGCACTGTTGGTCGGCGACTCCTGGCTTTGGGCTCCCTCTTATTGTCCTTTTTCCCAATAAGAACTGGCGTCCTGCGTTGCGTTTACATATTCCTGGTCAGCGGCCACAGTTTGCAAAAATCTATAAACTGCAACGAAGCGAAAGAGGCAGAAAGAGGCGAATAAATACATGGGCTAAAAGAGAGACCGAAAAGGCACACATACATGAACAGGGGCCTTAAGTGTATGAGTGGGCCTGCGTGTGTGTGAGAGAGCACTGGGTTGGAATATGAAAAATCAATATTATTTAATAGACGAGGCAGCAAGCGCCAAATAATGCTCCAAAAGCACACAAATTACGCTCTCACCCACACACACACGCACACTCTTTTAGCGGCCCAATCGTGTATGTGAATTTAATTTAATGTTGTTTTTGTTTTACGCTGCGCTCTTTATTCTTATTTATTTATTGTTATTTTTTTGGGCAAACAAAGAACATTTTTCTGCCGAAAATTACATCACGTACGGATTTTCCACTCCCTCTCTCTCTTTCTCTGCGCCCGGCAACATCCTTAAGCGGAATGTCGGTCGGTGGGTGGAGCAAGTGGGAGGGGAAGGGGCGTAGGGTGGGAGCAGGGTGGTGAAAATAACTACGCATAAAGACTTGAAGCTGCAGGACCGAAAATATGCAAAAATTGACTATATAGAGGGTGGGGCGCGGGCAGGGATTCTCCCAAATTCTTTCTTTCACTTTGGAGTTTCGAGAGAGTAACGGAAGTCACTCAAGGACGGCAGAAAGTGCGGCTTTTCAATATTTTCCCCTTTTTTCACTGGTCACTCACACACATGTACAAGTATTTTTTGCAAGTCGATTTGATCAAATGAACACTTTCTTGAAGACCCAAAAAGGCGATTTGTTTCCTTCTCACTTTTCTTATTGCAAATTAGGGAGCTGCAAACTTAGGTGCTCATTCTAAAAAAGTCGCGGAAACTAATTCGCGAATATTGAGCTTACAAATCAGCCGGCCAATAGACAAAATGGCGTCTGCCTTTGCTGTTGTTCTGCGGCCAATTCCAATTCCGATCCCTATTGGACTTTTACCTGCCTGACCGAGGGCAAAGTCCTGCGTATCCTGCGGGAGCGACGGGTGCGGCTGCCACGGCGTATTTTTATCCGCTCGGCGTGCAATTCGCGTTAAATTAATGATATTTTAGTTATTTCTTTTGCTAGGGTTGTGCAGTTCGGGCGAACTAGTTTTGAACTGAACCGGTTCTTCTGGTGCTTTTAGCCAGGGCTGCCAGGTTACTAAAAATTATGCTTATCGAGCTGGTGATGGCACTAGTTCATTTGGGGATGGGGTGAGAAGTATTTTTTGTTGAAGTGGGTTTATTTAGTAATGAGCATAATAGCATAAAATTAATGTCTATCGGTGGAAAATAGTTCTGTCTTGCCCTTTAAGGACGCCTGCAATTCGTCAAATTAGCTGTCAAATGTGTTGATGCACAAATTTAATTGCGCTTAGCACTATCGTTTACTAGCGAAATATTTAATATATCGATACCATCGTTAGAAGTCAACTCAGCTCTACTGTATAATGGTAGTTGAATGAAAATGTACGACGCGTTGGAACGCTGTCCTGGAGCATATTGTGGACGATCTCCGCTTGGAAATGACACCTGGAGCAACTGCGGGGTCTGTCCCCGAGGATCCCGGGTGTGTGTCCTCTGCCCAATGACACCTGCCTCTAATTAATCCTACTGCAATCGTCCTCAGGTGAACCAGAGCTACGCCTGCTCTCCTTGCCGCGACGAATTAACCACTTACTCCTGGCTTTATCTGGGATTTATGACCCTCCTGCCACTCATGATGCACTGCTTCTTCATTGACATGGACGCTAAGGATCGCAAGTCTGCGGGAATAGTCCTTACCCATTGCAAATAAGAACTTATTGATTGCCTTTTCACAGATTTTCCCGCAAGCAGCTGATACTGACGGCCAGTGCCTTCGTTGAGGTGGCTCTGTCTGCCATCCTGGCCACCTTGTTCATGGAGCCCATGTGGGAACTGCGCCTGTACGCCTGCGATGTCCGGAAACTCACCGACTGGTACACCCTGTTCTACAACCCGAGTCCCAATTACGAGGAGCGCGTATACTGCACACAGGAGGCCGTCTATCCACTGTAAGGCTGATCACTAAAATAAATATTGACTAAACTAACTTGTATCTTAATTATCTAGGCAAACCATCGTGCTAGTGTTTTACTTTCTTTGCCTCGTCAACATGTTTCTCATCCGCCCGCTGGTCAGCAAACTGATGGATGTGGGTGGCAGGAGCAAAGCGCCTATTTACTCCGCCCTCTACTTCCTGCCCTTGCTAACATTTATCCATGCCTTGGGATGTGGGTTGATCTGTAAGTAATGCATTAGGTATCTGTTAGCTAGACGTCTTTATTCCACGGTTAACCTTTTCAGATTACTCCTTTCCGTACCTGAGTGTGGCCATTTCCATGGTAGCCAATGCCATTCACTATTCTCTGAAGTTGGACCAAACCCTGAAGGCTCTGGTTCACTCCTCGGTGTGGGAGCTGAAAAATGTGGTTATTATAGGTGAGCACTTTGGGCTTTTACATTAAATACACTTTACCATCATTTTGTTCTCACAGCCGTCCACTGGATGCTGTTGGCCTATGGCATTACATCGCTGAACTACCATTATGGCTTTATGTGTCTCGTTCCCTTCCCCACACTCTTCTACATCCTGACCGTGCGCTTCACGGATCCGGGCGAGTTCCGGGAGTTGGAGTCGAGAATTTGATGCGGCGACGTCCAGATGCAAATCTTCCATGCTCGGGGCACCAGACGATCGACTGTTGTTATCTATGTGTAGTGTATGCGTCGCTTAATTTATTTATATTTAGTGCGTAGCTTATATTAACCTGTTCCATTTTTCACTAATTTAAGGCGATTTGGAAGAATAATTATCTTTTATTTCGTTGATAATGAAGGTTACTTTGGTTATTGACCAACCGATAAATCAGTAGCCAAGAAATAAAAAAAATTCTGTGAGGGTGAAAATTGGAACAGGAGATCTAGTATATTTGTCGTATCATATATGTAGCCTTAAACCAATCATCGTTCTTTTCGTTTTAATTATATTTCACATTAATTATACACATATAGTAATATTAAATACAAATCATCAGTTTCCCATCTCTAAAATAGTTTTTACACAATACATATTGCTACATATTGAATTTGGATGCCGCTCTTGGTTCAGATCCTTCGTTCCACTCGCCGCTTTTCTAGAGGTCGTGCTTCAGTGTGTGAACCTTGGGCGCATCGTAGTCGTCTTTGTCGTCATCATCATAATATTCCCCATATCGCAAGCCGTAGAAAAGAACATAAGTCAAGGACAGGGTGCAGCGGATGAGGAGCGGAGTATAAACAAAATCAATACCAGCCAAGAGAATAGAAAATGTGATAAACGCAAGTACGTTCAGTTTATGGTTTTTGTGGGATGAGGGAATTCTCTGCCGTTATATGGAGTGGAGTCTTCAGTTTTCAGGGCGTCTATTCCGCTTGCGTGTGTTCATTTGCGAACCTGTTGCGTTCCTCCAGGAACTTCAAGCGGCGTTTCCTCAGCTCGCCCAACTCCGAGGAGTTCTCTTCGAAGTCGGCATCAGAGTTGGGCAGACTGACCGCCTCCGTGGCCGTAGAAGGCACGTCGTCTTCGTCTGCATCCGCGCCCAGATCCTCAATGGTTACCTTCTCTGCAGGCAGTGGAGGAGCCACTGGGGCTGTTGCCGTGGGAGTCACTTGGTGAGCTTCCAGCTGCGCCATAGCCGTGGCCGAGGTACTGGGCTTGTCGTACACGCCTGATCCTGCAGCTCCTTCAACGCTTGGAGCTGCCGCGGATGCTGGCGGCACTGCAGTGAGCTGCAAGCGCGAGGCCAAAGTCTGGTACTGGGACATCATTATCCCCGCCGAGTCCAGCATAAGGTTTATGTTTTGCAGCAACTGTAAAAGTAATTCAAGTTAGTCGTTACAAGTTATGCTATTTCAAATTTAAGTTCCACCTTCAGACGTTGCTCAATCTGCTCCCGCTGGTGTCCCTCCATGGCACGTAGCTCCTCGTCGGTGAACTTGGTCAGGTCCAGCGGAATAGGTGGCGGCGGCATGGGCGAGAAGTAACCAAACTGCGGCGGCATCATAAAAGGCGACAGCATGGGCATGACCGGCGGTGGAGGCACCGAAAGTCTAGCCAGATTTGGCAATCCGTCTGAAAAGGAGTTTGGAGGGTTAGGGATCCTCATTTAGTATAACCAGCTATGAACTCACTAGCATCGCCAAAAAGATCTGCAAAGCTAGGCGGCAGAGCTTGACCTGCGAGCAGCGGGCCGTTAGCGCGAGCCTGGTTGCCATCGACTCCGGCAGCTGGAGCTGGAACAGGTAGACCTCCGGCTGGTTGGGCACCAGCTGCATCCGGGGCGGCATTCCCAGCAGCAGCGGCGGCAGCCTCATCGCCTGCTCTCGGCATCGCTGTGGATATCACGGCAGGGGTCCGCAGAATGTTCAGGCGGCAGGTAGGACAGGTCTGCTGGCGTTGGAACCACGAGCGCAGGCACGTGGTGTGGAAGATGTGGCCGCAAGGCAGCTTCTTCGAGTGGTTGATCATGTCCTCGCGGCAGATAATGCAGATATTGTCTGATTGGCGCAGCTCCTCAGGCGTGGCGTCCGGATACAGGGTGTTCATGTTACGGATGGCCCGCCTGGACATGATCACGTCGTTCAGTGCCTTGCGGAAGTTTCGTATGGTGAAGAACATGGGCCGGAAAACGAACATGGGCAGCGCGTAGATTTTGGCCATGATAACCACGAACAAGATGTAGAGCACCACCTTGATGAGCCCGATAACCAGCTCAGTGTAGAGGAGGAACACCGCCTTGTTCTCCCAAGGCGTGTCTGTGCGCATCTCGGCAGCGTGCAGCACGTACTTGATAGCTGTGCTGGCGATTACAGTCAGAAGGATGGCGTACTCGAAGCCGAAGACCAGCTGCACGGTGGGTCCACGCACCAGGGTCGAGTTGTAGGCGTGGATCAGCAATACGTAGTCCAGGATGCCCAGCAAGGTAAGCAAACTGCCCACGCGAATGTGGAACAGCCAGCCGAGCACGGGCGAACGCTCCATCTGGGTGTGGATAAAAATATAGTATAGATCTGGTATATACAAGGGATACTCCTTACAAAGTCCACCCGCTCCTCGGCCAGCCAATGGAATGATTTCAGGAATAACAGCACTGTGAACAGGGCCACGAAGCGCGGATTGAAGTCGTCCCGGAAAACCGTAAAGGCCAAGCAGGTCTCCGTGAGTGCGTACCAGAAGCGCTCCAGTAGATGCTCGAACTCGGCGGCGCGCAGCGTGCCCAGGAAGATCTGAGGGATAAACTATATTAGTGGGAGCTACGAGGGGTCTTTAATACCAATCACCTTGCGGAGCAGCTTGCCAAACATGAAGACAATTACGAAAAACTGTATGTAAATGACCTGGAACAAAGGGAAAGCTTAGATTGGGCACGGGCGATGTTTATGAGATATACCCACCGCCATGGAGGCATTCGACTTGGTTATGTAGACCACCGCCGGATAAAACTGCTGCTTTTGGTAGTAGGCATTCCCGATCACCGCGCTGGTCAGCGCCATGCAAATGGACGATAGCAGCAGCTGCATGATGCCGCTTGTGGTCGCCAGGGCCGCCAGCTGGCTGATGGACTCCAGGAATATGTTAATTGTGGCCGGGGTCTTTGCCTGTCCCCACTCGCAGCTTTCGGAATCGGTACCACTCGGGTTCACTCTGATGTCCGAAAAATGTCGACTTTGCTCTCGTTCACGCTCGAATTTAGCCGGGTTTTGTTAGCCGAACGAAGTTGTTTGCCTTGCCATCGAGATTTCCTACTCTGGAATTGGGAGTGGTGGCTCTATTGGGGCTTATTAATATTTTTATTTTTAACTTTTTTTTAATTACACGTAGTACGTACCTACGGTTCAGTGTGCCCCTTTTGCTTTGGCCAGGTTAGCCGGAAATAAATACCAAAATAAACAGATCAGAATATGGAATAAATAAGAAAAATACTAAAACTCAAAACACTGACATACTAATTAAATAATGATATACGCAGTTGGAACAGCAGGGAATTATAGCTTCACAGCCGTGTTTAAATTCAAAAAGCTAAGGTATTGTTGGTAGCCCCTTGCGATTTGGATGAAAATGTCACTAACAAAACTACGCCAATATTTACTATAAATAAACTGAACAGATTTTTATTTTATTTATTTAAAGCTAGCTTAAGTTTTAAAACCTATGAACTAACTAAAATAAGAGCATTAGCAGCTGAGGCCTTCGGTTCGTCTGGGATGACAGTAATAATTTAATTTAAAGGAATGAGAATAATTTTAGATTTTTATGAATGGAACAGATTTTTATAAACATAATCGTACATTACAATATTAACTTTTTTCATTTATCGCCGTCGAAAACATTTTTTTTTTAATTTTCCCTCATGCCGTAATCACAAATTATAGTATGAAGAATTTTTGTCATATCATTTAGAGTGGTATATACTATTAAAAAAAAAAAATAATAATTTAATTAATTAATATAAGCGAACAATTCCTAAACATTTGTTTATTGTTATTGTAATGAAGATGGTCACACTTTAGCCGCTCTTATCAGAAGCCGGGCGAAGAAGAAGAGGAACGGTTCCAATTGGATGATAAATAGTCGTTGAATTGTAATTAGTCAGCACAAGCAAACTGTTTTAGCCGGTAAGACCTCCAATTTGCGATGCGGTGGCTTTGGATTCCTGCCACCTGTCTGCTGTTTACGATTTTCAATCTAAATGCATCCGCCGTCGAAGATGAAATTCCTCTGAACCCTGATAAATCCAAAGAATACCCTTTGTTTGAGTATGGAGAGGTGAAAATACCCACACCTACCAGGGGATTACTGTATCCCAGGGATTCGGAGACCCGCGAGGTGCGCAGATTGGATGGAATGTGGCGCCTGGTCAGGAGCGACCCATCAGATCCCCTCGAGGGAATCAGGGAAAAGTGGTTTTCGAATAACCTGAGAAAGACTGGAAGGCAAATCATTCCCATGCCAGTGCCCGCCTCCTACAACGACATAACCACGGATAACTTGCGGGATCACGTGGGAACCGTGTGGTACGAACGAACCTTTTTTGTGCCCCGCTCCTGGAAGGTGAACCAACGCACCTGGCTGCGCTTCAGCAGCGTTCACTATTCGGCAGTAGTTTGGATCAATGGCAGGAACGCCACAAGTCACTCGATTGGCCACCTGCCCTTCGAAGCGGACATCTCGGGATTGGTCAGCTTTGGAGCGGAAAACCGGATCACGGTGATGTGCGATAATCGCCTGGGCAGCCGCACCATTCCCCAGGGTTTGGTTTATGAGGCAAACACGGATCACGGATCCGAACCCGTCCAGAGTTACACCTTCGACTTCTTTAACTACGCGGGAATCCACAGGAGTGTTCACCTGTACACCACCCCACTGCTCCACATCAGCGATGTGAAGGTCACTACCCAACTCACAGCTGAGGGATTGGGCCGCATAGACTATCGCATTTGGGTGGATGGCAGCCAGGAGGGTCGCCGCATCCAGCCCACTCATCTCCTGGTGCAATTGAGGGACAGAGATGGACAAGTGGCCGTCCATCAGATCAACAAAGCGGTCTACCATGGTACTCTTCTGGTGCCTAATGCCAATCCCTGGTGGCCATATCTAATGCATCCTGATCCTGGCTACCTGTACGACCTCCAGTTTGAACTCTATGTGGCCAGCAATGAGGAGGAGGAGGCGGATGCCCTGCAAGATGCCTACCGCCTGCCAGTGGGCATTCGCAGTCTTAGTTGGAGCAACGACAGCCTACTGCTTAATGGTAAACCTCTCTATCTGCGAGGATTTGGGCGTCACGAGGATTCCGATGTGGGTCTTGGTAAGGAGAAACTCTTGTACTCGACTAATTTCGGTTTTGCTTAGATCCGCGGCAAGGGACTGGACAACGCGCTCCTGGCTCGCGACTTTAACCTGCTCAAGTGGATTGGAGCCAATGCCTATCGCACCTCGCATTATCCTTACTCCGAGGAGTCCATGCAGTTTGCCGATAAGCACGGCATCATGATTATTGACGAGTGTCCTGCTGTGAACATTGACATCTTCGAGCCGCAGCTCCTGGAGCAGCACATGTCCTCGCTGGAGCAACTTATCCACAGGGACAGAAACCATCCCAGCGTAGTGGCCTGGTCGGTGGCCAATGAGCCACGATCCCATAAGCAGGGAGCCCTTAAATATTTCAAGTGGGTGGAGGGTAAGCCAGATATATATTGCAGCTAATCAGGATGTTCTTCCTATAGATCTCTGGTGAACTTTACGAGAAGCATTGCTGATGGACGTCCTCTAACGGCGGCCATCAATGCCAATTCCTCCACCTGCCATTTGGCGCAGTTTTTGGACATCGTGGGCTTCAATCGCTACAACTCTTGGTACCAAAACTCGGGACGCACTGACATGATTGTTAACCTGCTCACGAATGAGGCCCAGAGTTGGCGGGATAAGTTCGGCAAGCCAGTCATCCAGTTTGAGTATGGGGGGGACACCATGGAGGGCATGCACTCGGTGAGGGAATAGGACCCTGTTTTTGTATGATTTCTAATAATTCCTCGGACTCCTTAAAGTTACCCGCCTTTATTTGGTCAGAAGAATATCAGGTGGAGCTCTTTTCCCGGCACTTCAAGGCCTTTGATGAACTTCGTGAAAAGAAGTGGTTTATTGGAGAGTTCGTGTGGAACTTTGCCGATTTCCGAACTGCGCAGAGTGGGTTATCCCTACCTACTGTTTTATGATAACTATAAGTTTAATATATCTGTTTCAGCCATTACCAGAGTAGGCGGCAACAAGAAAGGCGTCTTTACTAGGAACCGGCAGCCCAAAGAGGTGGCCCACCTCCTGAGATTGCGCTACTTTGCGTTGGCCAAGGAGTTGGATCAATGCATGCTTCCTCGGGACCTAACTGTGTATATTTCCAAGCATATCCATAACGAACTTTAGATCAGGGATTTCTATATTTAGGTAGAAACGCATAAAGTAAGCTTTAAATATTCAATATTTCTGAATAGTAATTACAATAAACTTTATATCAACAAGCCATGGACCTTCTTTAGCAGTGCTTTATAGTGACCCAAAATGTTCCTCTTAAACTTTGACACATTTAGATGGGATTCTGAAGGATAACTATTCTTTTATTCTGAAAGAATAAATCCATTTAAAACATCTATGACCGAGATTAACACAAATTCAGTAGGTTAACTTATAAACATGTTTCATGCTGTATTAAATGTATCCCCACACCCACATATTACCCCCTTCCTGACATCTTCATTGGCTTTGCTTTGCCATGGCCAACTCGTGTTGGTTAAGACCTCTCGACAGCAAACCTAATTAACTCATTTAGACCCTCTCGTAAAACCATTTATATTTTCTGCTTTGCCACTTTACGCGTTTTGGCAAGCGAAAAACGAAATAGCAAAATGAGGCGGCGCACAATGGGGCATTTCCATGGCCAGAAAGCAGATGAGTTGACCGTGCGAAAAGGTGGCATAATTAAGTTGGTTAAATGAAACAGCAGCTCCACAGCGATCTTCGATCTGTGATTGCTAGTCCTCCCCCGCTGACTACCCATTTGAACTTTTACTTTTACCCCTAGCTCGAGAATGGATCGCGATGACCACATGGCGAGTGGAACAACTGGTCATATTGCACAAGGCACTCTTCGTCGTGGAACAGTTGAGGATGTGGCTTTTTGCATAAGCCACCCGAATGGTTAGCACCCAAAGGCTAAAGTTAGCTGCAGAATGACCAGTGTGGATGCGTCTTTTTTTGCGGAAAACAAACGTGGGCCCAGACATAGACACACAGTCATCGACACCAGGCCACCGCCGAGGTAGACCGGTCACAGATCCCATCCCAGCGGACCCAGGCGAAAACGTGTCGCAGCAATTTCCCATTCCACGGTGGCTTTTCCATGCCCGTCGTGGCACTTTAAAAAATTGAATATGAACACCAAGTCACAAAGAAATAATCCAACAAAATTAATGTAATAATGAATCCTAAGGCAAATCCCTCAATTTCTGTCATAAAATGCCCCAAAACATTTGCATTTATTGCATCAATTGCTAAGAGAGAAAACATTTTTAGAATTGAACATTTTCCAGGTACTCAATCAACCTTACTTATAAATCAGTGCTCACTTTAAAAATGTTGGTGCTAACAATTTTCTTTAAGTGTTTACTTCAATGCTGTTGTTGCCCATATTGTCGGCTCGCATTGCATATGCATTGCATTTGCTCCGCCACCTCCCACCGCCTCCCCCAACCTCCGGCGACTTTTCTACTCATCTGCCATGTTCCAAGTTCCCTGCTCCACGCTCCAACTCCATGACTGCGTCGTTGGGCTCCATGCCTCGGTCTCCGCGCTTGACTTACATAAAGCGAGGAGCACCTCGCACGCCAAAAACAAAACCCGTTTTACCGCGACGAGGAAACGACAGAAGCGACGTCACTTCGCCCAGGTGGATGTGGTGCGGAAGAGGAGTGGGGGAGTGGAGGAGTGGAGGAGACCTCTCTCGATGGTCGTCGGCGGGATTGGGTTGACGTTTGGCCATACTATAACTGCACGGTTAATCTAAAATCAGATATGAACATAGATTATATTTTCATTATTTACTCCAAAAATTTGCTCAGAAAAATTATTTTGATACAATACAAATTATATTTATTTATACAAACTAATGTTTTTTAAAAAAAAAATTTTAAATATTAATATTAAGAACTGCAAATAGAAAGAAAAGCTTTCACATATTTTATAATAGCTATATAGCTTTTAGATATACAACCAGTATAAAAAATATTTATGTATTTTTATTTAAACTTGGTTATATATTTGAATATTAAAATAAGAAAATATTTTTCCTCTGTAACGGTTGGCTACCGCTACTGGGGTCTCGCTGACTTATGTAACCTGTGTAGCCTACCCGGCAATCCGCCAGCTTCGACGGACCTGCATGCAGAGAATGAGCGTCCCAACATCAATGGTCAAATACACATTTTGCTAACTCATCTTCACCAGCGCCGCAATTACAGCTTTGTCGCACCGGGCATTCTCCCCTTGTCATCAATAGGCCGGAATAATGAGTTTTTTGTCGCTCCATCAGCCTCATCTGCGACTGTGAAAAATTACCCATCTTTATCATTAACCATCTAGGCAGTTTTTGTGCGTTAGTCGATTGGCATGCTTGAAGCCCAAATGCACCTGAACTGATCAGCAGGTGAGGTAGAATCAGAGAAATCATCAAGACGCAAAAAAAAGTAAAGAATGATTATCTTTCATGGTATTTTCTAGCTCCTATTTTCTGTCGCTCACTTAGCATGTTTAAGAAAAAATTAAAAGGCAACAGTGCTAATGTGCGTATAAGCCTTGATTGTAATTACTGCAAATTGAAATGTTTTATAGACATAAAGATTTTAAGTTGTTTACTTCTAGAAAGAGTCTGTGAGTAAGAGGAATGCATGTGATTATACCAAGTCCCTTACCACGTGCAATTCTTAAAACTCCTCCAATGAAATAGGCTGTGAAATCTTAAAATAAAATCAAACAAACTTAAAATTCAAATATAGCACTGGCTTGCAATTTCAATTGAGTTTTTGGGCGGGGGCGTTGTACCCTATGCAAAAGACGAGTTGCAAAAGAAATCTCAAATTCGATTTAAAAATTTACGTGCGTCTGTCAGTTGGCAGCTTTTTCGTTTCCAGGGATTTTATTTTTGTTTCGGCTTGCCTTGTTTTGCTATTGTTGGCCCAATTATAGTGTCATAACAATTACGCACGCACACAAAGAGGCATAATGAGTTTCAGTTCGGGCCATGCAAAAAAACTAAGAAAAAACTAAGAAAAAGACTGGGACAGAGAGCGAATGGCGAAAACCAAGAGCCAAAGCCATCGCCATCACTGTCCAAAGTTGACCTACTGGAAGACGTGTTAATGATGGATGTTCAGATAGGCCACGATGTATAATAAAGCGGCCATTAAGGTTGCAAATCGCGAATAAAAATAAGCAGCGCCAGAGATAAACCAATACAAACTCATTGTAATGAATTATAAGTTATTAATAAACTCCTACGATTATCTCGTGCAACTATATGTACTTATATTCAGTGGTCAGAAATCAAAGGTGATTTTAAGCCAAGACAAACGAAAGGTCACCAATCCATCCCATATTAATTGAGCAAAAACTACACGCCTCTAAAATTTGAAAGTGTCAATATTATGATGACATTTGTTTCCTTAGAACATATTATAAATTAATTGTATTAACGTTCCTAACCCAATTAAAAGATAATAGTAAAAAATATTATTACAAAAGTAAAATCACGTTGTAAAAACAAATGGCTTTAATAGCATACTTTTGTTGATTAAATAAAAGGTTAATACACGACTGTGTCGAACCAATTCCAGTCTTGCAAGTGACCTTTTCCCATTACTCCAATTACACGGCCGAAAGTGAAGCCCGACAAAAACTGAATTACGACATCGATGGGTGAGAGACCTTCGCCGGAATCTCTCGACCACAATAAACCGAATTAACATTAACGACAGTGGCAGCCACAGCTGATCAAAACAGTTCCGAGACACGAAAATGATTTAGCGCACTGTCATTGGGTCTGCTGCCTCCGCTATCTAGTGTGAAGTGTTGACTTTCATCTCATTGTTGCCCCCGAACCCGAACCCAAGCCCAAACCCAAACCCAAAACCGAACCCGATCCCCAGTTGAAGACCCAAACTTCAATTGCAGATCGTGCCCCAACGCACGCATATACGCAATGCAGCAAGTCCTTCACTTTGGAGCGTGAAGGTTTCTAAAGAGTCAAGGCGCCCTTGGTACACTCAAAGAAAACGTTTTTTACTATGAATTAAAAAAGAAGATATATATCAATTTTCCTACTTGTTACCTTTTTATTCTATGTCTGACGGGTATTAAAACATATGTATTTGGAAATAATTTTTTGATAATGGGGATGGAAAAATATTTCCGCAAATAATTGGTTTAAACTTCAAACCCATTTAGTATAACAAAAAAAGTATAGTTTTATTTATATTAAAAAAAAAGCTTTGGTGCAATTACAATTTATTGAAAATTACGCAAAATTACTTACTTGCCTTTGGTGAAAAGTTTTCTCTGTATGGAGTCAAAGTCATTGCCGGTTTTGCGTCTTCGCGAAAGTGTGTGTCGAGATGTAAATAAACCTCATTTACTCCAATTTACTGCCAGTTTCATTTCCAGTCGAATGCAGTCGTCTTCCCTTTCATTGTGATTTTAATCGCACCTTTTCGGCCGCCATCTGCGACTCCACAAGTGCTCATCCACCGGCATGACATAATGGGCACAATGGGCAATCCAGCTCCATCGGGGGCTTCTTTCACTTCTGCCAGAATCAGGGCAGATTTCTTGTTTCAGAGCTTCTTTCGAGGTCAGATGAGTGTCTTAACCGCAATCCCGATTCCCCAGAGGCACCTTCATTTGGCAGTTCGTTCGTTTTTGATTTTTTTAACATTAAACTTTTAACATTAAGCTGGGAAATTTAAATGACATTGTCATACATATATAAAGATTAGTAAGATAATGCCTCATGTAATAATATTGTAGGAAACTGAACCATCAAAGAGTTTTTTTATTTATCAAGAAAAGTTATCCAAAATATAAGAATCTACGAGGAATAAACTGTTTCAAAAGTTTTTTAGATAATATTATTATAATATTTAGCGAACATAAACACGTCTTAGGGAAATTTTGGAAATTTGCTGTTGCTCCACTCTTGTGCAAATATAATTTTAATTTGGCTCCTTGTGAAACGTTAATTATACGCCCCGTGGTGCCAGAGCCCTACTGCTCCACATTGCGACTATACGTATTGTATAGGGGCCTCTGCCCCCTGACTTCCCCCGATTCGCATTTCCCAGCCCATTTCGTAATCTTCGTGCCCATGTGACGCTGATGCTGATGGATGACGAGCCCAGGTTGCGACTAGCAATTGAAATGCAACTGCAACGGGAAATGCGAACTGAAGTTTCGTCGGTGGAGCCATCCCTCATGGCCGAAAATATATTTTTTGGGCCTCCATGATCCTCCTGGGCTGGCTTCAAATTTTTGTGGCTGGGTTGTTTACCTTTGGTATCAATCGCGGTGGTGGGAAAAATCACTTCCTGGTCCGCCGCGAATCGAAGGAAAGTGCCAAAGAAAATTTCAAATACCAAAATCGTTAGCGACATTTTATTTTTTTCGGCCTTTTCTTTTTCTTCTGTCTTTACGTTGTTTTCCATTTGGAAATTTTGTTTTATTGTGAGAAGCGCACAGCAGCAGCAAAAACAAGTTGTGGACGAAGTTTGGCGATAATGACGTTGCCGAATGGACGACTTGGCCCGAAGAGCTGAAGACTGAAGACAGAAGACTGAAGACCGGCGGGTATAAAGAGTAGCTCTGCTGGCTAGGGAGATGCATTCAGTCGCTGGTTCCCCACTCGAAAGCAACCAAATTTACTCCACTCTACTCTACTCAACTCTTCCCCCCAACAAACACACTCACCCAACTCGTCGCTATGAACTCCTTCTCAGTGGTAAGTGATAGAGGATCCTGAAGATCGCAGGACTCAAGGCAGCCGACCAAAACATTGGACCTAAACGGATAACGGGCCTAAAACGGATTTTAAAGAGTACCATTCTACATTAGCGTAAAAAAAGACAACAAACCGCTCACAATATCTTCGAAAAGAAACTTTTTTAAAATTTCTTTGCTTAGAAAACTCCACATTCGCTTTTACAAAAGACCTTCCGATAAAGAAGATACGAACATATTCAGGGATTTCAAAAATATCATCAATTTTGTATTGGAGATTATAAAATCAACAGAACAGTAGCTTTTCATAATCACCTTCTGTAAACTGCAACAATCAAGTTGGGTACACTAATTGCACAGTTTCTTCAGCATAATTTACTTAATAGAAATTGTAGGACCAAACAATGAAAATAATTACAAATACTGTCTAACGAACGACATTTTTAAAAAATTATGTTTAGGCCTGACATTAACTGCACTTTGGTTGGCTCGGACATGGCCAATGTTGACCACACACTAATCCCTCGTCACCTCTTTGCAGTTCTTAGTGTTCGCGCTGGCGGCTTTGGCCGCGGCGGAGCCACCATCCGGATATAACTATCCCCGCGGCGGAGGCGGTGGTGGTGGCGGTGGACACGGCGGCGGATTCGGAGGCGGCGGCGGATTCGGAGGCGGCGGTGGATTCGGAGGCGGTGGCGGCGGTGGCTTCCAGGCTGTGAGCGGCGGCTTCCAGACCTCCGAAGGACAGAACGTCGATCCCCAGCTGCTGGAGCAAGTGCGTCAGATCCTGCTGAACGAGGAGAGCAAGCAGGGCGGCGGCGGCGGCGGCGGCGGTGGAGGTGGCGGTGGCGGCGGTGGCTATCCCAGTGGCCCGTCCACCAGCTATGGTCCTCCGTCCTCGAGCTACGGAGCTCCGGGAATCGGCGGCGGTGGCCGTGTAGTGGGCATCGATCTGGAAGGCGTCCGCCAGGCTATCCAGGTGGCCCAGTTCGCCCAGCAGAGCTCGCAGCAGGGAGGCGGTGGCGGTGGCGGTGGATACCCCAGCGCCCCATCTGGATCTTATGGAGCCCCCTCGAGGCCCAGCGGCAGCTACGGAGCGCCCTTTTAATCGTTCCCCATCTCAAGACCCCTTCCAAAACTCAGCGACTGTACCTCTCAGTTCCCCGACACACTCCAACACACCCCGTTCCCCCGGAACCCCAGAACACCAAACTCAATCTCGAATTTCGTCTCGTACCCTCAACGAATCTCGAATCCGGGGCTTCGTTTTGGCCTTTTTTGTAACCCTTGTAAATAGTTTTCTCACTCTACACGAATACAAGAAAAACTGAAAATGAAAGCCACACAACAACAACACCCACAACACCAAGATGGTAAACACCCCAGACAGTGTTATAACGCATTATTAGCTCGTAAGTGTTTTTATTTTATATGAAACAAACAAAGAAACAACAAAAAAAATATGAAAACAATAAAAAAAATAGTAAATTTTGTCACCGTTAAATCATTGCAATGTTTTTATTTCAACTTCGATGGAAAGTGTCTGAAATAAGATGCCCTCGTTAAATTCATCATTAACAACATCTGACCCCGTTTCTTGTTGTTTACCTCCAAGGCACTCGATGATCTCGTAATGACAGTCCATTCACATAGACCAATTCCAATTCAACGACTTCGAAGCTCTCCATGAACCGAGTTGTCACTGGTCTTATGTGAGTTTATTAAATACCAAGCCAAACATCTTTAAAAATCCTTTCACTTTTCAACTCGATGATGAGGTAGCTGTAACCCCTGGCCTATCCTCAAATACACTGTGCAAAGCGTTTTAAAATCAGATATGTACATAGATTTCGTTGAGGCAGATACATGTATTTCCTTTCAGGAAATACTGTTTAAAAAACATCGGGAGTGTTGTCCGTATAATAAATCTGTAGAGACTGAAAATTAAACTGTGAAACGCAAAGCTAACAAAAATGTTAAATACTCGTGACATGGGTATATAATCACAAAACTATTGGTTTTAAATTACTTGAGACTTATTTGAAAACCCTAAAATGCTATATTTCTTGTTTAATTGTTTCCTTAACAAGGCTTTTAAAGAATGTGAGACGTTAACCATTTTTCACCTACCTTCTTTAAAGATTGAATAAAAATGTATTTCGAATTTCAAATATTTTGCTGTGCATGGAGTACTCTCAGCTTCAATGGCTGTCGTGCAAGTGCTCAAAATGGAAGATATAGATGAAGATAAGGATGGGGACGTGGTGGCAGATGGCAAGTGGCAGATGGGACCGGAGGGGCGCTCATTACGCGGATGTTGCGACAGATGCAGCCGAGACTCTGGGAAGGAAGAGGGGAGTCGATGGACATCAATTATTACCACAACTGAAGTTGGAGTTGTGGCTCAGAGCTATAAATGAAGTGGAAGCCGGCGCTGAAGCTGCAGCCACTTAACCAACATTCGGCATCATTAAGATTGCCCAATTGAATGCGTGCCGAGGTGGCCATCCACATATATGGAGGTGCAGCCAAAACGGTGCACTGGCAGATGAGCCGCCAAGTGGAGTGGAAGTCGTGAGGTCCACCGATTACGGCATTGCGGCTACCGCAAACAAAAAAACTGCAGATGCTGAATAGCCTTATCTATTCAATTATTCATGTGTCTCACCGACCAAACAGAAAAGTGTGTTTTGCAATAATAACTCAACTCATATGTGGGATTAAAAGATGAAACGAATCCTTAACTTAACGTCAAATTTGATCTGAAATCGCATTTTTTCTATCATAATTATATTTAAATTTTGTCTAACTATAACTTTTTGAAAAAGTCCCGATTGTGTTTATAGGAGCTTTATATTGTAGGCCAACATGGCTAGATCGACTCGCGTGGTAGTGATGATCACGAATACATATACATTAAAGGGTCGGAAATGTGACTTTACAGCGTTGCAAACTTTAAACTAAAATTACAATTTACTTGACAAATTGGAATATAGATATTTAGAGAATCAAGCCACAAGTCTTAAAAAGTATGTCTTTATGAAATGCCCTAAATTTATAAAAGGTATAGACTCCAGAAGTCCAACTGTGGGTCTCCTTGTTACAAGTCATCAAAACTTATAAAAAAAACTTACATCAAACTTACATCGAACCACAAGTCTTTAGAGGTATGCCACTTTGGAATCGGATAAAGTTTGGTAAAGTTATGGGCTCTCAAAGACCAATTTTGGGTCAACGTTAAACAAGTCATCGGAAAATTCAAAATAACTAACATGAAAATGGGTCAAAAATTCGATCAACGTTAAATTAAAAATTTTGAATGCAGATTTTTAGAGAATCGAACCAAAACTCTTTAGAGGTATGCCACTTTGGAATCGGATAAAGTTTGGTAAAGTTGTGGACTTTCAAAGACCAATTTTGGGTCAACGTTTAACAAGTCATCGGAAAATTAGAAATAACTAACATGAAAATGGGTCAAAATTTCGATCAACGTTAAATTAAACATTTTGAATGCAGATTTTTAGAGAATCGAACCACAAGTCTTTAGAGGTATGCCACTTTGGAATCGGATAAAGCTTGGAAAAGTTATGGGCTCTCAAGGACCAATTTTGGGTCATCTTTAAACAAGTCATCGGAAAATTAGAAATAACTAACATGAAAATGGGTCAAAAATTCGATCAACGTTAAATTAAAAATTTTGAATGCAGATTTTTAGAGAATCGAACCACAAGTCTTTAGAGGTATGCCACTTTGGAATCGGATAAAGTTTGGTAAAGTTGTGGACTTTCAAAGACCAATTTTGGGTCAACGTTAAACAAGTCATCGGAAAATTAGAAATAACTTACATGAAAATGGGTCAAAAATTCGATCAACGGTAAATTAAAAATTTTGAATGCAGATTTTTAGAGCATCGAATTACAAGTCTTTAGAGGTAGGTTAAAAGGTTTAAATTTGGTATAGGTACGTACATTCAAAGTCCAATCGTATGTCACATTTTAACTCTTTTTTACTATGAGAAATCTGAAGCTTAAAACTAGTTTACAATGTTATAATAGTTATATGAAGCGAACGCTAAAAATTGTAATAGATTCGGATCTTTAAAACTGTGATAAAAAAACGTGGTTAATGCCCTAAATAAAACATTTGATAAAGCACTATCTCTTGGCTCTATACAATAATAACAGTTATCTTTGATACTTTTGAAGACTCACTATAAGTTTATCAAAGTATTACCCCTAAGCTCTCGATAAGCATCAGCAATTAAAGTGGCCTTGTCTGGACCAAATCCGGAACACGATCAACGAGAGAGTTATCCTCACGTGAACAACTCCTCTCCGCCGATGACTGGCAAAATGCAGATGACTGGCGGGTTCTCAGCAGGATTGTGTTGCTGATATCAGGGTAAACAGATTCGCGAGTTGGATGACAGGGAAAACAATGATTAACCCGCTGGGGATCCATCGCAGATTACGTAATCTCAGCTAAGCCAGGAGTTCTTATCGCAGTCCACTGTGAGTTCAGATAGGCTGCCAGGCAGACGGGGAATTGACTCAGGGGTCTTAAGATCCTATGAGATAATACAATCATCTGGATAAGGTCCGTACGTGAGAGCGCCGTCGATAGATAATATTTAGAGCGGGCAATTCCGAAGATAATTTGGGGTGGCCAAAGAACCTTATATAAAGACAGGGCGGGCGCCGTGTTGCTTTTAATCGTGATTCTGCGGCGTCGGAGCCAGAAGGTGAACAGTAATTAGTGCGGCAGTGATTCGTTAAACGTGCACCCTCGAGGAGATTCTTTCGAAATGTCGTCCCTTTTGAATGCCACCGTTTTGGCAACGGCCGCCACCGCGGTTCCCGATTCCCAGTTCGTTTTTAATCCCACGGATTACGCCGTCTTTGCTTTCATGCTGGGCATATCCGCCGCAATCGGAGTCTATTTCGGATTCTTCGCCAAGGGTGCGGACACCACCGAGGAGTATCTGATGGGGGGCAAGCGCATGAAGACCATTCCGATTGCCATTTCCCTGGTGGCCAGCCAATTGTCGGCCATCTCCATAATGACCATTCCGGCGGAGATGTACGCTTACGGGATTAATTGGTTTTTCAATGTGGTTTGCATGGTGGCTGTGGTGCCGCTACTCAATTACGTGGTCATCCCGGTCTTTTATAACAACAACATCACAAACTGCTACGAGGTGATCTATTTGTGTTGCGTATTTTCCAAGGAAATGTTTTATTCTATTCACTCCATTCCCAGTACTTGGAGATGCGTTTTTGCCGAGAGGTGCGAGTGCTTCAGACCTTCCTCTTCATAATGACGATGTTCTTCATGCTGCCAATTTTTATTTTCCTGCCGTCGCTGGCTTTTGCACAGGGTAAGTGTTACTTATATTGGGTAATCCCTCCTCCAGTTAGCAATTTTCTTCATTTATTAGTGACTGGCTTCAATGTGCACATTATCAACACCGTTGTCTGCAGCATCTGCATCTTTTACACCATGTTTGTAAGTAGAAACTACAGTGTTTTAATGTAATTAAGAAAAACAAGAAATTGTTTAAACTTTCCGAAAGTCTCCGAAAGTTCACTAAAAAGGGCTTTTGAAAAACGCGAACGATTACGGTTCATTGGACTACATCTTTTTCTACCCTTCCTAACAAATATTTTAGGGAGGCATTAAGGCTGTGGTCTGGACCGATGTTATCCAAGCCGCAATTATGGTTGTGTCGGTCGTTCTGGTGGGCATAATGGGCGCCAGTCGAGTGGGAGGGTTCTCCGAAGTTTTCCGCATTGCCGGCGAGGGAGGACGTCTGGATATCAAGTGAGTTACATCTGACTCACCATCCCTTTGATGCTAATTCCTTGCCTTTTCAGCTACAATTTTGATCTGACCACACGCTCCACAATATGGAATGTTTTCTCTTCGGCGACACTGATGTGGTCGGGATATGTGGGCTTGAACCAGAGCTGCGTCCAGAGAATTGTTTCACTGCCATCACTGGCTCACGCCAGAAGGTAAGAATTTTTAAGCACATTTCTTAAAACCTAGTTAACCTTTTTCCCACATAGAGCCCTAGTCCTCTTTGGCCTTGGCTTCATCCTGATCATGTTCTTCAACTGCTTCACGGGCATTGTGATCTTCGCCCGCTTCCACGACTGCGATCCCATCGAATCGGGCCACGTCACCAAAGCGGACAAAATAGTTCCGTATTTCGTGCAGGACACAGTGGGGCATTTGTGGGGCATGCCGGGTGTGTTCATATCGTGTGTGTTCAGCGCTGCCCTTAGCACACTCTCCGCCAGCATCAACTCGTTGGGAGGAGTGGTCTACTTCGACTACATAAAACCCCACATCCGGCACACGGAGCACAGGGCCAACGTGATCATGAAGCTGTTCGTGTTCTTCGCAGGAATCTATTGCATCTTTGGTGGAATGGTGGTGGAGAACTTCAACTCCATTTTGCAGGTTATCTATTCGATTGGAGGCGTTAGCTTTGGCTCCACGACCGCAGTGTTCTTGCTGGGAATGCTGGTACCTAAAGCCCACGGAAGGGTAAGTTGGTGAGTTTCAGAATTATCATCAGGTCTAACCACTTCAATGTTTTCAGGCTGCCTTGATTGGAGTGCTCTCGAGCATTGCCTGCATGGCCAGCATTGTGATTCTGAGTTGGGGACGCAACCACTACGAATCTCTGCCCACCAGCACCTCCGCTTGTCCAGCTCTCCCTTTGAACGGAACCATCGGCACTTCCAGCACAGTTTCATCCCTGCTCATCAGTTCCACGACGGAAGCCCCGGAGAAAGACGGGGGATTTAGCATCCTGGATCTCTCCTTCAACTTGTACATAATCTTTGGCTTCGCCATCACCTGGCTGGTGGCTATTCCTCTGAGCTACATCCTGAAGCCCAGGGTTGATTACAAACTGGACCCAAAGCTCCTGTCTCCGGTATTGCAGCCCTTCGTAGAATACAAATTGACACCAGTAGAGGAACCCCACCAACTGCAGCTGGAAAAGCCCGAAAAGGTCTGAGGATAGGGATGTGGCTCTTAACCATAAAATATGCTTCATAAGTATACTTATATTATAAGATACTCTTAAAAACATCTATCAAGTTAGATTATAAAGCCTTAAACGTTTTTTTAATTTTCTATTAAATGTAAGCTGTAATGCCCAGTTCTTAAATGTTTCATTAAATGTTAACTTAACTTGTCTTAGTTTGTAGACACTAAATAAAATAAAGCTAATTGGGAAAAACTTGAAAACTATTTGTTTAACAAACAAATCTGGTCGTGACGATACGATATCCAGTTTCGTAATTATTGTTTTTAATGATGGTTCTTCCATTTTTTTTATTAAAAGTTTTTCTAGAAAAGTTTAACTTAGATAATAGCAGTTTTATCAAGCAGAGACTAGACAGGTTGGAAATATCTGCATAACTGCCTATCACTATAACCACAATCTTTTCACAACAACTGCCTTAGCCTCGGGAAGTCAACCGAGCGAATGACATGATCTAAATATAGCCATTAAGTTACCTCAAACTTCAACGCCTGATCCCAAGAATCCAAAGACACCACGGTGATCAGCCTAATCAGTTGTGCAAAAGGTTCCAACCAAAGTCGTAATTCTTAACGGTGACATTGGCAAATATTTGGGCCGTAATCGGTGGGCCAGCGGTGTTAAGCTCTACACACTCCGGCAAAAGGTCGTAAAACAGGAGCCACGCCCCCTGCAAACCCAGCCCCTAGTATTTACCCTTGTCAAAAACTGAAATTATACAAAGACAAACAATGAAATGGAAAGTTTCACCAGACGTGTGAAGAGTAAATAAACTAAAAAAAGTTAATTTGTTAGATGTTTTGACTTGTGGACAGGATTGTTCTATTATTTTGTAATTATTAGCTTGTAATTATTAGTTTGCTTATATTATTTTATAACAAATATGTCGACGACACAATGACGTCTAAAGTTGAACAACATCTTAAAAAGTCATGGAACATGATTAAAAAGTTATGAATTTATATTCCTCTTAATAACTTGAATTAAATTACAGAAGACGTCTTGGATAAGTGAACAAGCTTCCAGCATAATAAAAGCCAATTTTCTTTGACATTTTAAACTTAAGATTTAGTTGTACTCCCAAAGAAAGCAATGGGTATAGAAGTTTGTAAACCGGCACATTGCATGCTGATAATTACAGCTACAAGCAAGTAAGTTATAGATAACTGAAGCACACCAAAACCCATTTGTAAGTAAATATTAAATGACTTTGTTGCTTTAAAATGCTTTTAAATTAAAGCGAAAGTGGTTTATCATCATTAACTTAGTTGAGTGTTTAGAGCATAATTTTATATTTATACTATCTAGTTTATACCAACGCATTTAAAGCTTATAACACATTTAAAAATCACGTTAGTTTTTGGACTGAAACCCAAAGAATAGGATTATAAAAAATACAAAAATATTATTTGTTTCCAAAACCAAATAACCGGTCCTGAGGCGGTACCCTCGAGTGCACTAGGTTTTATGATCCACTTTGTAACTGTAATAAGGACGGCCTTTCTTGGTTTTCGCGAGTACGCGGATTCAATGCAAATGTGAAATGTGATGTATAGAACGTGGTAAAGGTAACACCCAGTTTGGCCATTTGGTCTAAACTCTTTCTTAAACAAAGGTATTTCTTAAAGTTGCTATTTGATAGGGTATTCAGAGTTCCAGCTCTGGCAGATAACCCCACATCATGTTTTCATTTTAGCAAACATTTGGCGCAAACAGTCCATATAGCAGAGGCGGACCCAGAAAATGATGCTTTCCGATTCTCCAGTTCAGGTGCTACTCCAACTCTAACACTCGTACATTTCCACCTCCCCGGCCATGTAGGAACGTCGAGATGGAACCGGAGGCCAGGCACAACAATAACACAATATAAGAGCGGCATGTCCGACAGATAAGTGGAGCGCTAAGCCCCGGATGATTTACGGGGGCATCGTCAAGTTCAGATAAGGAGACGCCCCATGCGGGAGCTATATTTAAGTACAATCCAGGCCAGGGCCTGCAAGTTTGCCTTTAGCATCCGTGCACTGTGCACGGGTTAGGTCGGTCTAAAACCCTTATCAACAGCATAAGATCAGGATCTGCAAGATCAACATAGTTTCAAACAGGATGTCCACTGCTACCACCATGGCTAGTGCCGTTTCCGGCGCTTCGCAGGATCTGAGATTCGGACTTACGGACTATGTGGTCTTCGTCATCATGCTGGGCGCCTCGGCGGGAATCGGAGTCTACTTCGGCTTCTTTTCGAAGACCAAGAACACCACGGAGGAGTATCTGCGCGGCGGGAAAAAGATGCAGACCCTGCCCATCGCCATATCTCTGGTGGCCAGGTGAGAGAATAGCGGTGTCCGGCGGTCCCAGCCGGATTCCTTCCGATTCCGTCACAATTTATCTTTCTCTATTGGGGGTCATATAACCGCGTTGCGTCAATTGCTGAAAGTGTTATAAGTGCGCTGTGTTCCCAGTACTACTGGGGATTTAACAAATCCCACCATAATGATTGTAAAAAACTTCTCGGAACTAGGGAAACCTGTTTCGGGAATTATTATAAACCATAATAAAGTAATTGATCACTAGAATTCACTTATTAATTCTTGTCATATGATTTCCAGTCAGTTATCTGGGATTGCCATAATGTCCATTCCGGCGGAAAGTTATACCTACGGATTCAACTATATATTCGTAGTTCTGGCCATGATTGTGGTGATACCAATTTTAATCTACATCATTGTGCCTGTCTTCTACGAGAACAATGTCTCAAATTGCTATGAGGTGAGTGAGGAGTAAAATATTAAGAATCGTAAAAATCCTTAATCAAATTTAAATACTTATTTTAATACACACAAAATTTAACAACCATAATATTAATGCAAAAACTTACAATAATGACACCCTAGTATCTGGAGATGAGGTTCAACAAACGCACCCGGCAGTTGGTGACCGCCACCTTCGTGATGAACTCGTTTCTTATGCTGCCCGTTTATATGTTTATTCCATCTTTAGCCTTTGCGCAGGGTGAGTAATCGAAGCCCCTTGATCAGTGTCCATGTCGCTAAGCTCTTACTTTGCAGTGACCGGCATGAATATCCATGTGATCAACGTAATGGTCTCCTCCATCTGCATTTTCTATACGATGCTGGGTGGGATCAAGGCGGTGGTTTGGACCGATGTCGTTCAGGGAGGAATCATGCTTTTATCCGTAGTCGCCGTTGGTGTTTTAGGCACCACCCGATCGGGAGGCATTTCCACTGTTATAGAGCATGCCTCTGAAGGCGGACGCTTTAACTTTGAGTGAGTTTATATGCTCTATATTTAAAGGAGGATCTAAAACCGTTAATATTGCAGCTTTGGTTTGGATCCTCGCATCCGCATGACTTTCTGGGGCGCCACAATGGGAGGAATTTTTATGTGGACGGGTCACATTGGCCTGAACCAAAGCTGCGTGCAGCGCATCGTCTCCCTGCCATCGTATTCCCATGCTAAAAAGTAAGATAACAGTATTGTGCAAGGAAAGCGTTAGGAAATCAAAATCGTTATTATTACTTGTTTGCTAAAATATGCGAATTGTTTGTAATCGGATCCCTTTTTTTAATAGGGTTTAAAACCAAGATTAGTTTTTCGTATTCCAATTTAAATGGTATCCTTTTCGAATTCCTTCACAGATCTCTGATCATTGCTGGATTGGGTTTCCTAATCATCAGTTTCTTCAACACTATCTCGGGTATTATTATGTTTGCCCGCTACTATGGATGTGATCCAATGATAGCTGGTGTAAGTTCATTCTTTATAAGATCTTGTCACAAATTAAGAAAACTATATTTTTGTACGTCCTTCCACTTTAGTCATTTACTGAGAAAATTATGGTTTCATCCATTCATTTGAAAAATAGCTTCTTTCATATTAATCAGGCTAACCAACTTACACATACATCATTAACTTAATGACTTACTACAAAATGTTGGAAGAATATCTACTTACTGTGTGTTTAACTTTTTAGCTGGTCAGCAAGCCGGACAAAATGATGCCGTTCTTTGTGCAGGACATCATGGGTCATCTGCCCGGAATGCCGGGTGTGTTCATCTCCTGCGTGTTTAGTGCCGCCCTCAGTTCGCTCTCGGCCACATTAAACTCCCTGGCCGGAGTGGTGTACTTCGACTACATAAAGCCCCGAATCCGGCACACGGAGGCCCGAGCCAACTGGGCCATGAAGCTGATCGTGGTGGTGATGGGCGGCTACTGCATCCTGGGGGGCTTCATGGTGCAGAACTTCAATTCCATCCTGCAGACGGTGGTTACCATCACGGGTATCAACACGGGAGCCGTGGTGGGGGTCTTCCTCCTGGGAATGTTTGTGCCACGCTGCAATGCCAAGACGGCTGTAACCAGCATTATCTTCAGTGTGGTCGCCATGGTGTGGATCATTGCCAATGGGCAGATTAATTTCAAGTCCGGCCTGATTAAGTACGATGTGCTGCCGAATTCGCTGGATCAGTGTGAAGCCCGGGGTCTGCACATGATTGCGGATGTGATGTGAGTAACCTGCCACAGTGCTGTGTTGTAAGCGGTGCAGTATCAGTTTTCGCATAGATAATACCGACACTGACCGAAGCTTTTACCCGCTGCACCGTTTCTAGCCAAAGATATAAAGTATATTTTCTTATAAATTTCCTCCATCTCTAGCAACAAGACTGACTTCACTCCCGTCACAGCAAAACCACCTTCTGGAGCACCAGTGACCACCGCCTTCCACAGCGATCGTGATTTCTCCCTCTACGACATCTCGTTTTATTGGTACAAGGTTCTGGGTACCGCCCTGATCTTCCTGTGGGCTGTGCCCATGAGTTACGTCTGGCGACCGGATAAAAACGAAAAGCAAAATCCGAAGCTGTACTCGCCCTTTGTGAGAAAGTTCCTAACTCTGCCTGAGGCGGATCAAGAACTGGAGGAGGTGCCACTGCGAGGTGAGATTCCCCATCTCCGGATAGATCCTGGCGAAAAGGAAATCAAAGCTGGTCTCGAAAACTGATTCATTTTAGTTATTTTAAGGCTGAAATATGAACAAGACGGTTAAGTAAAATAAAATAAACAAAATTGAACGAAAACATTTTTTGAAAACGAGCATCTAATTTTAGGGAAATATGGGATTAAAGTCTATAGCGACGTTACTCGAACGATCGACTTTTTAATTAAACATTTCAACAGCTAACAACTATTCATCACCCAAGTTGCATTGGCAGTTGATGAGTTCAAAATAAGGAGTCAAAGAAAGCCAGAGAAAAATGATACATCACACAGTATGCTCTCTAAGCGCTTTTTAATTAAATAACAACAAACTTAAATATTTTAAAGACGACGACAGATCTAGTTTTTACTAGTTGCTTAGCTTAATTTAAGCAGTGTTAGGACGTACATGACCAGGAAGAGAGAATTTCACTTTAAGAATGTACAACAGGAAACATTAATTAGTAAATAAAATACTTTATCTCATAGTGTACAAATTTGTTTTTGTAGTAATTTATCATTTTGCAATTTGAATCAATTTGTTGTCATCACATGGGAGATAAAATCGGCGAGATATATACGACACAAATTTGTTGTCATTCAAAAGACTTTAACACTTGATATGTACATTTATCAAAAAACACCATATAATATTATACATTGGATCTTATATAATAAAGCCAAACTAGTTAGGCTTCGTAAATTAAAGAAAATTTCTCATTTTTTTAAACTATCATAATTTTTATCACAATAGTAAATAATCTAGCTGACTTGGGGACAACTGAAGGTCGCACTTTAATTTTCTTTATATTAGACCCGCAGATGCGTGCGACAAGCTTCTCGCATTGATGATTCATTTTCAGAGCCAGGAACGACAATCAATGTTGTCCTCCGCATAGCGATCGAAAGTACCTTTTACTTTAGCTTGTGATGCGCCACTTCGATGGATGGATGAGTTGGCACTCTAAGGAGGGTTCATAATCTCTGGGATTCCGGATCCGACTAGTTAAGTCAGCCTGGGCACTCTAAGGTAGTTTAACACCGCTCCTGATTTACGATGTGGCTGCTCCGATTACGACGCACCTAGACAGATATCTCGCCAAGATAAGCTCACTGGAAACGCTACTTAAGATGGGTCCACGATCCGATTTCCACAAGTGTTCTGCAAGCATCCAGACCCAAAGCTCCGAGGCTTTTCCGATTCGTTTTTCCCCCATTCGCGATCCCAGGGATAAATCAAGCACCACAAGGATGACGGACAGTGCCAGCGTTTTAGCCAGCACAGTGGCAACTGCCACGACGGCCGCCTTACAGGAACTTCGATTCAGCCTCACGGACTACGTAGTCTTCTCCTTGTTGCTATGTGCCTCGGCAGGAATCGGAGTGTACTTCGGATTTTTCTCCAAAGCCAAGAACACCACGGAGGAGTATCTGCAAGGCGGCAAGAAGATGCCCACACTGCCGGTGGCCATTTCCCTGGTCTCGAGGTGACTGTCCCGCACGCTTTTTCAATAAATTTCCATGTCGTCACTCCGCACAGGCTGTAAAGATACTCCAGATACACCTCGGGGCATAAAGATAGCGCCGTAGTACCGGGCCCCTCTCATCATCAGCCATCTATTCTGTCTATCTTATTTAAATGCGCATGCCAGATATAACACCCATAAAAAGGCTAAGGTGAATAGCAATGTTACCGCAAACCTTGTGAAATTAGTAAGATCAAACTCGAGCCCCTTTTTCACGGTCATCATTAGCTAAGTGCAGATTCACTGATCTTGGTTTTAGTTTAGGTTAAGATGGGTGAACGTGTCGATGACTTTATGTGGGATCATATTAAAATCACCTGTATAGCTTTTAATGAATTTTTTTTATCCCTTTCAGCCAGCTTTCCGGGGTAGCAATGATGTCCGTTCCGGCGGAGACTTACTCGTTTGGATTCAACATGATGTTCGTAAACTGGGCCATGGTTCTGGCAGTTCCTGTTCTCATATATGTCATTGTTCCCGTCTTTTACGATAATAATGTCTCTAACTGCTACGAGGTAATGTAAAACATTCCTAATGAGTCAGCTCTTTTAACAAAGCAAAAATATTAGATAACAAAATTTGCTTTAAATTAGATAATATTATAAAGAAAGCTTCTTATAATCCTTTTTTCATTTGTTTTCAATATTTTAGTAACATTATGAACAGGATTATTTGTTCTTTAGATAGTATTAGGGAGCAAACATAAATTTCACTCTCTATTTAGTTCAACATTACGATTTCATCATAATGAAAACCTGGATTAAAATAGGCTAATAATATATTCAGCAGAAAAAGTGATAACGTGTTTTATTAGGCCAATTAACAGGTTACGTTTCTATAGTTATGCTGTTGTATATTACAAAAGACTAAAACGTTCATTATATAACATTTAATCTTTTAACAATCTTGTTTAGTACCTGGAGATGCGATTCAGCAAGAAGACCCGCCAACTCGTGACCATTACGTTCATCTTCAATCAATTCCTGATGCTACCAGTATATATGTTTGTCCCATCGCTAGCTTTTTCCCAAGGTATAGATTTTAATCGTCGGCGCATTAGTGGATGAGTTAAAATTTATTTCTGCTTGCAGTAACCGGCTACAACATTCACCTGATCAACACAGTGGTTTCGTCCATCTGCGTCTTCTACACGATGCTGGGCGGGATTAAGGCAGTGGTCTGGACGGATGTGGTTCAGGGAGCTGTCATGCTGATCTCAGTTGTCCTGGTAGCCATATTGGGCACCTACAACACAGGTGGATTGGCCAATGTTCTTGAGAACGCTTCCGAGGGTGGCCGATTGGACATGAAGTAGGTACATTTAGGAATATAAACAGACTTCAATCATAACTGTTTGTTAAATAACAACAGCCTTTTATAACATTATTAGCAAATTATCTGGCATACATCTTTTAACGAACTTCTGTTAGTTTTGGCTTAGATCCCCGCCTGCGTCTCACCTTCCTTACTGCAATGGGCAGCGGCCTTTTGATGTGGACGGGTAAAGTTGGCCTAGACCAGAGCTGCGTTCAGAGAATTGTGTCCATGCCCTCTTATGGACATGCCAAAAGGTGCCTTCTAATGGCTGGCTTCGGTTTTGTGCTCGTCATGTCGTTCACCTGCTTTGCTGGCATCATAATGTTTGCCTACTACTACGGATGTGATCCTATTAAAGCTGGGGTAAGAGTGTTGACCTACTGCAATACATGAACACATATTAAATTCCCTACTCCTTTAGCTGGTCAGCAAACCTGACAAACTGATGCCCTTCTTCATCCAGGACATTATGGGCCATTTGATGGGCATGCCAGGCGTGTTTATCTCTTGCGTGTTCAGTGCCTCACTGAGTTCTCTTTCCGCCAGTCTTAATTCCTTCGCCGGAGTGGTGTACTTCGATTATATTAAGCCGCGCATCAACCACACGGAAGCCAAAGCCAACGCGACCATGAAACTGGTCATCGTGGCTATGGGAGCCTACTGCATCCTGGGCGGCCTAGTCGTGGAGAACTTCAACTCTATTATCCAGACCATGTGGACGATTACGGGCATTAATATGGGCGCTGTGGTAGGAGTCTTTTGTCTGGGCATGTTCATGCCCCGGTGTAATGCCAAGGTGGCGGTGACCGGAATCGGGTTCAGTGTTATTGTCATGTTGTGGATCATCATCAACGGCCAGATGAACTTCAAGTCCGGCCTGATCAAGTACGAACCCCTGCCGAATGGGCTGGATAAGTGCGAGGCAAAGAACTTCGAGGTCATCTTGAATGCAATGTAAGTAGACCATCTGAAAGTAATATGCACAACAGACGCATTGAACCACCCTTTCCAGAAACAATAACATCAGCAGGGTCGCCACCACTCCGATTCCCTCTCTGGAAGCACCCAAGCAAGTGACCACCGCCTTCGACAGCAACCGCGACTTCTCCATCTACGACATATCCTTTTACTGGTACAAGGTGATGGGTGCCCTATTGGTGTTTTTGTGGGCCATTCCAATGAGCTATGTGTGGCCCTTGGACAAGAACGAGAAGCAGAACCCCAAGCTCTTCTCGCCCTTTATTCGGAAATGGTTATACCAGCCAGGTCCTGCCCTGGAATTGGAGGAGTTGCCTTTAAAGACGTCACTATCCGAGGAGCAAATCAAGGCAAAGGAGAACGGCATTGCACCAGAAGCTTAATACAGCATATCATCACATCTGTATAGTTGCAATAGAATAACAATAGCAACAATAAGTTTTGTATTACAAAAGTATTCCATAGGAACCAAATTAACAGTGATCTCAAAAGTGAACTGTTTAGAAAATATCATTACGCAAAAAATTATTATATGTGTTTTAGTAGTCATAAAAGATCATGTTCTCTTATAAGATCATCAAAGGCATCTTGTGTGAACAGTTTGGGGCTCTGGGATGTCGCATGCCAATATTTTCGGCAACATCTTTTTTTTGTTCTTATTCCCCATTATCTTAATTTTCCTTACATGTTTTTACAAACTATTGTTATTATTGGCTTGTACTATCGAGTGTTTTTATATTTTTGGTAAAGGAAAGAGTACTTTTTTTACCATGATCTGGTGTAAAGCCATAACTTTTGTGTTAATTCCAATCGTGAACTGGTCACCAATCCTCTTTTGGAACTCACCCGAAATGTTGTCAAACAAGTTTATTTTCTCTTGTATTTTTTAAGATTTATTTACAAAAGAATATTCAAATGAAGAATGCCTTATACAGAAGATAAGCTACATACAAAAACGGTCTGACTTATCATTTCAGTTGCAACGGCTTCCAAAACTAATTTACGCTTTTGCTGTAATTATATGTTATATTATCATTATTATTATTATTAGAATTTGTGTTTTTCGTTTTTTCATTGAAAAAGTTAAATCTTTACTCTATCATGTATTTACGAATTCGGTTAGGAGTGATCGCGTGGAAGGGACCTTTACCTAGCACAACAGTTCCCAATGAGCTCATCCGTAGTCACCGATTGCAAATCGGCTCTTTAAAAATCAGAGACTAAATGCTTAAAAAAACGTGAAAAATATTGAAAATGTGTGAAAGTCATGCATAGGCGTATCTTAAAGCCGCAGATCATTTGTATTGCGTTACAATGGTTAAAATCTTTCCGCGTTTTAGTCGCTTATGTTTTGAGTTTTGTCCAATTGGTTTTAGAATTAAGGATATTATGTCTTAAAATTTAAAAACATCTATTTTACATACATTTCCGTCAATGTATAATTTGTTTGATTCCAATTTGATTAATTATCCACATACATATTATATTAAGATGAATTTTACAATCTGGCTGTGTATTTGTGGGGAAGAGGGTGTGGGTGGGTTGGTGGTTTGGGGATTGGAACTACTGCCTACATGTTTTGCTTGTCTGTCTAGCTGACGCACACAGTGCAACATTGAAAGTCCAGCATCGATTGCAACCTATGGCGTCCCTCGCGTCAACCAATTACTGGAAGACACGAAACTATCATCAAAATGAAGGTATTTTTTGTGTACGAAATCAAGTGATCAATTAAAAAAGAAAATCGTAGCTGTGTGATTTGGGGGAACTCTTAAATGTTTGCATGTAGTTGGCAACATCCAGACCAACTCGGCGGGCGAGTTGAAGATGCTTTTTGTACACATCCGCAACGCATTGAAGTTGTTGATTGTCCATCGGTGGTGTAATAGGTCTAGTTACAGACCTTTGGCGTTACATTCTCGCCCACTTCGGCGGAACTGTTGACGATCTTGGGCTCACCTTTGAAAAAAATATGTTAATGACTGAAGACTAGATGAATAAGGTAATTTTAACTCACCATTAACATTGATTTCGGCCTTTTTGACCTCGCTAACGACCTGTGGCTCCTTAGCAGGACTCTCCGCGGCCTTCCCCACTGTGGCATCTGTTCCGACGGGCTTGCTGACATCATTAGTGGTGGGGGTGGCGGCATCCTCGGCGACAACGGGCGTGGCACTCTCATCCGTAGTGCTATGCACGTCCTTGGGTTCCGCAGAACTCAAGATCTCCTTGGTCTCTTTGCTGCTGTCGGCTTCCTTGGGCTCGGTCACCGGTATGCTAGACTCCTTGGGCTCTTCCGCAGATTCTTCTTCCTTGGTTTCGGAAGCAGGGACTTCAGGTACCGTTTCCTTAACCTCTGTGGCCACTTCCTCCACATCATTGCTTGATTCTGCTACTTCTGGCTCAGGAGCGGAAACCTCCTCGGTGGCTGGTGTCTCTACTTGAGCTGTGTCCGAACTGCTCTTCGAACTCGCATCCACCTCCATGGGCTCTGGTGAGGCTTCCTTGACCGGCTCGGCTTGCACCTTTGGTTCCTCCACAACTGATGCTGTAGGTTCCTCGGCCTTTTCTGATTTCTTTTCATCCACTTTTTTAGATTCCTTAGCAGCTAAAGGGGTGCTTTCAACAGCCGGCTCCTCTTCGTCCACATCCATGGCGGAAACAGGCGCTTCGGGGGCAGCGGGGGTGTCTGTGGCGGCACCGTTTTCAGAGGCATCCTCGCTGGTGGGCTCTTCGAGTTTTGGCACCTCTACGGCTGACTTCTCGGGCTGTTCAGTGCTTGGTTTGACTTCATCGACATGGTTCTGCTTTTCCTCCGCCAGTGCAGGCACAGCATCCGGCTGGTCTTCGGTCTCGGCTGGCTTGGCGACCTCCTCCTTTGGCTCAGTGACCTCTTTCTCCGTCTCCTCTAGTTCATCCGCCTTTTCCTCCTTCTTTGCTTCCTTCTTCTCCTTCTTGGTAGCGGCCTGAAAAGTGGTTTCTTCGTTAGTTTGTGGTCGCTTGAAAACCAGGTAATTTGTTTACCTTTCCTTTGACCGGTGTCTGTACCTTTTCCGGCTCTTGTTCGGGATCATCACCGCCCACATCCAGCTTGCGTGCTCCGCGTCCCTTTCCAGCGCTGGCCTTGGTGGCCGAGGCTGGCGATGTGCGCGCCTTCTTGCTGGGCGGCGGCGTCACCGTCTCCGTGGTCCTTGTCGGTGTTCCTCGGGTGCTGGACCGCGTCCGCCGTCCTCCAGCCAACTCCAGACTGCCTCCCATCGTCCGCACCAGCTCCTCGCTTTCCTGCTGCGCCCGCTCAATGAACGAGCGGCGTTTGGGAGTGCGCTTCTGAAATATAAAAAAAGAGCTTGGTGAGAACACATGACATGGTGTGGTGAAAGGTGTTTCAGATAATACACCTAAGTACGTAGGGCTGGTATTAAATATTGGTAGGAACTTCTTGATTTAAATTGGTTTATTATTACTTATATTATTGTTATAGCTCACAAGCTCTTCTGATTTTCATCCAAAACTTTTTTTCCTCTTTAAAGGAATATCGGACCTCTCAAAAACTTTTGTTACCGTTATTCTAGATCAAAAGCTCTGCCCCTGAATTTCCACTAAAAGCCCAGGCTCTCTCAGTTTTTCTAACGCGAGCGGAAGGGACCGACGCATCCGCATTAAAATTGGCAAATAATTATGTTTCGGGTTCGAAAAGTATTCAAAATAAATTATACACAAAGCTAATATCTGATCGTGGCTTTTTTGGTTCAGCGATCTGCGTTAAATCGGGTAATCGCAGTATATTTCAGCAAATGTATTTTTTTTTTTTTTTTGGTGCAAGTGCAAAATGTATATGTGTGTGTATGTGTGTGCAAGTAAGTGCGTTCAACAGGCTCTGGAAATACAAATGATTGTATGACTTAAGCGAGTTAAATCTTCAACTTCGTTCTTTTCTATGGTTTATTCTTACGAGTTTTGCTTATTGTCTAAGAGAATTTTGGAAAATCTGCATAAGGAGGGAAATCGGACCAAAGAAGGAGCTTTTGTTACCGTATTCCTAGCTCGGAAGCTCTGCCACAGACTTCCCGCCAAAAATCAGGATCTCTCTTAGTTTTCCGCTTGCGTCCGGGAGGGACCGACGCATCCGCATTAGAATTGGGAAATATTTATTTTCCTGCATATTTCGGTTTCAAAAAGGATTTAAAATAAATTATACACAAGGATGATAACTAATTGTGGTCCAATCGGTTGAGCAGTCTGCGTTAAATCGGGTAATCACAGTATATTTCGGCAAATGTTGCTCTTTTGGGGCAAGTGAAAAAGTATGTGTGTGCGAGTAAGAGCGCTGGAAATTGAATCCGTTATATTTTTTTTATTTTTGTTTCGTTTTTTATTATTTTTTGTATGTTATATTTAACAAATGAATTAAATAATAACCACCCCAAAACACCAGCACGCGCACATATCACAGGTGAGTGGAACATAAAAAAACAATTGGTTTCTTGAAATTTATAAATTGATAATAGCCGTACATTTTAATTTGTGCTATGTATGATGATCACTAAAAGTTTGCGCCTTACAAATACATTTTGTATGGAATTAGTATTCCGCAGTTTAATGTTTATTCATTATTTAAGCCAAGATGTGACAAATATATGTTGTTCTCATATAAGCAAGTGTCCACTCTGCAAAGCGCGCACTGTACTATTATTCCCGCTGCAATTCGCCCACATAATCCCGTTTACAGCTGAATTCACACAACAGACTCCCAAATGAGACCATATTCATATACATACGTAAATGTATTTATTGCTGTCGATCGGGGGAGTTAATTTAAACATCTATATCTAATAGCATGGCCGCCTCTAAAAAAAATGGTACCTAATCTAGAGCGCAACGTATACATATGCAGGCACGCCAACATGCAAGTGTTCAAGCCGCTGTATATGACAAAGTACAGCAAACAACAAAAAGTCGAAAAGGGAACCAGAAAAAATAAAAACAAACGAGACGCGGCAGCAGCGGCAAAACGTGAGTTCAAAGAGGAACGACGATTGCTTTGGCCTCTCTCGTCCTCTCTTATTCTTTTGCCGCCTCTTCTTTAGCGAGTAGCTGCCACACGTATACACACACGCACATGGTTCCATTGAATAGCAAGAGGGAGGGGGAAGTTGGAAAGTGGAAGGGAAAAAGCGCGCGCACACGAGGGTAGACGTTGGAAAAAAGAAACGTAAATAGAAAACGGACGCACAAAGAGAAATGTGGAAAATGCACAAAATATACACACATTGTTATTTTGGAAAAATACTGCAGATAATTCGGGCAATGCAAATCCCATGTTTGTGTGCGTTATCGCCGCGCTATGTTAATTGTCGCTAAATTTGTGTGTGTTCGGCTACTTACGGGTGTCTTCTTGTCGTCCCCCTCTTCTATTTCCACCACCTCTGGCTTTTGGGCCACTGTTGCCTCCGACATTGTTTAGTAGATGATGTAGTAGTATCTTCAAGTATTTCGCAATTGCTGTATCTTTCCAAACTGCAGACTTTGCTGGCGAGTTTACTCCAATCTCTCACAGGCGCACACAACTACAATTACAGGTAACTCGACACAGCCACGCTTCGCATACCGTGAACAAGCAAGTTTACAAATGCCGATTTTGCGAGCTAGAGAACGAAAAAAACCGCCTATTTTCTCACTAATTATGCGAAATAATTTAAGCCAAGATTTACAAGTATTTTAAGTGCCTGAAACGCTCGCTTTTTGCCTTTTTAATACAATTTTAACGCGCCTGCACGGAGTAAACGTAACTAAACTGCTTCTTGCTAGTGCTGCACAATTTGTGGCGGCGCGGCCTTTCGGGCCAGTGTTGGGAAGGGTAGCGGGAGTTGGGGGTGAATGGCAGTGTCAGCAGCAGGGTTGTCTGATGTTTGAAAAAGAGCTCATTTCCTTTTTTGAATATTTTAGAATATTGAATTTTATGCGTCTCTTTAAACGTCTGTTGAAACATTTAAGGTTGTTTCTTATGTCATTTTCTCTGGAAAAAAGTTATCAAATATAGATAACTACATCTATATTTTATTTTGTTGCTGAACCCCATACATATATACAGAGATTTCAAGTAATAACGGGTATAAGAAGTACAACTTAGTGTTCACTTTTTCTATATTTAGTACTTTTAAAATACCGATATCGGATTGCTAAAGAAAAATTCAGATATTATAAGTACCCATAAAACAGTTACTTTTTTTGGAGTAAACAGTTCCATACCAAAATCTGTAATACACAAATTTAAATTCCTACTGATACTTTAATTTGTGGCAACCCTGACCACAACAAGTTGTGTTGGTAAACGCCCAGAAGCCCGTTCCCACGCGGCATCTAAAGAATTTTTTATTAAAAAACCGCACTACATCGAAATGGTCTCCCAGCAGCAGATCGAAGCCATCGGAGGAGTCCTGAACAACAAAGATCGCCCGCTGAAAGAGCGTTTTCGGGCTTTGTTCACCCTGAAAAATATTGGAGGAGGAACGGCAATTGAGGCGATCAGCAAAGCTTTCGACGATGATTCAGCGCTGCTAAAACACGAACTGGCCTATTGTTTGGGCCAGATGCAGGACGCCAAGGCACTAGACATCCTGACCAAGGTCCTGAAGGACACCGCGCAGGAGCCGATGGTGCGCCACGAGGCAGCGGAGGCCATGGGAGCCATAGGGCACCCCGATGTGTTGCCCATTTTGGAGGAGTACAAAACGGATCCGGTAGTGGAGGTGGCCGAAACGTGTGCCATCGCCTTGGACCGAGTCCGCTGGATGCAGAGTGGTCAGAAGGTCGACGACAACAATCCCTACGCCTCCGTGGATCCTTCACCACCAACGGCGGGCGATAAAAGTGTGGCCGAACTTAAGACCATCTACCTGGATGCCCAGCAGAGTCTGTTCGATCGATATAGGGCCATGTTCAGCCTTCGTAATCTGCGCACCGAGGATAGTGTCCTGGCCATCGCCGAGGGACTGAAGGACTCCTCCGCCCTGTTCCGCCACGAGGTGGCCTTCGTCCTGGGACAGCTGCAGGAGCCCTGCAGCATTCCCTACCTGCAGGATAACCTGGAGGATCGCCTGGAGAACGAAATGGTGCGCCACGAATGTGCCGAGGCCCTAGGCGCCATTGCCACAGAGGATTGCATCCAGATTCTGAAACGCTATGCGGAGGACGACAAACGCGTCGTAAAGGAGAGCTGCGTCATCGCATTGGACATGTGCGAGTACGAGAACAGCCCTGAGTTTCAGTACGCTGACGGCCTGACCAAACTGGACGGGACGAAGTGATTTACCCAGCCCAATTGCATCTACCAACTGTATATATTATTTGTTAACTTGTATTGTTTTATCACGTACTGTGATTACACGGATCTAATCTTATCGAAACGTGACATACTGGGGGTTTAACTTCGCCTCCAAGTAGTATGATTTAACGATTGCGGTTTTAGAAGATGAAATTTGATAACTTCAAGGGCAAATTTTTTTGGGGATTTCATCTTTTTAAAGGGCTCTGCTTATTGGCAAAGAACACCGAGTTGATAATTTTTTTAGAAATTCAAAAACGAAACTCAATAAACAACATACAATTTTATAGCTTCTGATTTATTTGCAACAATGATGTAGCCGCCATGATTTAAACTAAATATTTACCACGATCTTAAAATACCCAAAAAGTTTGACAAACCAGCGACGTGGCAAACCAGCGACGTGGCAACGCTACGAAAGTGGATACAAATTTAAATATCTCAGCGATTCCCGGGGACTTGATCCAAGTTTCAAATGGAAAGTTAAGGAATAAATAATATAAGAATTTTGACCAAGATCGAAAAGACTTACTGCCCTTAAAAATCGCAAGTAACCCGAGAAAAGCTCATAAAAGCGGCGCTACAGTGTGACCACTACGCGATACCCACAAATTCACTTTGCCGGCGTATTATTGGCAAGATTTTTCTGCGACGACGTACCCATGAAGCTACCGATGCTTGGAACCATCTTGGCATTCTTTTCCGTATTTTTGGCGACAATGGCGGCTAACAAGGAGCGTACCTTTATCATGGTCAAGCCTGATGGCGTCCAGCGAGGACTCGTCGGCAAGATCATTGAGCGCTTCGAGCAGAAGGGCTTCAAACTGGTCGCCCTGAAGCACACCTGGGTGAGCAGATAATTAAATTAGGAAGAAATCAATATACATAGGTAGCCCCCACGCGGGGTTATCTTCGGCCCTAACCTCAAAGGTTGGGTGCAGGCGTCAACGGAATTACATGTGTTTTAGAGGTCAAAACTGCAATTACTGATAACGAACCGTTTTGTAACCAGGCCTCCAAGGAGCTGCTGGAGAAGCACTACGCCGATCTGTCCGCCCGTCCCTTCTTCCCCGGACTCGTGAACTACATGAACTCCGGCCCCGTGGTGCCCATGGTGTGGGAGGGTCTGAATGTGGTCAAGACTGGTCGTCAGATGCTCGGCGCCACCAACCCCGCCGACTCGCTGCCCGGCACCATCCGCGGTGACTTCTGCATCCAGGTGGGTCGCAACATCATCCACGGCTCTGATGCCGTCGAGTCCGCCGAGAAGGAGATCGCTCTGTGGTTCAACGAGAAGGAGCTGGTCACCTGGACCCCGGCTGCCAACGACTGGATCTACGAATAGGTCGGTGTCTCAATCGCTTGTCGCTCATCTAAGCTGAATACAGAAAGATTCTTTTAAAGAAATAAAATTCCACAATAATTAGTAAAGAAATTTTGTTGTTTAGAAAAAGTTTTACAATTCGGTTTGTGGGAGTCGCAATTCATACATGGGGGTAGAGAAAACCTATTTTCAAGGCTTATATAATTATTTAGAATTGTCATTGTCGTTCGATTTTATTTATAAGTAATAAGTATGTTAAAATTCAGTTCTGTAGGCTGCCCATTGAGCTATTGGGTTTTTCGAAGGTAACACCCATCCTTTGGGTATATAGGAACCTCTTCCGCCATGACTTATGTAAGAGTCCCAGGTTGATCTACATACAATAGGGTTATTTATTTAAAGAAGAGTCAAAGGATATATGTATGTCTTACCGAATTTCTAGGAACCTCCCCTTGGTCTTCCGAAACCAATTTGCAGATTGGCCAAAGAAAACTGCATCCCATTGGGATTCTGTTGAGGCAGCCTTCTTGGACTCTTTGACAAGGTCGCCTTTACTCTCCTCCTGGACCCGTCGCCAAACACGTCGCATTTGGGCTAGTTTTTGGCTTAGTGCCGCCTTGTCTCCTCCACGAGACTCGCATAGTTTCTCCAGAAGATCAAGGGATTCCAAAATGGAGGCCGCATCGTGTTGCTTTCGTAGGGAGATGTGCTCCGCTTGTTTCTTTTTGGGATTTCGCGGGGGATCTATGGAATACTTCCTCTCTGTGAACAATAGTTTTCCTGATATCTTGTTTTCCCATTTTGCCCGCTTATTTTTTTGTTTATCTAAGAGTCGGCGACGTTTTCTTTGTTTTTGTATGCCGGCTACTTTTTGGCCCGGCACTTGGTCAAGTTCATACAGCAGGGTTGTAGTGCTGCGCTGCAGTTCCTCCGCCTGTTCCACATTGAAGTATTGTTCTCGTTCACTACTTAGGTACTCCAGTTGTCTTAAATTTTCTATGACATGCCGAATATTTGCTTTAATTTCGCTTAATTTTAGATTTTTGTGCGGCATTTTGGTAAAACTGTGTTGGTAAACGTCTAAAAAGAGTAAGGCTAGTTATAGGGTAGTTTTAAAAGATTTTAATAAAATTTATTGTTACAAATTTATTAATAAAACCGTCATAAGCGTTTTAAAATAGCAAAGAAAATATGTGGCTTAAAGACTAACCCGTGTAGAAATAATAAGTAATTGCAAGCCAACAGCTGATTTTTCAGTTGTTAGATTAGTTTTATTTATTTTGTATCAAAACAAGATTATTGGGTATTAAATTCATTAATACTTAGGAGGTTAAGGCCGCTGCAGCTCAGAAATTTCTGTTTTGCTTTTGCCTTCAGGAATTTTCAGTTATTGCGAATATAAAATAGAGAAAAAATGGAATCATTTAGACATCCAGTTCCACTTTGGCGGCTTTCAAGATCTCTGCGCCCTTGGTATATGCCTCCGTCTCCTTGAGATCCTGCTCATCATTGAGGTACTTTTCCAAAACCTCATACTCTTTTTGCAATCTGCGAAGAATATGATTCATTATCCAATTAAAATAGGAAACTGTAACGCCCTTTACCTCCTCTTGGAGTCAGGCACCATCATTATGCACTCCTGAATGACCTCCTCCTGCTTGCGCAGTACATGGTCATCGGCTCCCTCGCCCCTGAATTTTTCCATCCTGGACTGCTCTATTAGCACGTCTTTTTGGTAGCATGACTTCTCTTTGGTCAGCCGCTTAACGACTCCAGTTTTAATAACCAGCTGTCTGATGCGTGGATCTGCCATTTTTCTGTTGCTTCCGCTGTGTTTAACTTTGTACTAAAGTTAGTCAAGCTCGGCGGGGGAGCACTTGGTCTGAGTCACAGTTATTTCACCTAAACTTCGAACAGCCGGCTGAGATTCGGTCCAATTTGCGGTGCCTTGTTGTTTTTATACAGGGCGCCTAGTGAGTCAGAACCAGGGCTGTCAAGCCAAATAATGGAACTAGACTAAATGAACCAAATATATTGTGAACTGGTAGAATTTGAATTTACATTAAAACTTCCTACAATAATAGGAATAACCCTTTTATTTGTAGTTCCGTTTATTGAACTTTAGAAATGGTTCCTCTTGTTTCTAAATTATTAAACATGTTAATAAGTAAGAACAAGTTAGTAAGTAAGTGCTCAGTAATGCATGTGAAATTCAAAGTTAATAACTCCAGCCGAAAAGCCTACAAATTTAAACTACGCTATATAAAGTTATTATAAACCATTCAAGTGTACCTTAAGGCCAAAGTCATTGTTTTGTGGTATTTACGGTTAAGCTTCCTTTATTTTTCTCATCATTTAAAAGATCTTGTATCAAGCAACATGTTCTGAATCCAAGAGTTCTGGTGTCGGTTACAATTGTTTTCGATTTGTATAAATTCAGAGTGTGAGAGAGTAACGTGTATTATATGCTGGTTATGGGTAATGCAATGACATGTGGTTAACGTATATAATGTAGTATGCAAATTCAAATGAGGCTCGATCAAACATTTATAATGTTTTCAAAAAACCGCATGATTATGTGTGTTATGTTGATTCCTTTTTTTGTAATACTTCTTAAGCATTTGTCTTTTGGTTTCAAGAGAAATTTTAAATTCATTACGAATGTAGTCTTCTTTTTGGGTTTTTTTTTTGTTTTAAGGGTTTTTGTTTTGGAGTGTAGGCGTGGTTTAAAACTAAATCCGGAAATTACATTTTATAATAGATTTTAAATCGAATGCCTCCGACTTGACTTATCAAAAGTATAAAAAGTGTTTAAAATCCATTCGAAACAGGTGGATGATGCACGACCGGATGTGTGACTGCTAATCAAATGTAAGGTTAGTTTGTAGATGAGTATATATCGAAGAGGCAGGCTACAGCAGGCCTCCGAAGGACCCTGCCCACTCCCAGTCGTAGGTGGTGCTGGGTTTCCTGCGGAAGGACTTGCGATGACGATACAAGTTCAGATAGCTGCAGTAGACCAGTAGGGTAAAGAGGACCAAAACCGACCCGAGGAGCTGGAAAGAATCCTTCTTCGCACCTTTGCTGCAGCTCTTCTCGCTAATCGTACTTGTGGTTAATTTATAGGGTAGTATCTGCTCGATTTCATATAATATCTGCCTCTGGCGGCAGCTGCTAATAGTAGTAATTGGTGTCTTGGTTGCCACGGAGCTATGGTTTGCTTTTGATCGTCGAGTGGATATTATAATTTTGACATGTGTGTTGTTATGTGTTATTGTTGCTGTTGCTCTAGCCGTCTGCTTTTGTTGTTCTTGATGTTGTTGTTGTTGGGTTCGAGTAATGTCGTAGTTCTGCTGGCACCCTAGTTATTTCTTCTTCTGTGCCTTCTCAGCGGCTTTTGTCACCTTGCCCGAGGTCGTCTCTTTAAAGTTGACCGACTTAATGACGCCGACGGCGACAGTTTGGCGCATGTCGCGCACTGCGAACCGTCCCAGCGGTGGGAACTCCTGGAAGCTCTCGACGCACAGCGGCTTGCTGGGCACCAGCACTATAATGGCCGCATCTCCAGACTTGATGGCCTTCGGCTCCGTCTCGGTGGTCTTGCCCGTGCGGCGGTCACACTTCTCCTTAATCTCGGCAAACTTGCAGGCAATGTGGGCCGTGTGGCAATCCAATACGGGAGTGTAGCCATTGGCTATCTGGCCTGGATGGTTCAGCACTATTACCTGCGGGGGAAGACAACAAAAAAACAAGGAGTCAATAAATCAACTATCGGCAGTCGGCATAAATTAAATCCTTAAAAAGTAGGGGATCTAAATCCCCAACGATCCAAATTAATCAACTACCTCATTTAGGAAAGGGTTTACAAATTCACATTATCAGTCTTAAAAAAACTTGGTTGACCTACCTGAGCGGTGAAGTCTGCAGCTCCCCTGGGAGGATTGTTCTTGGAATCGCCAGCCACATACCCACGACGCAACTCCTTTACGGACACGTTCTTCACGTTGAAGCCGACGTTGTCGCCGGGCATCGCCTCGGTAAGCGCTTCGTGGTGCATCTCCACCGACTTAACCTCGGTGACCAGGTTGACTGGAGCGAAGTTGACAACCATGCCTGCAATGAGACCGGAAACATCCGAGTTATACATATATGAATGGACTGTCTCATTTTCACTGAAAGAAATCTCAGTCAAAGGCAAACTAAGACTCTTGAATTCATTTTGATACAAATTGTTCTGCAGTATTCTCAATTTTTTGAATTTTTATCTAGAAAAATTTTAATTGTTATATTTCCGTTTTTTACTTTGAAGTTGAATATTAAAAGCTCTTAAATAAGAAACTAGATGATGGGCCCATTTTCCCTAACTTCTATTGTAAGAAATAAAAAAAATGTTGATCTAAGATATGTGAATCATTGTTTAATTTTTATTGGATTTAATTTAATAGTATATTGGGACCAAACGACTCTTACAAAACAAACTGAATTCATTGTTTTGACTTTTTGCAATAGTTGGATACAAGGTATTAATGCCGGCTACCATATTCACATATTTTTATTATTTTAAAAGGATTTCACTTTCAATTTGAAAATGGAAGTTCTTTTCAAGGAGGATAACCAGTTTCCACAAGTGCATGGGGGTGACGCGCCTCGCTCTTGACGGAGAATTCTCTCAACAATGCATACATGCGCAAGACTATCTCCAAGGTGGTGGCAGTGGGAGTTGCAGCCCACTGCCGACCCAAATTTCGCAGAGAACATGAATGAAATAATCAGAGAGGGTGGGAGGACCTTACTTCCACCACTTAACCCGGAAGACAAGGGAACCAATCAAGACGGGGTACTGCAACAGCAGATTTACCTGGCTTAAGGAGACCAGTCTCCACGCGACCCACTGGTACGGTGCCGATGCCTCCGATCTTGTAGACGTCCTGAAGTGGCAGCCGGAGCGGCTTGTCGGTGGGACGCTGGGGCGGCAGGATCGCGTCCAGCGCGTCGATCAAACACTTTCCCTCCGCCTTGCCCTCCTTGCGTTCCACGGACCATCCCTTGAACCACGGCATCTTCTCGGAGGGCTCCAGCATATTATCGCCGTGCCATCCAGAGATGGGCACAAAGGCCACAGAGGCCGGATTATAGCCTATCTTTTTGATGTACGAGGACACCTCCTTCTTTATCTCCTCATAACGAGCCTCGCTATATGGCGGTTCAGTAGAATCCATCTTGTTGACGCCCACGATCAACTGCTTCACGCCCAGCGTGAATGCCAAAAGGGCGTGCTCACGAGTCTGGCCGTTCTTGGAGATCCCGGCCTCGAACTCTCCGGTTCCGGCGGCCACAATCAGAACCGCACAATCGGCCTGCGAGGTACCGGTGATCATGTTCTTAATGAAATCGCGATGTCCGGGGGCATCGATGATGGTCACGTAGTACTTGGCCGTCTCGAACTTCCACAGAGCAATGTCGATGGTAATGCCACGCTCCCGCTCCGCCTTCAGCTTGTCCAGCACCCATGCGTACTTAAAGGAGCCCTTGCCCATCTCTTGGGCCTCCTTCTCGAACTTCTCGATAGTACGCTTGTCGATTCCGCCGCATTTGTAAATCAGATGGCCGGTGGTAGTCGACTTGCCGGAGTCCACATGGCCAATCACCACAATGTTAATATGGATCTTCTCTTTGCCCATCTTCACAGATTAAGCCTTTTCCTATAAAGCTGTAAGGGAGACATGAAATGTTGGAGAGATGCTTGGATCAACTATGTCGGTGGATAAAATCCAGTAGGATGTGAATGTGGGCCTTAATTTAATGGGTGGTGCAGACGAGTGACGTATGTATGCTGTGGGTGTGGGTCGTGTCATCGTGGTGTAGACACCAAAAGCACATTGCATACACACATGCATAGATGCACACCGAGGAAAAGATAGGACAATTTCCTTTGTATTTGTAAGTCTTATCGTTAAAATGCATCTTATAAAAAACAATTATTTTTTATAAAAAAAACAATTATGACATAAATAATTATTAAAAGAAATAAATCAGAATAATAATAATAATTACATTTAAAAAGCATGAAACTCGGAAGACATTTAAGAAAAGTTAATTGAATAATATAAAAAGAATAAACTGTTTTTTTTTTTTTTTTAATTCTTGTAAAATGTTGGCGAGCAAAATATAAATTTTCAAGCAGCTATTATTTATGGGGTGCACGAATATCTGCAGAATTTCCGTTTGATTAAAGAAAAAAAAACTCACCTGTTTTAACTCGATTTTTAGAGCTGGTCACTGGCGATGCTGAGCTTTCAAAAACTGAATACAAAAATCCACTCGACGCTGTATCCTTGAAATTAAAAAAATTAAGTAAGAATAATGTTATAGGTAGGTTATAGCTTTTTTGATAGTTTTCCGTACTCTGCTGCCGGTCAAACGACCAAGCCAAGTGTCCGTCGGTTAAAGACTGCCGTATATATCTCTCCGCCGATTTGCACCGGGTGAAAAATCAATAACGAGCCACAGACATAAACGATTCGAGCCGAAGTCTACGAACCCTGAGGAAAATGCACTCTCCAGCAGACGACGTTTTAACCGGAGAGAAGCCCCCACCCAAAAAGTCTGACGACCCGGGGAAATGCGGAAAACATTGCGACAGTCTGGGGAAAAGAACCGGCCGGTTTTTTTTTTGTGGGAAAACCAATAGGAATAAGATTCTATCAGCTTTTCTTAAATCAAAATGACGAAGTTACAAAATTTCGCAACATGCTGAAAAAGAAAATCAATGAGAAATGGCCAGAAGCATCGGCATTCGGCGACATTCGTGCGGCTGAAAATTCGCGATTCCAAAGGGTGAAAAACTGCAGAAAAAGAGACGGGCAAGAAAGAGATGGCGAATGGCCGCGGATTGCACTTGCTGTTCCTGCAGAAAGAGACGGAGAGATCGAGAGAGCTGCAGGGCGTTGTGATTTATTTTCTACCCCAGTGACAATTTTACTTGCCGATTTTCCCGCATGTTATTTTTAAATCTCTGTATTTGCATCGAAGTGCAAATTGCAAGAAAGAAAAGGAAAAGAGGGAAAAAAGAGAAATATGTAAAAATACTTTGGCAGACATGCAGGGCAGGAAAAATAATCTGCCAAGCATGTGTCATGCCGGAATTTCCATATTCTTGCAGCTAATTCCAATAGAAACTGGGGAACAAACATCGTGGGAACGGGAATATTATAATATAAAACGGGAATAATCCAGGCGAAATCGAACACGCACACACATGCACCAAGCCGCCATGTTGGAATTTTTTAAGTCTACGAAATTTGTTTAATTTACTTGCGATTTGAGGCACTGAGAACTCGAATTTCCAAACCGTATCGATTTACGCAGACCGGCCACCGTTATTTCCATGCGGCTATTATGCAAAACGTCATGGGAAACCGGTCGGAAATGCACAACACGCTCACTTTTGGCCAAACACTCAATTAAATGCTTGGAAAATCTAAGAAATTCCTTTTCAATATGCAGAAATTGTCACTTGCAAAACCAATCGATGCCTATTAGTATTGGCAAATTTAAAGGATTTTACGGGAGCTCCGCGTGCACTTACCTCGAAATCACAAAACGGAAAGACCGAGAAAGCGCTCGACTCCGAGCAGAACGGAGCCGAACCGATTCCGATTTAGAGATGGACCAGGATCTTGTGTTTAATTGGGAAATTGGGATGGTCTCAATATTTTATTGGGCTTTGGTCCCTATATTTAAGGATGTGTTTTTGATAAAGAAACTATAAATTTAATTGTCAAGAGGTAAATTTTTGAATATTTCAAATTGAACTTAAACATGAAAAAATACAATATGTTAGACAATTTTTTAAGAGGTGAAAGACTTCAAAAATCATTTAGCTTACTCGGTAAACTCACTGCCTTCTTTTTATTAAATTGCACTTTGTAAAAAATCGTCAAAATTTATCTCTGTATTAATGATTTTAAATATTTGAATTGTCAATTAAATCGGATACGCGTGGGGCCCGTCTCTAATATACATGCAAAATTGCAACTCAGTGCAGCTTATTTTCGATTTCGTTGGAGTGAGACGACAGGCTGCCCTTATTTTTATTTTCTTTCTTTCGTACGACATTAAAAAAAAAAGGATTGCCACTGGCTAGGCTTTGTAAAAGTAGTTATAAAATATTAATAAAATTGTTTCATATCCTTAAAATGAACTCTTGTACTGACGTTGGTAAAAAAAATTTAATTTGGTACAAGATTTTTTCCTGTAATCAAAAAATTCTAAACTTTACTATTTACGAGGAAAAATCTATTCGACTTTACTTGCTTTTTTCTGTGTATTTAAAGAAATATGATACATCTAGTCATTACAAATAATAGGGTATGAACCCGAAAACTGTTATATTTTAGATTATATTACAGTTCAGAAGCACTTATTTCCATTCACTGTCCGATTCGTACTCCTCCCAATCCGGTTTTACGCCGCTGGGAAGCTTCTTCTGTTCCAGGTACACGTTGAACTGCTCCGGAATGGACATGAATCTGCGTATCTTTAAGCGGAACTGCCTCCAGGTCCATTGACCAAAGTTCTTTCGATCGGTGACCATGGCCTTGTAATTAAACTTGTGCTTGTTAAGGAAGTAGGACAGTTCCTTGACCACACCCTTGGGTAATCTGTAGATATTTTACCAATTAGGAGACAGTTTTTAATCGGAGAATCTCCATATAACCTGAATTCCGGATCGGCACGTTCGCTGGCCAGTTGCTCTAGTTCCTGGACCACATGTTCTCGTTTTGGACCCTCCTTCACGGCTGGTTTTTTGATCCCCAATGCCCGGCGCTCATCGTCGTCAAGTTCTTCCTCCAGAAATCCATTTACCACTCTCGCCGCCAGAAGACGATCCTTCTTGTAGCTAGGAATCGCAATGGTCTTGTTGACATCCTTGGCCAATCCCATTTCACTGAAGTTGGTGCCCACGCGTTGGTCCTCCATCCACATCTTCTTCATCCTGGGACTGGAAAATATAAAATTGAACTTAAGTAAAAGAAAAAACAAAACTTTTGTCCGATTTAAAATACACTACAAATGCGCGTCAATTAATCGATCGTTGCTTTGGCGGTATAAGGATACAGTTATTAAATTTAATATGTTTGGAAAATCTCATTCAACTGGTTTCCAAACTCCCTACCTAAACTGCAGAACTCTCTAAAAGAGCCTCAAAGACCCTACTTACTCCTTAATTTTTCCCGTCGAACTGCGTGTTTTGTTCATCGTCTTGCGGTTCACATTATAGCGGTAACGCTTTCGGGCGTGATTCTTGCGGATTTTCATTGTTAAATTGCTTAATTAGTAATTTCTAACGCTGCTTAAATGAAATGTGCCAAACCAAAACAATTTTAAACCGCACGTGTTGCAGCTGATTAGAGTGACATAGGCAGGAAAATACCAAAAACCACTCAAAACTTCAGGCTAGTATTTAAATACCATCCCAGCTAGAGATGGCATACCGGCAAGGCAAATAAAAACGATAACAATAGCTTCGACTCCTACTAAATCTTGGTTTTTTGTTTATATTCGTGTTGAAAAATAATTGTAATAAATAACCACGATGCGCGATGAGATTTTGGACCCCAGCAACCTGGTCAAGAACAGGGAGATCTTGTACCGCCTGATGATCAGGTAGGTGAAGCCCTAAAAGGGAATATTACTACAAATCTCTGGCATTTCTGACAGCCAACTGATGTACGATGGCTTGGAGAAGTTCGCCATGGAGCTGTCCATGCTTGTAAAGGCGGACCAGTGTGCTCCGAGTGAACGACTGTTGCACGTAATGATTGCCGGAATGCAGACACTAAGCGATAAGGACAAGAACCATTCGGATGACGTCCTGCCCGGGATAGACCTGGAATTTGAGCCGGAGGCCTCTGCCTTGGCCCCGGAACCCCACTCCTACGAAACGGCCTACGTGACCTCGCATAAACAGGCCTGTCGCGCCGGGGCCTTCAGTTGCGATGGATCTTTGGTGGCCACCGGAAGTGTGGATGCCAGCATCAAGATTTTGGATGTGGAGCGAATGCTGGCCAAGTCGGCACCCGAGGACATAGAGCCGGGTAGGGAGCAGCAGGGTCACCCGGTCATTCGCACGCTTTATGATCACACTGACGAGGTGTCATATCTCGAGTTCCACCCCAAGGAACACATCCTGGCCTCCGCCTCGCGCGATGGCACTGTCAAGCTGTTTGACATCGCCAAGCCCTCGGTGAAGAAGGCCCACAAGGTTTTCACCGACTGCGAGCCCGTTTTGTGCCTCTCCTTCCATCCCACGGGTGACTACGTGGCAATCGGCACGGAGCACAATGTCCTGAGGGTTTATGATGTGCACACCACTCAGTGCTTTGTGAGTGCCATACCCTCCCAGCAGCACAAGGCGGGAGTGACCTGTGTGAAGTATTCACCCACTGGAAAACTGTACGCCACTGGCAGTTACGATGGAGATATAAAGATTTGGGATGGGATCAGCGGGCGGTGCATCAACACCATTGCCGAGGCGCACGGAGGAGCGGCCATTTGCTCGCTGGAGTTCACAAGAAATGGGAAGGTAAGGAACATCTATACTGGTATCTTGACGAGGCCGAATTAAAACGAATTCCTGTTAGTACCTCCTTTCTTCCGGTATGGATTCCCTGGTGTACCTTTGGGAGCTGTGCACGAGTCGTCCCATCCAGACATACACTGGTGCAGGAACCACCGGCAAGCAGGAACACCAAACGGAGGCCGTGTTTAACCACACCGAGGACTACGTGCTCTTCCCCGACGAGGCCACCACGTCGCTGTGTTCCTGGAACTCACGTAATGGCTGCCGACTGACTCTCAATTCGCTGGGACACAACGGACCTGTGCGCTACATTACCCACTCACCGAATGCACCTGCATTCCTCACCTGCTCCGATGACTTTCGGGCACGTTTCTGGTACCGAAGGGCCAATAATCAGTAAATTGACAAAGCTGGCAAATTTAATAAAAATACAATATAATATTTAAGAAACAAAATTTTAATCTTTTTTATCTGCATTATTCAACTGTGTATTTTGAGAGAGCTTTTGAAATCTGAGATGCCGAGATCCTAGGAAATGGAATGGACATCCCTTCCTTGGTTCAATTTATTGGTCCCCCCACCACTTTTTAGAGGATTTTTGAACGTATGTTTTAGTTATCCATTATTCTGCATACAATTTTATATTATCTTTCTGATCAATTGTTGGTGACTTTTAATATTTCAACGTTGGTTAATTGTCTTAAATGCGAAGTGTTATACATACCTCTAAAAGCTTGTCGTTTGGTTCATTTCATTATGCTTTTGTTAATATAAATTCAGGAACCTTTAGAGTATCTTTCAGTAAACTTCACTTTATTTAATGAAATCGCTTATGGTTTCTCCATGAACATAAGCTTAAATTCGCAACTATAATATTTAGGGATTGAGCGCAAAAGTTTAAGTCGTAGTTGTTGCGTTAAGTAACCGGTTAAAATTGTAATACTTAATACCAGATTTTGATTTCGTATAAATATCAGTTAATTTCTTCACTGGAAGTCCGTTGCGCATTTTGTTGTACGTTGGAACATGCATAGAGTAGAGTGCCTTAAGACTACGCCTAGATGCTAGTTAAGTGGTCTTAAGTTAGTAATTAAGTTTACAACATTTTGTGGGGCCGCAGAACCGCATTATCGGATTTGTTAACGGCCGCCAACTTGTTTTAAAGATTGCACAAATAGCCAATACATTTGATTCCAGCTTGTTGCCAAGGAAATGAACAAAATTATACTACGGACTCTGAGTATTAAACAAATCTATATATATAATATAGGCATAGCTATTATATACAACAAAAATAAAAAAAACAAAGTACTTCATAAAAAGGTTCAACAAAATCACAAAAAGAAATGAAAAGTAATCAAAGTTGTTGCTGTACGGATCCTTTCATGATCCAGTAGGTTGCCAGTCAAATTGTTTATAATTAAAGCCAAAAGTCATTAAAGTTCACTGAACTGTGTGCGTTGCTTAATGCGAGAAAACTTATGTCCTAGATCAAATTAAATACTATATTTGCTTAAAATAGGCTTTCTGGACGGAGCAGGTGCTAGAATTAATATTGCTTACGGATTTACATTAACTAGGTTACTGAATTTAACTAAAAAATCGTTTGGAGTCTGATGTTTTTGAGTGCCACGATTGCTTATGTTGATAAAAAGTATTCTACAGTTCAGCTCGCTTCTTATGGTAAAACGTGGCTGTGCGTTTGTAGCCCTCTAGTTACTCTAGTATCCTGCCAAGTCTTTACGTTGCGGTTTGTGCGGTGGTGGCCAGCGCCAAGGACTTGCCCTCCGCCACCGCACAGGAGGTGGGCGGAGTGGGTGAGGACGACGGCGAGATCTGTATCTCATTCTTGATGATGACATCCTGCTGCAGGCTCAGCATGGCGGCCGCAGCTGCCGCTGGATTCGAGGCCTCATAGCCGGCATCGCTGAGGTCCGCCTCCTGATCCTCATCGTGATCTTCGCTTTCCAGCTTTACATCGGGCAGCAGTAGCGAACTATCCTGGCTGTCAAAGGAGGCGTTCTGCTGCTCCAGCTGCTCTGCCAACTGTCTCTGGTAATGGGCCTGCTCCTGTTGCTGCTGATAAATCGTAGCATGCATATCTCCAGCAGCTGCGGCACTGATCAAGTACTTCAGAGGACTAAAGGCCCCTATGTCCTTGGGCGGCGTGAAGTTCTCATGCGTCATCTTCAGGTGGTTTTTCATCTTGTCTGGTCGCGAGAACTCCTTGGAGCACACGGGACACGGGAAAACTTTGCGATGCTTGCCCTCGTGATAGAGAAAAGCGTGCCGCTGGAAACTGTACTTGTTCTTAAAGGTCTTCTGCATGTTTTCTTTGGCGCATTCGGTGCAGCGATACACGCCTTCCACCACACTGGCATATCGAAAGAGATCCAATCCCCGCACGGACATCTCCGTCAGATGCTCCGCCTGGTCATCCAGTGTAGACTGGGCCTTGCGGCGTACTCTCCTTCGTTGAATGGGTCGCTTGGCGCCCTTTTTACCACTTCTAGGTGTCGGTGGGGGTGCCGTTGGTGTCTCTGGAGCGGGGGCTTCTTCCTGCGATGGTGTGGCATCCGTTTCATTACTCTGATAATCAGGTAGACCTGCATTTTCATCAGCCAGGGTAAGCATTTCGTGATCGGGTTCTTCGCTTTTATCTTGCTGTTCATTTATACACATCAGATCCATGTCATCATCCAAAAATTGGCCAGCACTTGAAGGAGATTCATGCTGTTGGTAGTAATCGGGTTTAAGCATGGAGTTGTTGGCCGCCATGTGGAGCAGCAGTTGGTGGTGAAGGTTGCCACTGCTGTTGGCCACCTGGGCCGCCTGCTGTTCGGCGGCATTGGCCAGGGATTGCAGTCCAATGCAGGCGTTGACCTCGTCCTGGTTTTTCTTCGGCATTTCCTTGGCCAGTTCATCGACATTTATGTTGGTGTTGGGAGCCACTGGCACGGTTATCCTGGTGGTTGGGGGAACTTCGGGATCCTTGGCCCCGCCACGAAGCTGTTGTTTAAGCAGGGAGTTGCTATTATTGTTTCCTGCCACCTGCTTTGTCTTGGGCTTCGATTTTGTGGGCGTTTGAGGTGTAGACGGCTTGGTGGTAGTTGTGGTGTTGATGGCGCGAATCTTCAGACCTAAAATAGTCGGCAGGTGGACTGTAGTTGAGTCCCGATTTTCGCTGATCTCCAGCAGAGAAATAGGTTCTGTGAGAGTGGTGGTGCCGCCGCCAGTTGCCGTTGCAGAGATTGTGGTCGAAGAGGAGCCAAAGAGCCGTTGAGAGAGCTCCGAAGTGGCATGAATAGGAGTCACTGCAAACAGAGATATAATGCATAAGGAACTATATTTACAATTTTATTAAATACTTATAAATATATATGTATATGTAGTTTTTTTCCAATTGATTTGATTTGAACAAATGTTTAGACAGTTTGGAGTTCTAAAAAATAGAGGCTAGTTTGTATGTTTGAATGCAAACATTACACTTTTTTATAAAAAAAAAATAGTTAATATTTTTATTATTAAAATTGAAATTTTTAAGCCAATAATTTTTATTTTAAGTTCCCAAAATTAACCAAAAAACCCACAAATATAAATATAAATAAAAACAATCAATTTTGTGTTTCAGAACTGAATTTCTATTGAGTGTTTTTTGCATTGTGTATTTTATTTTTCTTCTGTTGGTCAGTTTTAAACGATAATATATAAATGTTCTGCTTGATTAATATTGCGTGTGATTCACTATTTAGTAATTATGTTTAACGTATCATACGATATTTCGTAAAGTGTGTGTCTCGTAATTAGCTAATTTAAACGGAAACCATGTTTACCAACAATTCCAGACAATTTTCTCATTCTCACATGGAAGTTTTGCCTTGTATTACGATTCTTATTCTTCATTTTCTTTGGGCATCAAAGCATGACTCTCTATTATGTAGCTATTTTCCTCGTTCAGGTTTCGAGTTTGGACATTTTTGTTTGAAAGCGAGAAAATTGCTGAAGGTGTATAGTTGTTGAATGCAAAAATATATATAAATATATTCATATAAAAAAGTAGTTTAAAAATAAAGTAAAATATAGTACAAACAGCATACACACAAATAAATATGCATGGTGTGTTTGATTGATTGTTTAAAATTAACGCCAAAAGAGAAGATTAGATCGATTGGGTGGAAATATATATTTGCGATGGTCATTAGTCGGTGTTTGGGAGACGGCGGCTTACTGACTAAATTGCACTAGCTACCACTAAATAAAGAATTAAAAACAAAAATTATTTAATAAGTTAGCGTACGCAGCTTGTTTATTATTTGATTGCGCTTAATTTTGTTTCATTTTTTTCTGTCAGTTTTGTAATGCAGTTTTGGGTATTTGAATATTTTTATATCTCTTAGTTCTCGAATTGCAACAAATTTGAACGTTTCACATGACTTGAGGAATTACTTGTCTACTTTTCAAGAGCTTTATTTTGTTTGGAGATCGTTTCGCATTGACAACAATATTTTGCCATTTTACACTGTTTTTTTTACTACGGGCGCTGCTGCTGCTCTGTTTTTACTGTTGAATTTCAACTGCATATTGTTTATCATTTCTTTTGTTTTTCATTTTCTTTGGCGATAATTTAAGCCTCCGATATACAACATAAATCGTTTATAGATGATAAATTAGGTTTACGTTATGCTCACTAATATTAGCTTTATCATTACAACTATTGTTGCTGTTACTATTTGTAGTTACACTTTATCGACGATTCCGACGAAACATTTTAAATCTTTCGCCGGATTTCGGATGTTACGGGGGAAGTGTGTGGGTGAGCGGGTGCTGGGGGTCAAACGACCTTGGCCCAGACCCGGTTTTAACTTTTAACTAGCTTCATTTGAAGGCAACAAGGTAGATCTGCGCTCCCTCTCGCATGATTAATATTACATAGATTCTCCTCTTTTCGTTTTCTGATTTCGGCTTGCAATATTTGTATAGCATTAACATTAGCGTATCGAACATAGTGATAATGATAAATTAATTAATAGAACTACAGCTAGACATACCATTCAATGTTTTTATATATTATGTATATAATTATTAATAACATATCTGTGTGTATATATAGTTAAATTATCTAAAAGTGCAGGTTTAGTTTCGGTTTTTAGTGTAACTCTTGCCGGGATACACTTCGCATATAAGGCCGCTCTGGTGTCCAATAAAAAGGCAACCTAATGGATGGGTTTGTAAAGTTTAAGCCACAAAAATTATTTGATTTTGGGTCTTGTACTACGCGCTAATGAAGAACGATCGACACGCAGTCATCGGTCGGGGATAAATAATAATCGTAAATCTTAGGGGTAGTTGGTAGGATTAGATAAGCATTGCGTTCAGATCGGGTCTTTAAAAAGGGGTCCAAAAAATTATTGTAATTGTAACTGAAGAAGTAAATTGCACAACATAAAAACGTCTGCTGGCTCCGGAGATTTCCGTCATCCATCGAAGCCAAGTAAAAAACTAAAAACAAAATCAACAAAAAATCTACTTTAACTTCTAATGCTCCCCTTCCCAACAACAAATTAATCCCGAAGAGCGCCTGGCGCTGCAGTATGCTTCCTCTAATTGTTAGCGACTGCCTCAATCTCCACTTTTTCTTTGAGTTAGTGCTTTTTTGGGCTTAAAGTGAGGTGTCCGGAGATTACTGCGCCGCAGCTGCTGGAGCTGGCGGGGCTGTGGACGTCGTCAGCGGTCCCAGGGATCCGCTAGACGAGGACGTCGACGAGGAGGAGGAGGTGGAGAGCGCATTGCTGGTGGCGGGCAGCGACTGATTTGAGTTCTGGCCACTCAGATCCGGCGGCGGAGGCGTCGAAGCCCCAGAAACGCCCAGCGGCTGACCGGCCAAATTCGCTGCCGCCACTGTGGCCAACGCCGTCGACGGATTCTCGATCTTATGGATGATCTTCACGTGCGCCGTCATGTTGTCCTTGCGCGTGAACTCCTTGAAGCAGAAGGGACACGGGTACACCTTCACGTTGCGCTTATGAGAGGTCACATAGTGCCGGCAGAAGTTGCTGATGTGCGTGTAGACGCGGGAACAGACCTTGCAGCGGTATGTGTGCTCTCCTTCTTTGGTGCAGTAGTCCCTCACAGAGCCCTCCGCTTCGCCCTCGCCCACGTTGCTGCTCAAATTCAGCTTGGTTTTCACCGACGGCGTTCCCATTCCGGCACTAAGGTTCGGCGTGCTACCGCTCAGGCCGGCGGCCTTAAACTTAAAGCCGTCGTTGCTGTTGTAAATGTCGAGGTATTCCTGGCTGGTAAACACGGCCGGCTTGACATCGCCGTTCTGTTTGGCTAGTTTGGGCCTTTTCTGAACGCGTGGTTTGACCGACGCCATGGAGGAGGACCCGGCCGGCGATACCAGTGGCGTAGAGGCGGCGTTGACCTTACCAATGGGCGTCAACTTGGGTATGCTGACCATGCTCTTCACCTGCGCCCCTCCTGCCGCCATCCCGATAATGTTAAGCTTGAGACCGCCACCCGCCGCTGCCGCTGCAGCTGTGTCCGCTTGATGCTTCCTTTGGGCGGCGATGAGGAAGGCCTGTTGACGCGCCTGCTCGTTGATGTGGCTGCCATCCGTGTGGTCCTGCGTGGGCGAGCTGTTTTCGGTGAGCGGGTTGTACTTAAACTCAACGGGCTCATCGTATTCGTCCAGCATGAGTTGAGGTTCCATATAAGAAGTGTCCAGACCTTCGCCGTCGCTGTCGTTGCCATCTAAAAATGTTGTTTACATAAATAGGTTAATTGGGTCCATCTAGTATTCCAATACTATGTTTATTCGCCACAGCTATTTGTATGTTTTGTAAAAAATTTCAGTATAAAAAATGACTTTAAATTTATGGGATTCATTCATAAGTATGGCTTAAAGGTTTTGAAAAAAAAACTGTTTTTTTTAATACGTTTTACAAATAAACATTTTCAATTTCTCTTAAAACAGGTTTTTGACTTCCATTGAAAATTGAATTGTTTTTTTTTATAATTTCTCGTTTAAGCACAAATTTACATTTTTGTAAATCTTATATTTTGATTTATTAAAACTATTTAATTTTACAAATATCAGGCGAATAAATCTAGTATGAGAGTTATGATATAGTATTAAATATGTGTGTGCAGGATGTATGCAAGAGAAAGGCAAAACACATGACGCGAGCAAGTGAGAGAGAAAGAGTTTCAAATCGGATCGGAAAAGCTATAGGGATTTCAAGCCATTTTCAACGCGTTACGAATTCGAAAGTATTTCTGTTTGTTTAGTGACAGTTTTCAGTTGATCATTTTCCTGTTGTTTGTTGGTTAATTTTTGCATAGTTTCGAGAAGGAGATGATTGGAAATGGACAACAGCATTTCATTGTGGGTGATGGTCATGAGAGGTGGCGATTTTCTTTCAGTTTTTGGAGTTATTATCTTGCTACATTTAAATTTTTGAGGCGCGGTAAATTTGGACAATTTTGTTAGCTATATTTTTCTTGATCATTCTTATCACGTCGGCCATGAATCCCTGTGAGCTCAACCCGATTCTCAACTTCACAATAATCTCTTCGTCAGCTGGTGGATTTGCATTTCTTAGGCATCAACTGCATTAGCTGGTTGTTGGGGACACTCACCTGCCGACGGACGGAAGATGCCTTGAACGTTGCGAATTCACTTAACAATTTTCGTATAACTTTCTCACATTTTCTTTTTTTTTCACTAAGCGGAAGAGGAACCGACGCGAGTTTGTTTTCAGATTTCTACTAATTGAAATGCGTAAAATCCCTTTTAGCTTTTCCGATATTCGCAGATGAGATTGGTCGAATGTGGATATGTGACTTCAGCCTGGCACTGTATTGGATTGATTTGGTTTTCGATATATGTCTTTAGCTGGGTGCACATGAGTGTCGACTTAAGAATGAGGTTTCGATATTGGTTGATGGTGCATTTTGTCTTAGGTCTAGGCAAATGATCTTAGGACTATGTAATGGTTTGCTATGGCTATGCAGAAATATACTGGTATTGAGGACTCACCGGAAGTGCTGTTGTCCTCGTGCTGGCTTACAGTGCGGTGATCCTTGGCGTTCTTTGATCGTTTCGGTGGTAGAGAATCGCGACTTTCCTGTGGATAAGAAGATAAACGAATTGATTAGTTACATGAAAATGTTAAGGAATGAACCCAAAAAATCAGTCTTTAAACTCACATTCAGATCATCGGCGTGGCCTACATTCTGCTGATTGTCATCGGAGCCATCATCATTTCCGGAGAAGGATTCATTGCCCAATTTGCCGTTGCCCAGATCGGAGGAGTCGTTCATGAGGTTCTCGCGATCAAAGTCGTCATAGTCGTTCCCCGTGCCATTCGAACTGCCTGATAGTTTGCGGGGCCTGCCCCTCTTTCGCTTGGGCATTAGAGCCGAGCTGAGCAGCGACGGCTGCACCGGCAGGGTGGGGGTGTTTCCGGCATTGGCGGCACTAGCCAACAGTCCGCCAGCCTGCGATCGGTTCCGTTGGGGCACCAAGTACGGCTGGATGCGCTGCAGCTGGGGTGGAGTGGGCGTGTTCTCGGAAGCCGTCGCCCCCGCTCCTGCTGCGGCCGCCACCGGGGAGGGCTTGTCGTCGTTGACCTCTGTGAGGCCCTTGATGCGCAGGCTCTCGGCCACGCGCAGGAATGCGGTAAGTCGCTCCTGGTCCACTGAGACCTCGCCCCTGTACATAAAGTCCAACAGTGATTTCATGTCCGAGTAGGGTACGTCCTTTAGTATGACAATCGGATGCTTTTCCGGGTGATTTACGAACAGTGCATTGAAGTAAGGACTGCAGGCGGATAGCACCATCTGTGGGAGGGGTTAAGATTTATTAGTTTACTTAAACTTGTGGGATTGTAAACAATTAATAGGAAAGCGTTGCTTAAATGTAGATGCGGCATTTCAAAATTATATATTTATCTTATCTTATATCGTTTAAGTATCTATTATTTTATAAAGATAATCCAGCGAATAATAAAAATTTATCTTGTGAAAATGAAAATATTCAAAGTTTAGAAAAACATTAACAAGTGTAATTTATTAAAGTTTAAAATATTATTAGTGATATTATTAAAATGATTACAAGATTATTTTATTATAATTTTAATATTTGTGATAAAAAAATGTTTGAGTAAGGATAAATGAAAATAATACGGTTTATAAAACCATTAGATCACGCACCTTGTGTGCCTTTAGGTATTGACCCTCGACGGCCAGCGTCACATCTGTAAAAGTTTCTGCGTGGAGCAGCTGGTCGAAGACGGACAGCAGGTTGCTCTGATGGTTGTTCCACCGAAGGCAGAAGCGTTGAGATGCCATCTTCATTTGAAGGCCGTGGCTGCGTCACTAAGAGGTGTGCGAGTGTGTGTGTGATCGCGATTTATGTCCTCATGTAAGTGGGGCTGTCTGTGTGCCCTGGGAACATCTAAGGTCCTTTGGTTGTCCTGGGCTGGGATTCTCCTTGAAGCCTGACAGCTGTTCGGGCCGTTAAAACATATATTCCAGAGCGTGCTGCAATCGAAGGAAATCCAAAGATTAGTACATGTACAGCCTTAAGATAAAAGTTACTTTAAATAGTTACGTAGAAAACTCAGTATTAAAAATAGTGGATAATTAATTTTTCAGTTTGTTCTTTCTGGTTTAATTATCGAATACAGTATAGGTTGGCACATGACATGCATTTTCAGGGCGCATAGCTCTTATGAAGTTAAAAAAATAGTTTCTTCCACATTTTTTTACGTTTATATCACAATCATTTTATCAAACAAAATTATGTGTTTAAAAAAATGGAGAAACTAAAACCAAAACTCCATTTTAAGAAAATAAAATAATTCAAGTTATTTTATATAAATTAATTTTAAAGATTTATCATCAAAAACCTATATACACGTTTCTATGAAATTTAATAATGAGCTACAAAACTATTAAAAAAACATGACCAGTTCTCAACTAGACAAGTCCTACTGTATGTTTTCTTCAAAAAAAAGAGTCCTGGACCTCGAAACTGCGCTGCTGCCATGCTGCCGGCGTTCAATTGACTTTAATTTAAAAGTCGACCCCAAAGGGTCAGAGACGAACATATTATGCAGGCCAGTTGAGGAAAAGTAAATGAGGAAATCCAAATGGAAATTTCAAATGTGTTTCAAATGGGCAGGCAGCCAGCAACAACAACAAGGCACGCACACGCACTGCAGCAATAATGTTGTGTGTGTTTGAGAGGGAGAAAGAGAGAGAGACAGGAGAGAGAGAGTGACTGGAATGACAGCGACTGTTGCTTTGTGTGTGTGTGCGACTTGAAAACTTGCCAAAGGGTGTGGAAATAGGAGAGCAACAAATAAACAAGACTTTAAATCTTTAGAGGCCTCTACCAACTGGAAACTGAAACGCACACAGGCACACACGCACTAGCCTTGATTCCAGTAGACAATCGCTGTGGAAAGTCATGGAATATTCGTGGCACGTTTTTTTCTTGTCCCCGTTATCTCACTTTCGACGATCGTAATTCCAACAAAAAAATCCTTGTCTTGAAACCACGCTTCCTCTTGCTTCCTCCACTTGCTAAATATTTGCTGCTGCCGCTCTTATCTTATCGCCACGCCAGTTTCAGTTGCTTTGTACACTTAATTGAAAATCATTCCCATTCGCCCACGGAATTCCCATTCCCGTCTTCCTGGCACACACACAAGCATAGTCTGCACTCTTAGTTTGCTTTCTGTTTTTCCACGCTTCTATTTTGTTGTCGAAGCTTTACACTTTTCGTTTGTTTGCAATTGTTATTGTTTTTATGCACTTGTTCAAATCAATTGAGAAACCATTCAATTGAGAGAGAGCGTGAAAGGAAGAGATCAGCATACCCACACAAACACACACTGGCAATGCCAAACAGTTATTAGAAAAGCTTAGTGGCGAAAGCTTTTTTCGCCGCCCGATCGCACAAATACGTGTATTTTCATTTATGGCTGGCTTTTAAATGGAATTGTATTGTTTTTCAGCCATTAGTTTTTTTATTTTTTACCGTTTTCTGTTTTTTTTGTAAAGAGAGAGCGAGTGCAGGCAAGAGGATCACTATTTGACACGTCCTCACTTGGGAAAGACTCGCGAGAGAATGAGTAAGTCAGAGTCCTCGACGCAGAAAGCCAACTGCGCTGCCGACGTCGCTGCTCACTCACTGACACTCAAACCCCCCCTACACACACACACACACTGCCTGATAAGAGCGGATGTTTTTAGGGGTGGGCGCTTGCCTGCGGAGAGGAGATCACTTTACAGCACACACACACTCGCTCAGTTTTACACCCCCTTTAAATACATGTGTCTGAAAAGGGAGAAGGGGATACTGAGCAAGTGAGACAAGGCGGTTTCTTCGAATTATTTCGTAAGTCCTAAAAGGAGACACCCTTTTCTTTTCTCTTCTTGACACTCATTTTATAGAATTTTTAATTGATTGAAAGTTCTAAGGAACTACATACACAGAATGGAGACCATTTCACTGTTCTTTAACAACATTGTAAGTCTGTGTCTTTTTTTCGAACATACTTTCTTTTTAATCACTTTTTTAAATTATACCGGGATCTTAATTAAGTAAGTTCAAATATTTAACAGATTGAAAGTTAAACATACATAAGTGATACACACTTTGAATAATAAAAACATCAGAAGCACCTTTTTGAGACTTTTTTCCTTTAAAGTTGTGAGTAAAATGTTTTATTATTTTCTGAAACCCTTCATTAGTTTCACTGTAAACTTTTCAAATTAAATTGGATACTAATGCACTGCCCGCAATTGTTAAACAGAAATTACTTTTCGCTATTTCGCCTGATTCCTTTGCACTTTTTTTTTCATTTAAATTTAACTTGTGGAAATTTTCACAACTCGGCGCGAAAGAGAGACGGAAAGAGGGGGGCGCGCTCTCGCGTCGTCGGCAAATTCTCGTCCGTCTTGCTTGACACGAATCCGTTGAGTGAGCGAGTGAGCGACGATCCTATCCTCTGGCGATCGACGACGGAGCAACTGGGCTCCAAAAGTTCCCGACGTCGACGTCGCTGCTGCTAGCACTGCTTCTTCTTCACACTCACATACGCTCTAAAAATCCTCCTCTCTCAAAAGGAACGCTCTTGCTCACTCACACTCGAACACAAACAGGCAATAGGGCTGCGGTTTGTGTAGACTTTTCGCTTGGTCCCCAAAGTCTCCAAAAAAGAGAGAGCACCAGAGCGAGGGAGCCAGTGTGTTGCTCTCTTGCTTGCGCCTTTGACTTTTTGAATGTTTAATTTCCTTTGCACGCGATGGGCACGGGGCGCGGAGGGGTGGGGTAGCGAAACGGGGTTAAAAAGAAAAACGCGCTGGAAAAAAGCTAGGAAACCGCCAGTAACAGCAAAAACAACCTTTTGGGTGTGCAACAGTTGATGATTTGTTTCCCTCGCTTTTTCCGTCGTCGTTGTTGCCGTTGTTGTTGTAAGGGCAACTTTTTGGGTTGGGCCTCTATTGAAACTGTTTTGGGGTTGGGGTTTTCCAGGCCACCGAAATATGGGAAAACCATGTGGAAACGCGAGAGCTCAGCAACGCAGGCGTGGTGGGATATACAGTGGATACTCGAATAGATGAGATGAGCTATGGAAAAAATAAGGAGTTATAGGGTAACTTAATATTCTAAACCCAAAAACTTTAACGGATTCTACTAAGATTAGGAATGTCATTTAAAGAATTGCCAACAATTGATTACATTTTAAAAACTTAAATTACAAAGTTTTAAAACGAAATTGTTGTACATTTTGAAGCAATGGGTTATAAATCCCTAAATTTCTACCAAGGGTATTATTACTACTACTCGCTATATCCCAGTGTTATACATTGTATATACAACATAGGAAAGTTATACTGTATGCATATATTTGTGTTGGTGTGCAGGAGCGTTGTTCAACTGGTGTTTTTTTAGGCGAGGGATTACGTAAGCCTGCTGTAAATTCTACAAGTGAAGTGGCAGTTTGGCTTAAAGCGATTGGATTGGAGATCCTAAGCAGCGAGCTTTGGGCAAAGTTCCCTCGCACTTTTTATAATTTGTTCATGTGTTTTTTTATCCTACACACCTTGGCGGGCATTTTTGTTGTTGTTGTTGTTGTCTATTATTAACTGTCTGAAGGCGTAACGGCAGCAACAACAACAGAAACAGCCCTCCCCACCCCTTTTGCCCCTTGCAACGGAAACGATCGTTTCGCCTAATAGGCTCTCACACACAAGTACAGAGCTCCCCAACCCAGGTGAAAAAGCAACAAATGCACACATACACAGGCTAGACAACTACAACAACAATAAGGTAGTCACTGAATCGTAAATTCCTGTTGCTGTAGCTCTGCCGACGTCGCTGCCGCTGTTGTTGTTTGCCTTGCCCTATTGCGTGTTGTTGGTGGTGTGTTTTTATTTTTTTTCAGTCTGGTTAATTTTTTCCACTTTTGAGTGGCTTTTGTGGAGCTTTGCCTGGGATCGGAACTCTGACTCCGACTCTCGGGCTGTGGCCCGGTCTATGGATCTATGTTTCTGTCTATGGGTATAAAGCTATGGCTCTGGCTGCACCGAGAAAAATAGGATCAAGGCTTTGAGGAAGTTTCGATCCCATATAATATAATTGTATTCCAACAGTTATTCCGAAGAAAATATATTTTATTTGTATTTTTAATGATATCATAATATGATAACATGTTGAATCTTTATCCAAGTGGTTAAGAGCAAAATTTTTTAATATTTTTGGATGAAATATCAAATCATTAAGTTTCCTTGCTTATAAAATATAATAGGGTACACGAACCTGAAAAAAATTAGGTTCAAAGATCCTCATTTTACCATTCGAAAGAATTTTAATGTTTGTAAAGTACACTTTATAAAACGCGGCAAACTTTTGACTAAAATTATAATATCCTCTGCAAGGGTATAATAATAATATGTATCCAATGCAACATTTCTTCCTGTGTAGCGGTGCTGCTAGTGTGGGTAGTGGTGCTAGAGCCGTTGCCATTGTTGTTGCCGTTCTACTTAGTCGCTGATCTAATACGTATAAACCGCTCTATCTATACTCCATGACTTCCTCTCCATACTTCCCAAAAAGGGGCGGAAACGGGGGCTGCCCTCCTGCTTGAATTTTATCAGCAAAGAGTTACAACAATAGTTCCATCAGAGCGGTATGTGTTCGCGAGAGCGGAGGTTGGAAGTATAATCTGTGACCGGGCTCACAAATTAACGATGCTTCTTCTCCCACAGACCAAGATGATGATGTTGAAATTTCAGTTTCGGCTGGGAGTGAAAACGGAATTTGTACATTTGACGGATAAAGACCCGTTTGAAGAGTGGTAGACAAACAGTGGGGATGGGCAATTATAATGAATGATTTTTCCAGTGTGGGTTTTCCACAACAAGGGAGAGTTTGAGATCTCTTACCTTGTCTTATCCTATCATAAGGTTCAAGGACTTTGTTTTTGAAATATCATTTAAGAATAAATTGGTATTTACCATCTCCATTCCTTGATACGTCTTAACATTCATCTGTCTATTTCCAAAGGCAGAAAAATATAAATTCTATTAGGATATTCTATGTATTATTAATGTATTTACTATTTATTGTTCACAAAAAACTAAGTCCTTAAGATATTAACATTGAGCTTCGCATTGATTCCTTTCATTATAGAATGCGATTGTATATCTTCTACTGATCATGTTTATTTATAGGCTATTTTTTGGGCCTCAATGGTTGCCAATTGTTATCCAATATCTTTGACTTAAAGTGGGTTTCTGGCTCTAGCTGACTTGTTGGTCGTTGTTGTGGTTGAAGTCTTGTCGGTGGACACACTATATATTATATATATGTATTACTGAGTGTGCGTGACACTTGGTACATGTGGCCCACACACAATCACAATCGTCGCCCCCTCAATATATTGAAATATGTGCAAATCCAGCGAACTGAGCCATCGAGTCAACCAAAAACCACCAGAGCCTGTGATTTCTACATGCGTGTGCGCCCCCCCTCCTCCCCCTCTGATGTGCGTGAGAGCGAGGGGGATGCAAGATCGAAGGGGGCTTTTGTTTTTTTTTTGATTTCCTCTAGCGCTATTTGTGCCGTGTAAACAGCAAAAGCCACTGGTTGGCCCAGAGAGAAAAAGATATATACGTTAGTTCTCCTAACGTTGGCTAGTGTAGGTAGTAGTAGTACTACCTTCATCGGTGTGCGTGAGTATCTGTGTTGATGACTGACTAACTGAGTAACTGCTGCTAGCTGCTGGCTATGTGGCCGGATTCTGGTGTTCCGTCGACGCCAACGGCGGAACAGGTATCGCAGGTTGGCACCAAACACATGTGCCGACCGCTTGGTGTTCCCCCTGCCCCGCCTTTTTCCCTCCTGCTCCTCTGAGCGTCGCGTCTAAAAACTAAAACCTTTCAAGTCCCTCCTTCTACGCTGGAAAAAATCGAGATGGCTTGTTAGTTTATACATTATCGTTTAAAATATTATTTTAACATTTGAAATCAAATGTATTTAAAATTATAATTCATCTTGGGGGCAGTATTTCCTTGTGTATATATTCTTCTAATGCCGCCTCACCCTCTCTTCCCCAACCCTGCTCTTCCCATTTTGCGGCCTCTCCTTGGCTCACAAATTGTCGCAGCTGGAAGCTCGGCTCTTTGTACTTTGGTTACATGCATAACTCTCCTGCTCCCTTGGCCCCACTCACTACAGTCTTGGGTCTTTGGGAGCCCGCTCTTGGCGCTCTCCCCAGCGATTCTCCCCACTTCGATTTCTAGCGACGACGCTTGACTGTCATAAAGTCCCGTTGTTGTTTTTGTTTCTCCGGCTGTTTCTAGCTCTTTCTGCGCCTTTGTTCGCCAAGTGTAAAATTCCTTTGCACGTAGGCACCAAAAGAAAAAGCTTGGCTTAAAGCATAACAAAAACAGAAACGGAAAAAATGAAAACGCAAACGGAAAAAAAGGTTAGCAGCCAAGCACGTAAGCCCCCAAAGAGAAGGGGTTTTTCGAGGGGTGCCGTTGTCAATGCCACACCAACACTTACGTTGTAGGACTCTGGTTTTTGGACCAAGTCCCCCATAAGTTTCGAAATTGTCATTCAAGTGTAACCGAGGTTTTTACACACATACACAAACACCCACCCACCAATATGCTGCGGTGCATGTGTATGTAAATATGTGAATAATTTCATTCATAGAGAAATTTAATAATAGACACGCCATAGAGGAATCCCCGCGTAGCACCATGGAGATCATTCGAGATTTTCGATCACAATTAGACATAAAATGACAAACTAAGCTAGAAATAATAATTGGGCAAGTATGTTGACAATAGTTCTCCGTAAGCTATAATTCGAAACCTGAAATATCTATGCAAAATCATTTAATTTATTAAATCCGCAATTTTTTTTTTATTAAGTAATACTTATATTCAGTTTTATGTTGGATAACTAAAAAGGCCTTAGAAGTAATCATAAATTTATAGGGGTTCAAACATTTGGGAAAAGCTAAATATCGTTTTCAGGTATCTGATATAAGACTTGAATATGTTTTTATGTTTCTACTGTTTATTAAACAATGTTTTAAGCATATAAAAAAACATTGAAAAATTGTCACTTCATTATCAATTGTTTGTTTAGATATCCATTTTGTGTTATCTTTCACTAAAGTATCAATAAATCGATAGCTAAGTAAACTTATTTATTGACATTTCGAAAAGACATTTGCTTGTCGTTAAACCTGATTTCGAATGTTGATTGGGTTTTTTATTGGTTATTTGCAATTGGA